TTAGAGATAGTAGTTTAGCTTAAAAACCTTTAGGCTAAAGTATAGTAATATAACTAGACCTACTTATAATTCCTAAGCCTTCCCTTAATTAGGCTGTTAGCTACTTACTATCTCCTATATTTACTTACTAGCTTATAGAGAGTATACTAATAAAGTAAATAAGAACTTTTAATATATACTTTCTTTTAAGTTAATATTAATAAAGATTTTAATAGATTTATATAGAATATACTATTAATAATACTAATACTAACTATTTCTTATACTTAATATAGAATATAATAAGATAATAATATATATATTTTATATTTATAAACCTAGTAGATATCTAAATATATCTAATTATTATATAACTAGTAGAGTATAATAAGTATAACTAGTTAAATTATATACTATAACCTTAATTTACTTAATAAAGAAGTCTAGATTAATTACTCTTAATACCTTATTTTTCCTTTTATAACTAGAATTAAGTACTAATATTATACTTAAATATAATATATATTAACCTTACTACTTATAACTTCTTATTAATTCTTCTTAAATATCTTATAGTAATAAGTTAGTTATTCTTATAATTATATTATTATGATCCTTTTATTTTATTCTAATTTAGTATTTATACTTAATAAGATCTATAGGGATTTTTTATTAATAAATTAGGTTTATAGAAATACTTACTTAAATAATATTTAGCTATTAAGTATACTACCTAAATATTAGCTAATAATTATTATTAAGTTTATTATTATATAAGAATTATAATATATATATAACTATTTAAGTTTATTTTATTTTAAAATAGTAAGTTATAATAAGTAAAACTTGTATAACTCTATATTATAATACTAATTAACTTATTAGAAACTTTAACTTATTTAATAATAAAACCTTACCTACGTATTATTCTTAATACTATTACTTAACTTCTATAAGTAAAGTAATTAAATACTAATATTCTATTTAAAATTATTCTTATTTTAACTTAGTATTTATACTCTTTTACTATAACTTTTAAGTAATTTTTAGTAATAAATTAAGTATATCTTTATTAATATTTATTATTATTCTAATATTAATTAACATTTGTTATTATATTTTTATTAATAAAAATAAGTACTTTAATTAAAGTTTAAACTAAACTATTTAAAATAAGAATTATTAGATTATTATAATTTTTCTTAATATTATTAAATAACTTAAAAATAAAAACTAAATAACTAGCTAAAAGTATAATATTAGTATTATATAGATATAAAGCTTAAAAATTAAGAGAAGAAAGCTTGATATTATATATTTACTTATATTATTCTTTTAAAGTATAATACCTTTTAAAAAAAACTATAATATAATTATATAACATTTTATTAAGTATAAAACTTAATATATAGCTTAGAGTATAATAAAACTAAGTATTTATATAATAGTATAAATTATATTTATAATAATAATTATTATATTATATTATATATTAATATTAACTAATAATTACTTTATTAATTATAGTTTATTAATTTTTATAACTATATTAAATATAATATTAAATATCTCTTTATATAAATAAATTATATTTCTAACTACTAAATGTAAGAGACTATATATCCTAAGCTATAGCTCTATAACTATACTAATATTATATTAATTAACTAGCTAGCTAACTATCTAAATAACTACTTTTAAAGTAGGTTAGGTAACTAACTAGCTAATAGCAGTTAATTAAGAAACTAAGATAACTAAGCCTAACCCTAGGGATAGAATTTATAATTAAGATATTATTTAGAATATCTAGCTTAGTAATTAGGATTTTAGAAGTATATAAAAAGCTAGATTTTCCTAACGTTCCTAGCTAGAATAAAAATTTATAATTATCTAGAAAAATATAATAACTATATTTCTTTTTACTTTATCTTTCTAAAAATAACATATAACCTTTACTTTATAAAATCTTATAATATATACTTATTTAATAAATATAATTCAATTATAAATATTATACTTATAAGCCTTTTTTAGTCTATAATAATATAATAATAATAATAATAATAATAATAATAATAATAAAATAATAATAATAATAATAATAATAATAATAATAATAATAATAATAATAATAATAATAATAATAATAATAATAATAATAATAATAATAATAATAAATACTATTTACTAACTAAAGCTAGTTCTTAACTTAATACTTATTTTTTTATTTAAATACTATACTTTAGAAAGTTAAATATAAGATAACTTAACTACTTAAGATATATATACTCTATTAATAAATTAAAATTTAAGAATTTTACTTTATAAGAACTAATATTTTATAATACTTATTATTTTTAGTAGTTATTATACATAATTTATAAAGCCTATTTTTATATAAATTAATATATTAACTAGTTTTAAATATTTTTTCAAGACTTAGTTAACAAACTAAGTAAAACAAAATGTTTTTTAATCAAATATATATTTTTCATAAATTATATTTATAAATATTTTTTTACTTACTTTTATTCTATTTATTATTTTATTATATAACTTCTAATTATATATCTTACTTATTTTAAATACTAATATATAATATATTATATTATTATTTATAAGATTACTTTACTATATACTAAGTCTATTTTTTTTACTAAATTAATGTATTTAAACTTATAATAGAAGTAATTATTATAGTTCTTCCTGCTAGCACGTAGCTATAATAGGCAGAGGTCGGAACCGTAATAAGAACAGAGATGTAAATAAACTAGTACGAAAGTCAAACAAACGGTCACAAGGCAATAAATAACGATAAATCGATAAACGTAGGTATAAGCAGTTGGTTCTTCTATTAACTGAACCTACTGATGATGATGCTGTCGAGGGTGTCTCTTATACGGGTACGGCTAGCACGTGAGATATTACGTACCCCTAATGACTGTTCCGTAGAACTGTGAGAGTAATAATATAAGAAATACTTACTATTCTTAAAATATAATAAATACTTTCCTATTAAAAATAAAAGTTAAAAAAACTTAATAATTATTAGCTTTATTATTTTTATATAAAGCTTATTTCTTTAGTTTAGTAAGTATTATATTATAGACTTATAATAAAGCTTTAGAATATATTAGACTTTATTATATTAAACTAAAAATCTTAATTTAAATTAAGTAATTATAATTTAAAAAAATTTAAGAACTATAGACTAATTATTATTATTATTATTCTTCTTCTTTTTCTTTTTCTTTTTCTTCTTCTTTTCTCTTCTTCTTTTCTTCTTCTTCTTTTTTTATTTTTTATTCTTATTTTATTTAATAAACTATAGTCTTTATAATATATTAACTTTATTAGTTTTAATATTAACTAGAATTAAAGTTTATTATTATTTATCTTATAACTAGTTTAATACTTATAATATAATTATTTATTTTAAATATATTTATTATTATAAGTTATATCCTTTACTTTACTAATTTTTAAAACTAATATTAAATCTATTTTATAAATTTCTTAAAGTATTATATATTAAGTTTACTATACTCTCTTTTACTTATCTTATAAGATAATACCTAGTTATTACTATAGCTAAATATAATAATAAGGTTTTTATTAATAAAAGTTAAGACTATAAAACTAATATTAAGTTATATATATTTTTTATAAGTAAGTTATATAGTAAGTTAAGGGCTAAGGTAAGGTAATTAGCTTATATTAAGTAATAAAGTAGTAATATTATAAACTATAGGCTAAGCTATATAATAAATAAAGTAGCTTACTTATTTAGTTAATAAACTAAAAGATCTAATAATTCTATTACTATATACTAGGATTAAGCTATATAACTATATTTAAGGGATAGCCTAGGTAGGGTATACCTAGCGTTGCCTCTTGTTAGCTAACCCCTTATAAGCTAAAAGTTATTTAAATAAATTATAAGTTAATAATTAAAGAACTATTTAGAGGATTAGAGTAAGTACTTAAGTTTTAATCTATATATAAGCCTTAATATTTATATAGTAGGTCTTAATAAGTACTTATTATCTTAGCTAGGTACTTATTATATTATATTATCTCTATATAATTTTTATAGTAGTTCTCTTTTTCTAAAGTCTCCTTATTACCTTATCTTATATCTTATTTATAAATATCTTATCTTAGCTACTAGGGTATATAGATTTATTAACTCTTTATTAAGTATAATAATTATGTTATAATAATTCTTTTTACTAATAAGTTACTTTTTCTTTATAAAATATAAACTTTAAGAGCTATTAAAACTATATTCTTATAATATAAAATTTTATAAATATTATTCTTAAATACTATAAGTAGTAGTAAATTATAATATAAGTAAAAAAAACTAAACTCTTATTATATATATATATAAGTTAAAATTTATAACTTTAAATATTAATACTAATTAGTAATTTATTAAAAAGCCTTAATATCTTAATATCTCTTATATTATCTTTATAATTATATTTAAAAGTCTAAAGTAAGTCTTAGAAAGTATTTTTTTATTAGCAGTATATAAAACTATAAGCTTTATATATAATATATATATAATATAAAAAACCTTAGTAAGTTAGGTTTTTTTACCTTAATATTATTAGTATATAACTAGTAATATTTAAAAAAACATTTATACTATATTATACTTTTAAAATCGTTTATAATTTTAAGATAGTTTATTTAACTTTGACTTTAATATACTATTTAATTATATAATTCTAAATATTAAGAAACTTTAGTAAAATACTAGCGTCTTGTAATAATATTTTTTCTTATAAAATACTATATATTATGAGAAAGACAAAATTTAAAAATATTTTTATAATCTTCTCCTTATTTTAATTAGTATGTATAAACTTTACTATATTTTTTCAAGCTAAAACGTACTCTATTATAAAGCTGGTTATGTTTTGATTTTGTATGGGATATTCCTAAAACGGGTGATCCGGTGATGGGGGTAATCTGTTGTCTGGGGTGGGGTCCTACTTACTCACCTGTATGCGATGTTTACCCCCATCCTTACGTTGAGATCGCAGTCCCCAATGGTTTCTAGCACTCCCTTTAAATCTGTCCAAAGCAGCCGGCTACAGTCTCGGTCAACAGGTGTCGCGCGAGATGATTCAGATGATGAACTCGGTATCGATGATCTCCCATGGGAGTGGATTTACGAATCTTCCAGCTCCAATTCTTTAGACAGGGCTGATGATGATGGTACCGATGTTACCCGGAAACGCAAACGTACCAACGGCGAACGTCGCATCGTCGGGGCCACCTTAGGCACCTTCCAGTGCCACATAGGCGACTGTGTTCTTCTTAAAGCTGAAGGGTCTAAAGAGGCATGGGTCGCTGTCATTTGCGAATTCGTGGAAGACGATGATGGCGAAAAGGCAGCCAACTTCATGTGGTTTTCTACCGAGAAGGAAATTCGCAACAAGCAAAGGAAACGCTTAGATTTCTTGCCTGTATGTTTCTGATCTGCCAGGACGGTCACTCAATCTATATTTTAGCCGAGACTGATCTGCTTCAGAATGAGCTGTATATTTCGCCTTCGTGGGACGTTAACCCACTTGCCGCCATCAATGGCAAGGCAATAGTTTTGTCACTTGGAGAATTCTCCAAACAGTATCCATCCGGGAGGGTTCCCCGATCCTCGCCCGATCACGGCAAGGTGTTCGTTTGTCGCCGTGCATGCAACACTCGGACCGCGAACTATACTGAAGAGTTCACGTGGGAGGACGTATATCGAGCTGACGTGAAGGGCGTACACAATTTAATCCAGTTTGTCAAAACGCAGACCAGGTCGACGAGGAGGCGTTACCATGACAGAGAGTCGACGCCTGAGATGCCTTTTGCCCTTACAGAAAGCACTATAGGTGCTGTAACGCCAAGAAGGACAGTCAAGCCAGAGGCTGCCACACCCCGTGGCGGTCATTGCACACCAACAACGCCTTCGTCTCGTAAACGGTTCGTCCCCATTTCATCGTTCCTGCGTTGGTTGAAACTCATTTCTTCTTAGGGTCACGGTAAAGAAGACGTTGGAGTTTACACCACTGGGCACGCGAAAATTGGCGTCGACTCACCTGCAGGGATCTCCTTTTCAGCTGGCGCGATCCCAACTTCATGTGGCCTCAGTTCCATCCAGTCTGCCTTGTCGAGAGGGTGAGTTTTCGTTGGTATACTCACACCTTGAAGCAGCGATTGCAGATGGAACAGGAAGCTGCATTTACATTGCTGGGACTCCTGGTACTGGCAAAACCGCAACAGTCCGCGAAGTTATATCTCGTTTAGAGGACTGCGTGAGAGCCGACGAGCTGGATGATTTTATATTTGTCGAGATAAATGGCATGAAAATTACTGACCCACACCAGTCGTACAGCTTATTATGGGAGGCGCTCAAAGGAGATCGTGTCAGCCCTTCACAGGCTCTTGATCTACTGGAGCGGGAGTTCAACAATCCTAGTCCTCGCCGTACGCCGTGCGTAGTCCTAATGGACGAGTTGGATCAACTTGTAACTAGAAACCAAAGTGTCATGTACAACTTCTTCAACTGGCCTAGTCTGCGACACAGCAGGCTTATTGTACTAGCCGTTGCGAATACCATGGACCTCCCAGAAAGAACCCTCAGCAACAAAATTAGCAGTCGCATAGGTAGGCGTTTTGCTTTCTAGACTATCTATGCGAGCAGAGCTGATTCAATATCCCAGGCCTGACCAGAATCACATTTCCAGGCTACAATCACGAGCAACTGATGAAGATCATACAATCCAGGCTCGAGGGCGTACCTGGGAATGTTGTTGAAGCAGATGCCATCCAATTCGCCAGCCGAAAGGTTGCTGCGGTCAGTGGCGATGCAAGAAGAGCCTTAGATATTTGTAGGCGAGCTGTAGAGCTGGCTGAATATGAGAGCTGCGTTGACTCTGAGGGAGTGACTGGAAAGGGGCAGAGGCAATCAGAAGGGAAGAGGAAAACGTCCACAAAGGTCACGATATCAACTGTAAAACGGGCCATAAACGAGGCAACAACAAATCCGATACAGCAATATCTACGATCACTGGCGTTTACACCAAAACTTCTCTTGAGTTCAATGCTTGTCAGGATCCAAAGAAATGGCACGGTTGAGACGACCTTTGGTGATGTTATGGACGAATTGCACCGCATCATCAAATTAGACACATGCGCCTTAGACTCAGGCGTTATTACGGCCCTGGTGGGCGGGTCCATGAGCGGTCTAATGGCAGGTGATTTGAGCCAGGTCAGTGGAAGCGCTCGGGTGGCGGAGGCCATGGGACTTCCTCGTGTGGCAGTTGAACTGGTTGGGGCAGGTATCATTGTTCTTGAAGCACAAAGGGCTGAGAGGCCAAGTAAGATGCGCCTCGCAGTTGGGGAAGAGGAAATCAGAATGGCGTTTCGAGACGACAGTGAAGTCAGGGCCCTTGGTCTTTTTTTCTAGGTTAATACATCACACCGAACAAGATGCATGTCGATGAAGCAGAAGCAGTCGGGTATCAATTATTCTTCTCCTACTTCATCTTTCCAACTTCATCCTCTCCTTATAACCGCCGTTCAATGGTTGGCGTTTACTACTAAAACTTGCGTCGTGATAAGGTTGGCTGCCAAGCCACTGGATGAGTTTCAGGTGTGGCCTTCTCGTCTTGTTTCCAAATTTTGATAGTCTTATCAGCCTCACCGCAAATCAATCGCAAACCTGAACGATCAAACGTTGAGCTCATAATACCAGCCTCGGCATCTAATGATCCTGGCTGTGCCGTAGTATCGAGAGACTGGAATCGATGACCTGTCTTCCAATCCCAGAAACTCATCGAACCGTTATCGCCACCTGAGAAGAGCACATTCTCTTGATTAACGTTGAGAGTATTAATAATAGCGTTATGACCCTCAAAGTTCTGCATGAAGGCTCCCTCAGGACATTTCCATTGTTTGATGCTTCCTGTGCTGCCAGTCGCAAAGGTAAACTCTTGTGGGTGCGTGGCCAAGGCTCTCACACCCTTTTTGTGATGTGTTAATACGCCCATGGTCTTGCCGGCGGCCAAATCCCACAATCTCACGGTCGTATCTAAGGACCCGGTGATAACTTGAGGATCGGCCTCCTGGCATTTGACATCAGATACAGTCCCTGTATGGCCAGATAGAACATGAATATTGCTTCGAGTTCGCATGTCCCAAACCCTTGCAACGCCGTCTCGACCTCCAGTAACCAGGACATCTAAAGTCGGGTGAAGAGAAAGGGTGTACACACCGCTCAGATGTCCATGATAATGCCTGATAACCTTGTTGGTCTCAAGGTCCCAACACTTGACCATTTTGTCCTCTCCACAAGAGAAAAGATAGGGGTGGCGTGGGCTTACAGCGAGGCCACGAACCGTCGATATGTGACCCGTCAAAGTAAGTCGGAGTGATCCTGTTGCGAGATCCCAAATCTTAATGGTCCTATCGCCCGCACCGCTGGCGAACCACTTGTTTCCAGGCTCTACCGCCAAGCTTCGTACCCAGCCCAGGTGGCCGGAAATGACTCTCATCAACTTCCACGGAGGATGCCACTCAGGCTGACCCGTCTGCGTTGCTGAGGTGCCACGACGAACAAGACTGAGAGGCTCATGGGCCTGGCGCTGAAGGGGGCTATTTATTTGATCACTCTCGGCAGGGGCAGACTGAGTGTTTGTTGCGGTGGTGGCAGGGCCGTTCGTGCCTTCTAAGAGCTTCTGGGAAGACCTCTGATGTATAACTGCCTGTTCTACATTGGGCTGTGCTTTGATTCTCCGCGACTTAGTGGGAGGAGCCGGCTGTTTGGCGGCAAGAGCTGCCGGGAGCTGCTGGACGTTTGAATACTCGTTGAGGAAGCGACTGCGGACGGTTTCTGTGTTGCTGAGGCTTTCTGTCGTCGTTTCGGCGAACTCGCTCCTCTGTCGCTTTTTTGTCGACGCATTGGAGGACTCCGAGCAAAAGACCCTGGTGACTTTTTGGTTGTTGCCTAGCAGCGCTGCTAGAAGAGAGTCTTCCGGTGTGATATTCAAGTCGTGCATGGCGACTTTCTCAGTGTAGAGCTGGACAATTGAAGTGTCTGAATGTGCAGACAATATTTCTGCAGATTGAGCGGAGATACTCGACAGCAATTATTTCCTTGGCAGAGTGGTGATGAAAGTGGTGATTTCCACATAAAATTCAGATGCTTGTTGGTGATAGGAACAACTTCGCGAATGAAAAAACGCGTCCTCGTACCGTACCGTCGTGGGTGCACGGATCCTTTGCACGTTCTAGTCTTTACCCCAGTTTCACCCTTCCGCTGCTAGGTCCCCACCTAACGTGTTTATTTACCAATGAATTGTTCTCCCGCGCACATCGGATAGCATCAGTTTACAGTCTTACATTCACAGTTTGAAATATATAACGCTTTGCAATTATTTGTTGTTTATTATTGAATACATCAACTCTTTTTTTCTTCTTTTTTCTTTTCCCTGTTTTCTGATTCGTGTTCTAGAAAGGGGTCATTGGTGACCTAAATGCACAACATGGACGAGTCCGCTGATCGGTTTCCTCTTCACACAGCAGCACGTGAAGGTAAAGGTAAATGAAGCAGTATTACAAAAAGGGTTTGCAACTGTGTCTGACTGATTGGTCTATGCAGTCTCGGTTGCAGAGACTCTTATCAAGGTAAGATTGGATTTTAAAAGGGATTGAGCAACCCTGGCCGAGTGCTTTATTGGCGGTATTGACAAGTTACAGAGTGAGCCAAAGCTTGCCTCGATTGAAGATGATGATGGCAGGCTCCCGATTCACTGGGCCATCTCATCCAATAGTGTCGATATTGTGGCCCTTCTTGCACAACACCGAAGCTTTGATCCTGATGTTCAGGTAAGCTGATTCTTCTAAGATGTACCGTCACTTCTAAACGAGAAACAATCACTGCTGTGTATTAGCTGACCTCCATATTTATTTGACATCCAGGACGGCAGTGGCTGGACCCCGTTGATGATTGCTGCTAGTCTCAAGGATGGTGAAAGTCTTGTGAACCTGTTGCTGCAAAAGGGAGCCGATATCAACTTGAAGAGTAAGAGTGGTTAATGCCCTAGTTCCAAAGCACAATCGATCTAACAATCGGCGTGCAACAACCAGATCACAATGGACAGGTGAGTTCAGCCACGTTTGCTTTTGAGTCTATGTTGCTGTTTAAGTAGTTGACTTACTCCACTTAGAGCGCCCTCCACTTTGTCGCTTCTAAGAACAATTTGGATATCGCAAGGACGCTCCTCAGCCATAACCCCCCGGCGTCGACCAGAGTGCGCGATAAACGCGGCCAATACCCCATACACCGGGCAGCAGCTGTAGGCTCCGTGCCCATGACAAAATTACTAATCAAGCACAAGAGCCCCCTGAATGCCACCGACACCTCAGGCTATACCGCTCTACACCATGCAGTGGCTGAAGGACACGGTATGTAAACAATCAGCTTTAGCACTTGGCCAAGAGCTTACAATCTGATTGCCAGGTGACACGGCTGTGGAACTACTCAAAGCCGGAGCAGAGCTGCACAAAAAGGATGATGACGGTTGCATGGCCCTGGACTTAGCACCGGACAAGGAGGTATGCCAGCTTGCGCCAGAATGGCAGTGGAGATGCACAATAATGCTAATTAAAAATGCTATTCAGGTCCGTCGCTACATTGAACGTGCTGCTGAGGGAGAAGGCATAGATATTTGAGCCAGGCAGGCTACAACCGCCGCTCTCTAGGGGGTGGCATTTACCTGACGGTACGCTCTACTAAGTCGCGATACATAGCCTTGACATCCTGCACATCAGCACGAAGCTCTTCCACTAGTTCACTCTTCTCCCCGAGTAGCTCTAGCGTTGTCTGGTACCTCGAATTAATGTCTTCGACCTGAGCCTCTAGTTCAGTGACTCGTTTCGAGGCTGTCTTTCCAGATTCCAAGTCTTTCATGAGGGCGACTAGTTCTGCTCTTGCCTCATCTCTCTGACCCGAGATTCTTGCGAGTTCTTCACGCGAAGTTACCTTTTCAGCCTCCAGTCGACGAATGGCGGCACTCATCCTCTCCACCAACTGTACTGAAGGTCCTGCGGCAACTGTTGATACCGATACCATGTCCTGCATAATTTGTCTAGGTGATGAGGTCGTTTCTACACCGTCAAATAGGTCATCCTTTTCAACTACATGCGAGGTCGGCGTAGGGAGCGAGTCTGGGGGTAGATCAAATGAAGTCAAAGTTGTTGCTCCGGGCAGACTGGAGGTACCGAGCAGGACCGACGGCCTCACTGGGGTTTGGCTTGACAAACGCCTTCCTGGCGAAGAGCCTTCCTGAAACGCATCCACCCCACTCGTTGGGTTTGAAATTTGACGACCCTTTCCAGAGGCACTTTGCAATAGAAGTAAGTCGTTGCTCATAGTGCGCGTTGGTATGGACAATAATGGCGAGTCCGGCCGACTTTGTATCCTTGAGATGGAGCCCGCTAAATGGTCGTCCAACCAGGGCCGCCGGTCTGACTCCGTCTTTTCGGCCTTCCATGCCATCTGCTGCTTTTCGAGCTCGGCTTTGGTATGAATCAATGCAGTTTCAGCGGACTCTGCCTGTTTTTGCAAGGCCTCGATACGTGATTTGTATGCCTCGATGTCTCGCTGGTAGTTGGGGAATTTGCTAGTAAGCTCCTGCAGTTCTTCATCCTGACGTTTGCATCGTGTTGCCTGAAACTCGTTAGAATATTCAGAAATACAATGAGCCCGAGCTGTATTTTCTCAAGCAAGGGTAAGATATTAAACCATACCGTTTCCCTAGCCTTCTTCCTCATGTCTGATTCCCGTCGCAATGCATCGTCTCGCTCCCGCTCTAAATTGCCGAGGCGAGCAAGCAGGCTAGCCTCTATGCCTTGCCAATTCTCAGAAGCGATCGCATGTTGGGTCTGAAGTGTTTCCACTTGACGTAGGAGCTTGGCTTGAGAATCACCAATAGCACCAGAAGACGCCTCTTCCGCCAAGGCACGCATCGCTTCTAATTTTCCTTCCATGGCCTGAATTTCCGCTTTCATTTCAATTTCCATGACGCGTGTACGTTCCGCCGCACGGCTTGCCTTTTCTTCTGCCTCGGCAATGTTGGCTTTTGCCCTCTCAGCAACTAAGCTCTTCTCAACCTGCAAGGAAGCAACAGTCTCTTCAAGTTCCCTTACACGGAGTTTTTGCGCCGCCAGTGTCTCTTCGTTGGCCTTAATAACAGCTGAATTGGCTTGGTCTGTTGCCTTCCGAAGCTCTTCTCGCAAATTGGCTATGGTGAATTTGTCAGCGGCTGCCTCAGCTTGCAGAGCGTTCAGTTCATCTTGCATCCCATTAAATCGAAACTGCAGCTCCTGATTCCGTTGTTCAAGCTCTTCCACGCGGGTTGCCCGGGCATGTAACGGTTCCAAATCAGCCATTGCCCTTTCATAACGAGCTCGCAAATCGTCCAGCGCCTTCTCATCTCCGGCAATCTGCGATCTTAGTTTTCTGATAATGGATCGGTGTTTCTGCTCCGTAGCAGCTAAGTTCCGACCTTCCTCCATTAGCAATACAATCTTCTCATCTTTCTCGGCAAGCTTCCGCTCTAAGCTTCCAGCTGGGGCCGCAGCAGCAGATTTTCGGGCGGCATCAGTCGCATCTCTTGCCAAGTATTGCACCTTAACCTGAAGAGCCTCGAACTGCTCGACATGCCGGTGTATCTCTTGCTGTTGGTCCTTCGCTGCCTGTTGGGATCTAACCTCAAGCGCTTCTATCTGAGTCCTGAGAGCATCACATTGGCTGCATCCATCATTGGGCTCCACTGCAACCCCATTTATGCTAGCACTGATTGGCGACGGATCGGGTGCTTTGCTGGAGGACCTGATTGGACTTGGTTTCTGGGGATCATTCGCTGTCTCATGGAGTATTGTTATAGTGCTCATGCGTCGTTGGCTGTCCTGGGATTGTCTTGCAGAAGTTATCTTTGTCTGGCTGTTGTTCGATGTGTTCGTTTCTGTAACTGTATCGGTGACAGCAGCTGGAGCGGAGAGAACGTCGGAGGTTGTATTCTCAGTAGATGCATCATCGTTTCGTGGAGTAGCGGCATCAGGATGACCGCCGTCAACACTCAGTCTAATGTGGGAATCCGAGGTAACGATACTGTTGTCAGATGAGTGAGCAGTCTTGGAGGCCATAGCTTTGGCCAGGCGTTCTTGTAGGCGGTCATTGGTACGACTGCTTGTCGAGGATCGAGCCGGTCCTGGATCGCAAGAGCTGTCAGCCACACATCCTTGAGTAGGCTTAGGAGAACTGATCGTGCCTTACCAATTTGCTGTGTCGGCTCCTTGGCGGGTGTTATAGGGCGTGGAGGAATTTGCGAGGTTTGTTGGTTGTGGCCGTTTTCTCCTTCGGCGAGGATATTATCAAGACGAGCTTCTACGCCGGCGACGGCTTGTTGGAGGAAAGACCCCCATCGCGACGACTTGGCGGGTGCTGCCATGATGGATGATTATGTGACACGTGTGAAGAAAAGTAACAACAGGATCATAGTATACTGTCTAGGCCTGCTGGCTGTTCCGAGGGGTGATGAGCATGGACATTTCGAGTGGAGGCCAAAATGTGGCCAGAAGTTGAATTCTATGTTAGTGCAGCAGCTGGCTGGCGGTCCCAACGGGCAACGAGCTGGAAGGCAAGTGATAATGGTAAAGGTTAGTTGGTTAGAAACAGCGAAGAAGAACAGACTGATCCAGCAAAACCAACTCTGCGTGTGCAAGCCGAAAAGCCAAATGGTGGTTTAGCTTAAGGGAAAGGACGCGGCATGTAAGGGAACCGGAGCAATATCGGTTTGGGATGCACGCGATGCAGTTGAATCTTACGTGGAACATACCCCAGAAGGAGCCAGAAAGATACTTTTCAGAGCCCACACCTGGACCGCAGTACTTCACTCCTCGCCTAAGTACATGAAGCTCACTGCAAGACAACCGGAACGCAGTACCGAGGTGGGGCTAAAAAGTAGCGCCTCCTCAGATCAAGTACCCATGTCAGCCGCTTTGGTAAGGGATAGCCAGGTCTGGGGCGTTACAGCATGGCTACAGTTCCAGCCACAGCTACTGATCGCTGTACTCTCATCCCTATGTATCATTGGGGTGACCAACCGTTATAGCACATTGTGTTTCTCCTCCACAATTTGGAGGTCCGACCTCTGGGTAGTAGGATACGCGCCAGGCTGGACCTTACACAAGATGCCTGTCCAGGCAGTACATTGTTTGACGTCATCCTAACCTCGGGAATTCTCGTTATGCGTCTTTGGCTGTCGCTGAGTCGTGCTTGCGACGTGCTAAGGCCACCGAACACCCAAACATCGGGCCTGGCTTCAAATAACACGCTGATTTGCTGGAGCTTCTCAGAGAGCACACAGGTATCATCTATCTTGTCCAATAAGTGTCTAGGCTGAACTTGCATATGTAGAGACACCTTACCTACGAAATTCTTTTGTTCTGTTGAAAGCCATTAACCAGTTCCATTCCGTTGTTATTCTCTGCCTACTCCAAATCCCATGACATGGCTTTTGGCATTTGTTACCCTTGCTGCTTTGTCTGAATTGCTTGAAAACGTCCAGTTCTTCTAGGCTACCTCCGGTCTCAGACAGATCCATTATTTTTGAGGATTCCTTCCGGACGACCCGAGGCATTGGAACGCAACCTCCATCTTATCTTGTCTTTCCGATCAAACGCCTCTTTGTTCGTTTTATCCTTCTTTCTAACTTGTAATTTGATTCCCAGCTTAGAACTCGTTGATTGAAGGGTGGCACCCTATGGAAAGGAAGTGACTAAAATCTACTTCAAGTAGTCTTGTCTGATTCTGACTTAACAGCCGTAGGACGCTGTTCAGCGATTTTGGTCCGGACACTTATCAACCCTGTATCCGCCTTCCCACTTCTTCACTCTGGCCGAGCCGCAACCCCGATAAAGGCCGCACGCATTCAGAAGTTTTGTTTGGCTTGTCTCTGGGTGGCCTGTGGGGATTTGCATAACTTCGTTCGACCTTGCTTCGACTTGGCCCGCGCCAATTCCATCACTCAATTTTACCATGGCTTCGTTCACTTCGTTCAAAGCTTTACGCTTCGCATACAACGATGGCATTTCGGATGGGTACTGGGGAGAGAAAACATCCACATTGAACTTCTGCGAAGAGGTGAGAGCCGGTTCTCGCACCGACATAGGGAATCACCCAGATATTACTCTCGATCGTTGCTTACTTTATCCAAGGACTATGTTGTGTCTTACTATTGTGCTGAAGTCTGCAATGTGAGTTAATAGCAGACATTTCGCTTGGCGGCCTCTTGTATATCTGCTAACATTCCACCGTTCCTCCAAGACGTTAACGAACCTTCTATTCCTGTGGCTTGGTTTGAAGGGCATATCCAATTGTGTCTCTCAAGGACACCCTCGCATATTCTTTGTTGCGTTCCTGGGTTACGTTGTTGTCGGCCTTGGCTCGATAGCCTTCCACACTTCACTCAAGTGTATGTTGTATCTTCCACCTCTGCAAACCTGCGACAACTCTCCCCTCATGACAGTGTGTTCCTGCTTATGCGCATTTACTTTAGATCTTATGCAACTAGTGGATGAACTTTCTATGATATATACCACTTGCCTTATGGTATTTGCTACATTCTCATACTCGAGGTCAACCCAATTTGTGGCATTCCTGGGCAGTGGCCTCATCCTTCTTGCCTGCTTCATCACAGTATGTGACCTCTCTAGAAAGCCTTTGGGAAATCAACTTGTCATTCTTTGCAAACGGGCAAACACAGGTTAACCCGAATCCAACTAGTCTTACTACCACATTACAAAGGATCCTAACTTTCATCAAGGCTGTTATGCAGCCCTCACAGCAACGGTAACAAGCGGCTTTACCTGATATTACACCTCCCTCGAGTTGAGACCCTCGTTAACCTTTTACAGGTCGTCATTCGTAGCTTGTACGTAATGGAGACGCAACTCAGGCCAGCCCTCGTCGCGAGAAACGGTGCAAAAGCTCAAACGATACTTAAGACTATGTGGATCATGGTTGCCACTGGTCTGTCGAGATGAACTCAGTCAAAAGTGAAGGAAGAAAATTGCTGATTCGGATGCACAGGGCTGGGAGTGTTTCTTGCCGGGTATATGATCTGGAATCTGGACAACATGTTCTGTACCCAGATTCGAAGGCTGCGGCGGCAAGCAGGCCTGCCATGGGGGGTAGTGCTTGAAGGGCATGCATGGTGGCATCTAATGACAGGTCTCGGTACGTCGTGTTCTCCCTTCCGATAGCTTTTATGCCCTCGTATCTGTATCTGGTATCACTAACTGGCCTGGTTATCAGGAGGTATGTGAAAGTCACACAAAACCGCACCCTTCTTTACCAGCAGGCATCAGGGATTGCAACCCGAAGCAGGAGCTAAGCTAATTGCGCTTCAGCGTACTACTATATCACGTGGGGCATATGGCTTCGTAGATGTCTCGAGGGCCAAGAGAATGAGTACAAACTGGTTTGGCCAAGGTCGCTCGTCTCGGTCCCTGTTGTTCTTAGAAGTAAGAAGGACAAGTAGAAGCCGTCAACTCCTGTATTACTCATGAATGATTGACCGTGGTTCCAATCATGGGATGTTCAAGGGCATTGGAAGATTTTGTAGGCACCATATTATTGGGGTCGGTGGTTTGCTACGCTGGCGAAGGTTCGTATTTACCACGCATTTCGAAGGTGTGGTGATGAACTTGTACATGGGCTGGATATACATGTAATGCTGGCTGTTGATGTTGTCGGACAAGTAAATGCCCTGTAGAAACTTACATGACAGCTATGTAAACTTTGCAAATGGAGCTTTACCTGACCTGATTGTTATACCTCGCCCACGGATCCCTTGGACAAATAATTCCACATTTTGAGGTCATTAAAAAGTAGCTATTCTGGTCAATGCTGAAGGAGACGCTACGTCGAAAGTGCATAGAGCGACTCGAAATGAGGTGGGATCTCATGGAACTCACTTGGCGACTATCGAGTGGTAGCCGCTCTGTGAGCTTAAGATCTACCGGTAGCTGGAATATCCACGGTTCACATCCACTTTGGGACAGTCGCACCTTCTGTCTTGCTACACCTGCCCCACCTTTCATGAGATTACATAACTGAACACAACCCCCACCTCAAAACGAGCTCTAGAAAAGCACACATTCACGCTCCTGACAAAGCATCAGTCATTTATTCGTACCAAACTTGTCTCAAGCAACTCCACGGCCAATTATTTCTTAAACACCTTTCCCCAAGGCAGCGTTGGAAATACTCCCATTACGAGAACAATCACACAGAGACAAGCTTGTTGCCATGTCAATTCCTAATCAAGCCCTCGAAAAGGTAGGACAGGAACACAACGCTAGGCGGATCCCGTGGCTGCGCTCATGAAACTTTAGTTGACTCACATCATTTCTTCACATATAGTTGATCCGTGAGATCGAGAGCCAAGCAATTGTAGCTCAGCAGCAAATCGGCCAGACTCGTACTCAGATGACATCAAGGCAACGAGAAATGCGGATGGTACGCCTAACCTTGGATGAGGTGTCGACTTTGCCCCCCAACGCAAGCATTTTCGAAGGCGTTGGCAAAATGTACGTGAAACCATCATGCGAATGGAAGTGAGAATCGCTGACTTTGGGTGGATTGGGGCTTGAAGGTTCGTCTCACTGCCTACCCCGCAACTGACGGACAAGCTCGAGGGTCAGATCAAAGAAAAGGAGGTCGAAGTCGAGAAGTTGAACCAGAAGCTGCATTACTTGGAGACTACATTCAAGAACAGTCGGCAGCACATCGACCAGATGCTTAAGGCACAGTCGTGATGCATAGGCCTTCAGGATAGGCAAGAAGAGTTGCCGAGGACCAAGGAAGTCAAAGGAGAGAGGAGGGCCGTTATTCACTACAGCGGATGCCTGCTATGCCGGAACAGCACCGCGAAGGATAGCTCGGCAAAACGTGGAGACAGTGGCATGCCTTCTTGTCGACAAAACTATGTCAAAAGGCTCGCATGGTCGTAGAATTCTACTGCAGTTCTGCCACCCCAAGTGAATCCCATCAAGAAGAGTACATATATTACGGAATATGTCCGGGGGAAAGGTGCTTCCTGCGTTGCCGCCTCATTTCGTCCGGTTCGGGAATGGATATGGCAAAGGACCCAGGCAGGGTTGGGTGGAATGAGAGAGGAGCGAAAGATTTCAGAGGAATGCAGGTTTGTTTGTGCCGACGGGCTTTGGAACTTGGCGTGAATAAGATGCTTTCGATGCCCGCATTCCATTCATCAAATGGCTACATAAGGGTCACGAATTAAGATAAGTGGCAACAGGAGCAACATGTATCTCAAGTTTAGGGCCTCGGCGGCTGCAGAGGAAAGAGAGCCAGCTTACTGCGTAACTGCTACGCTTCATTCTGCCTGCTGGGCAGTTTCAAGAGCCGCCGCTTCTAGTGTCCTTTGGCGCTCTACAGGCCCAAACACGGAGGCTTTACGACCTTTCCACAATGGAGAAATGATGACAGGTGGCAAAGGTGGAGCTAGATGTTTGGTAGAGCGCAGATGCCAATTAAGGACAAGGCAGCAAACCAAAATTCGCTCCCTATTGGGCAGATGCTTTCCTTGGGTGCATCAGCCGGGCCAGCCCTGTTAGGCAGGAAGAGTATTGGTAGCCTGTTGCACTGCTGCCTGGTGTACTCAAAATATTTCTAATGACCACAGGCAAACGGCAGCGATTTTTAAAGTATGGAAATGTTGTGGTTTTCCGAGTAGGCCCTGGCCGCTGAAGGACGAGAAACATTCACAGGTCCAAAGGCCCAGGTTAGAATATTTTGTGTCGTTGATTTTGTTAGAACACGGACGAAGCAAACAGGCCAGAATGCAGACTGGGAAGGACCTAGACGGTCCTTGGATGCAGTGCCAACCAAATCGTTGCACCATGTCCCCATCAAGCCAGTCATATCAGGCCTGTCTAACGCTGAATGGAACCATGGCGTTCCGACCTAAGGAGCTTAAGCCACCCGTAGTATCTTTGGCCCACACCGTCAGCAGCCGTGCAGCCCTATGGCAGGGCGCTAAGACGTGCAAGGTTAGCCGCTGAGAGGGGGCGGCGAGTTGGTGTGCGACTGCGGGCGAACTGACGAATAGTCGGCTAGCTAGCACGTTCAGCCCCCCGGGCAGGACACGCCGATGATCGTTCCTCCCAGCTATCAGGTTCGCTTTCCCACCACTGCCATCTCTCAGTTGTGTCTCTTTGCAACGGCCTCCCCTCCCCTCTCGCCCCTCCTAACACATCTGAAGGTAGTGTTCCAAGGTAAGTGGGCAGGTGTGGCAGGTAAGTTAGGGTCCTTGCCTACCCTTACATAGGCATCCCCATCACCGGTCCCCTCCATGCCACCCCTCCTCTTTTCCTTCTCTAGTCGCTCGCTCAGTCTGCATGCGCCAGATTAGAACTAGCCAATATTAGCACTCGTTTTGAACCATGTAAGCCGACATGTCGTGCAATGGATCTCGCCAGGCAGCCTAAAGCCCTAAGCCGGAGAAAACATAAAGGGCCTTTCACCCTCCCGCCCCCAACCCCTCCAACCCCTCCCGCTCTCTTCGTTTACTATCACGCTATTCTCTGCTTCCCCTTCAACTCACTGCCCCGTCTTTAGCGATATATCGGAAATAGATATCTGCGCGGCTCAAACTGGTTGGTTGATTGTTCATACCCATTGCACATCAAAAGGTTGCTCAATCATTTGGCGGAGCCTTTCTTCCTTTCTATCGCAAACATAAATTCCGCCATGAGTAGTTACTACTCGGACGAGGATGATCTTGACATCCGTGTCTCACGGCGCCGGGCTCCCTCGCCTTCGCCTGTTCACTATGTAGAAGCGAGACCGAGACCTCGCAGCTACTTCCCTACAGCTGCTCAGCCCAGTTACTTGGTCCCTGAACGCACCGTTATACATACCCGTACTAGATCCAGAGAACGTTCTCGTGACCGTCGCTCTTCTCCTCCTAGCAGCATGGCTCCGGCCCCGGCCCCGGCTCCAGCACCTGCACCTGTTATTATCAACAATCGCATTTACAATGAGCATTCCTCGGACGAGGAGGATGACCGTCACATGCAGGTGTACGGCTCTCGTCGTCGTTCCCGTTCCCGTTCTCGCGCATCGCACTCGCATTCTCGGTCCCCTTCTTCCTCTTACATGACCCGCGAGGAATATGAGGCCGAACGTGCTCGCCAAGAGCTACAAGACCTCAGACTCAACCAGGCTCGAGAAAAGGAAGAGCGTCGAGTTCAGAAGGAATATCGAGAAGAGGCCGAGTTACAGCGTGCCAAACGTGAATTAGACGACATTCGGGGCCGAGAAGCTCGCGCTTCCGAAGAGAAACGCTTCAAATCACAGATTGAACTGGAAAAGTATCAGGAGGACATGCGACTGGCAGAAGAGGCCAAAAAGCGGGACAAAGAGGCTGCTGATGCAGTGGAGCGCTATAAAAGGAAGGAAATGGAACGCCTAGCCAAGGAGAGACAAGAAAAAGAGGAACGCGAAAAAGAGTTCCAGAGGCGACTACAGGAAGAACGTCAGAAGGAACTCAACCGCCAAGCCAAGGAAAAGAAGGAGAAGGAAGAACGCGAGAAAGAGTATCAAAGGCGTCTCCAAGAAGACTTGATTAAATCTGGTCTCGATGAGAAAGCAATTGCGGCAATTTTGAAAAAGGAAAAGATTCCTGAGGTGCCTAAACCAAAGCCTATCCCGGCTGACAACACCCTCGTGGCTGCCCAGCGCCCGACCTATACGCGAATGGCTCGAAAGCACCTATCTATTGAGACCTTGAGGACATATCGAGTGGAATGGGAGCTAGATACCGTAAGTGAAAAACCACCTCCCTTTCGCTAATATATGATTGCTTACGTCGCTTAGGACCCAGAATACGTGCTTATCAAGCGATGGGTGCCTGAGTGGGAACAGGACAACCTGTGGAGGCATACGAGGGCACTTCGTGAAAAACGCTCATCCAAGTTGGTGCTGGAAATCGAAGACAAGAAATCTCGCCGGCATGAACCAGAATTCGAATGGGTTAGGAAGAAGAGCGAGCGCAAAAGGAGCAAGTCCCCAGCACTGCTCATGTATCTCGCGGGGGCGAAGCCGGCTTGATGTATTCCATAGACCGTGTCGATGCTCAGGCTGTCATCGGACGATGCGCATGTAAAGTGAAGAACGAACTGACGACGGAACTATCGAGGTAAGCAGAGGTAACAAGTGTCATTGGATATTACGTCACAGGCGAGGTGCCCGCCAGTAGTAGTCTTGTGTCTATTTGTTTATTTGTTTTTATTTACAAAGCGAAATGAGATGGGATTTGTCAGGTGTGGAGTTAAGTGAGCGATGCTATGGCTCTGCTCTCGTCGTTAAGCCGATAGACCATGTACTCTCAGCTCTTCTGATTAACTCTTCATACACAGTCCAAGCCAATGCTGAACTCATCGCCTTCCTACTCATACGAAGCATCACTCCATCCATAAGTGAACGAACGCCCTCCTCCATGACCATCTTGCGGCAAGTTTGATACATGTTTCGGTAAATGGATGGCTGCAGCTGGATTCTCGTTTTTACGGCATCGAAAGGATTAGAGATGACGGAACAAGCGGCACCGGCCATGATGGCGGAGCTAAAATTCACCAAAGTTGCATGTGAAGTAGTGATGGTGCCTGATTGTCTGGAATTACTCTTGAAGGATACAGCGCTGAGCTGCTTCTTGAGCAGCTCATAGAATAAGACATACATGCCTGCATAAGGGGCATCGCGGACGGCGGTGGCGCCGAAGCCGGAAAAAAAGCCCCGGAGGCCGGTTGTTTTGTAAATATCGGTGGAGGCGCCGAGTAGAGATTGGTAGGAGTATAGGCTGGACTCATATCGAACCTTGATGACGGTCAAGGGCATCAAAATGAAGCCGGCAAAGGTCCTAGCCACGGCGCCGGCAACGAGGTTAGCTGACGGAGTGAGAGTCGGCAGCGACGACGAATGAGCGCCTTGACTAGTCTCCTGGCCGAAGAGACGAGATTGGGCAACATGTTGGCGGATGGAGTTAAGAGAAGTAAAGTAGAGGGCCGATCCAAAACCAGTTCTGAGAGCTGAAGGTACCGTGCCACGCCAGAGGGTTTGGATTTGGTTGGGGGAAGCAGCCACTTCCGTAAGGTAAGACTTAAGGGATCGATGGCCAGACTGCTGCACCCTGGTTTTGAGTAGGTCCAACGGTTGGAGCAGCACGGCCGAGGCGATACCAGAGCCCAATCCTGCAACAAAATGCCGAGCTGCGTAACAAATCAGTATCGACACTGGAATCATCAACAGCATGAATTTGTTCAGAAAAGTAGCGAAACAACTTACAAGACTTTGAGCGCCCCGGGTTCGCCTGTTGAGACATGGGGGGTATGGTAAAAATTAGGTGGACAAGTGAGTAGCCTTACAAGAGGCGGTAATGGTGCTGGCCCGGTTTAGAGTACTGAACTAGCGGCTCTTGATGGAAATTGGGCGCACGCTCGGCGAATGCGGTTTATGGATGAAAAATATTACTGAGCGCGGGCGCCATTGTGTTGCAATTGACGTGTTAAGACGTGGGACATGTAGTAGGGCACGTTCTGCGAGAGAGATACGAGTGAGACGCCCTTCCCAGGCGGATGACATGCGGCCTTGCCAGATGCTTTCTAGCCTATTCAGGTCACGCTTACATAAAGTCGAGGACTTGCATGTAAAGGCATGTCAAGGTTGACACGCATTTGCATAGGTGCCAGCCAATCACCACGAGCTTTCAATTTATGCTATTATAGAGTATGTATGAAACCGAATTTATCTGAATCCCTGATCTTCCGAATTGTCGTTACACATTCAATGTTATCAATTGGGGCTGACCTCAAAACTGATACCCAGCCAATTCTGTGGCAGTGGCAATTGCGCATTAACCATGGTGGCACATGACGCATATAGCCAATCCCTCTCGGCTCATGTATGACTTGAAAGTCAAGAGAGAAACCACTTCATTTCCTTGATTAGATTCCCATCCTTGTGCTATACGAGCATCGCCCCTCGAATCCTTGTGAGCAAGTCTTATACCATAGATGAGGAACTTCACCACAAGAGCACGGGGATGCGTGTAGATGCTGAGCCGTCCATTCATTGTTTGGCCCCGTGGACCTTATAATCTCCAACAACGGATTCAAGGCGGCCCGATAAGAGACGGTGGCGTTTGACAATGTCGACCCATTCGGACTGTTTAGTGACACCTTCTTGATCATCTCCGAGCCTAGCTAGTAATATGCCGAAGTCTCCTCCAAGTCTACCCAAACTTCCCGAGCAATATAAAACCTGGGTCAAAATGCTATCACGGGCGGCCTGGTCCTTGACAATCGGTAGGTATTCGGAGAGAGTATCCAAAAGCATTTCAACGAGGTGGAGAGGAAAGGTCGAAAGGGTCGATGGCAGAGGCTGAAAAGGATCTTTTGCGCCACCGTCTGGTTGATTGGATTGAAGCCCGGTGCCGGGGAATATACTCTTGAACATAGACACAACACCAAAACTGTGCTCGCGGAAAATTTCGACGTATCGCTTCAAGTACTTTTCAGTCTGCTGACCACCAGACCAAGACTGGGTGCTGGACCCTTGCTGCCGGTGCCTCTCTTCGTCGGCTAGCTCGCGAAGAGGCTGCAGAGCCCCAAGGGTAGCATCCAAAGTAGCCACGCGGCAGCAGAGAAAAAGGAGTGAAAGTGTATGTTCCTGTGAGTCGCGGCTGGCGGAACTCATGGAAGAGATATCTGGGAGAACTCTTCTCAGCCAGCTAACGGTACGAAGGGAGGCCGCAAGCTTGAGCCCGGGTGACTTCAATGCCGTGATAAGATCAGCCGTCATCTTGATGATGGCTTCATCTGCCTGACGAGAGACCAAATCAACCAGTGGGGAGTCTGGGTATAAACCATGAAGTCTCCGTATGTGAGCATTCAGGTCCAAAGCTGAGGCGTAGTTAGCTGGGGCCGTGCTGATGGCTGACGAAAGTAGAGTGGGTAGTTCGAGGATGTCGACGAGTCGCTCAACATTCCGAAGTAACAACAATGCACGTTTCCTCTCAGCTAAATCCTCGTTATCACCAGACTTGCTGTAAGTGGTTGAGAAGCGAAGAGCCTCTGAATCGAGCCTGGGAATTGCATTGCGTAACTCTGCAGTATCTGCAACAAGGGTGGGCAGTGCGCGGGCCAGAGTGGCATGGTGTGACGCCGAGGCGATGACAGATTTGTGAGATCGCTTCGATACGCCCTGGAGGGAAAGAAGAAGTGATTGTGATGATTTGGCTAGAGACTGTGGCTCCGCTGAGGCCAGTGATTCCAGTTTCTGGTTGGCGAGATGGGTTAGATATGCTAACTTGGCAGCTCTTGGTGTTGGGTTCGAGTCGGCCACCAGAGCCTGCCGATTATCGAGCAAATCAAGAAGAATATCAGCCATAGTTCACCGGCTAACGTCCCTCGGAAGCGGCCGTCACATTTGCAGGGTGTCAAGATGTACTCAAAATGGCGGATTAAGATACAGGTGGTCAGGAATTCTGGCAAGGTGGTAGTATAATTCGACATACGTTACCCCATGGTCTGCGCACAGTGATTGACCAATCAGTACACCGCCTATCAAGACTAAATGCAGCTAAGGGGGTCCATGCGACTTGGTCAAATGCGCTAGGACAGGACAGTTTGAGCTTTATCAGTGTACCTTACGTAGTAGAATTTTCAGCAGCTGCCGCGGCGGCTGGGGTTGAAAGACTAGGTGCTGGCCGCGTGACGCGACCATGGGATGGCTACTACTCAGCCCAGTGTCCCACGAACGCGAGTCTGCTGCTGATGCTAGACAATATCTTCAAATTATGACCAATGTTGGATGACCGGACAAGCCAGGCTGGAAGCCCACCTGCCACAAAACCCAAGTACACGCTGGAACTCTTATCTGTTTCCGTAATGCGATGAACAAGTGCTTATTCGCACAGACAAAGTCACTGTGACTTTACGCATTTTGCCCCTGCCTGGTGTCCTCCTTGTTCCAGGGTCCTTCCATATCTAGCCTAGCCGCCCCCAACAATTCTCCAAAAAGCCATCCTTTCAAGTCCCCCCCGCGCCTTTCTGAAGTCGTTTTCTGCACACAAAGCTCACACGATATATTAGGTCACTTTGTTTTGTTCAGCCTCGTTGGCATCGAGCAGCTGACAGGCGCGATGAGAACCGATCTCCCTTGCTGAGATAATTAAGATAACAGCAATTGTGAGCTTTTAAACAAACAAGTCCCTTTTCCGAACCGCTCGAATACGGCGAAACCTATCGTCAACCCTATCTTCGTTCTCTGGTCCCCCTAGTCCTCTCGTCGCCGAGTCTTCATACCAGACAAGCTAGCACTCAAAAAAAACGTCAAGGGGGAGAGTCAAACAAATAATGAAGGACCCTTTCTTTCTAGAGCCTTTTCCATGGCTCGTTAAGGCAACGCAGCCTTGGGCTGACTTTCTCTCTCTCCCCTCGTTGCCATTACATATACACGAAGTCCTCGCCGCCAGCGTCTTGTACTCCGTCATTTATTACCCATTATCACCGTTGCTTTCACGCTTGATTGTTGGCCGCAGATATGTCGATTTGCCTAGGAAGAGAAGAATCAACTGGGATGCCCATGTCGTTTCCCTTGTGCAAAGCGTTCTTATAAACGGCCTGGCTCTCTGGATCATGTTTGTCGACACAGAGCGCAGTGAAATGGATTGGCAAGCTCGTATATGGGGCTACACTGGAGCCGCTGGCATGATTCAAGCTCTTGCTGCCGGCTACTTTCTCTGGGACCTAGTTGTCACGAGCTGCAATATGGACGTTTTTGGTATTGGGACCTTAGCTCATGCTATCAGTGCCCTATTCGTCTATGCTCTTGGTTTTGTAAGTTACATTGTCACTGGCGACTGTTGCTTTACCCTAACGTCTTTTTATCACAGAGGCCTTTCATCAATTATTACGGATGTATCTTCATTCTTTGGGAGCTCTCAACGCCCTTCCTCAACATCCACTGGTTCTTTGACAAGCTGGGCATGACCGGTTCCCGTCCTCAACTATACAATGGCCTGATGCTTCTCTTCACCTTCTTTTCATGTCGTCTAGTATACGGAACGTATCAATCAGTTAGGGTCTTTTCCGACATCTTTGCTGCTATTAACACAAACCCTATTCTTCCCCAAGAGTATATCAACCCCGAAACAGGCAACACGCCCACCGCTACTGGTGTTATGAGATTCGCCACGTCAACGTCTACGGTTCCTGCTTGGCTTGCTGTCGCATACCTCGTCAGCAACATCACCCTCAATGGGCTGAATCTTTACTGGTTCATTATGATGATTCGTGCCGTCCGCAAAAGGTTTCAGCCGGCCAAAAAGACCGAACAAGTGACTCATACCGAGTCAGAAGCGACCAAGACGATTTCCACCGCTGGACAGACTCCTCTTCGCCGACGCAAGGCTTGAAGGGAATGCAAAGCAGCCATTGGTCTCTAAACCGTGATCAAGCGTTTCCTAGCATCCCACCACTGTCTGCAGGTACTTATTCAGTTAATAACCATCAGGACGTATCAACAATCAAGCACATTTTGCACTCGCACATTGGATCAATGCAAGCAAGCCTTGGAGTTAGTGCACTTTTTTGCTCAAGGGTTCTTACTTCTGCTCTTGATTGTTTCGTGGGTAGTGTCTCGTAGCTATCTCCGATTTAGCAAACGCCTTGTTATTCTTGCACCAGCAATAAAACTATAATTCGGGTCCTACTGCGAGTTGGGCGTATCAATGGCGCGAGACTGAATGTAAACAACTACTTTGTAAATTAATGCAGGGCTTTCGCGGTTCTTGAAGGTTGTCTAGTTCAAGATAACTGCTGGAGTTTTAGGTTTTAAAGCCATACTACTACGGGACAGCTGCACTTTCGAAGTATGAACGAAATTGCAGTAGCAGGTTCTTTAAACCTTTCAAGGAAGGAGGTGGTAGGGACACAGCAGTCAATCACATTTTCACAGATTTTGAATTCTCCAGAGCGTGGGTAACTGTCGAAAAAGGAGGGAATGGCAAAGACCATGACTTGACTGATCCATTTCAAAGTTCTCAACCCCTCGTGTTGTTTCACTACAACGACAAAAAATAGTATTAAGTACATCTATATTTGTGAGGCTGGTATGACGGCGGTGAGTATATCTGCAGTGCAATTATGCTATGCAGGGCGTGTCCAGAAAGGCACACCACCATTATAAGACTTCGCTCGCTCCGAACCAGAACACACAGGCTATCAGATACGTGAATGTATGCATGATTAGAAACCGAAGGGGTTGTTGGGAGCTTCATAAGATCAGTAAATAATGTCGGGCTAACATGGGTAAAGTACGCTGGCTTACTAGCTTGTGAGAGGTTTGCCCGTCGCCCTGTTGGCTGAGGCATCAGCTTTTTGGCGTCACCCGTAACACCAAATCGGACTGGGGGTGGAGGTCCTGTCTTTTGTGGTTGCAAAGGTTGAGTTAGAGAAGGCATTGAGCTAGCACCGCCAACGTTGTTGAACCCCCCAAAACCCGTCGGTTGAGGCTGGAAGGCTGGCATCCCTGTGCGCTGTGGTTCCATGGCGGGCGGTAAAAATGAGTTGATGTTGCCGGTATGCTGGGGATTGAATCCCTGAGCGGCCCCAAATTGTCCTGAGAAACCGGTGGCCTGTGGTTGCATCGGGGAGAATTGACTTTGCCTCTGGGGATCGGCGAAGGGGCTCTGTGCTGGTGCCCCGGTCATCATCGGTTGCATGGATTGCATAAATTGCCCACCTGTTGGTTGCATGCCCGGATTAAAGCCCATAACGCCTGGGATAGGCTGAGACTGGGGTACAGGGTACGGGTTCATCTGCGACTGCGGCATCTGTTGCTGTTGCTGCTGCATCACATATTGCTGCTGCAGACGCGCCTGGTTCATCTCGTTCAGGCTCTGACCTGGTGGTGCAACTTGAGTTTGAAATCCAGTCATTTGAGGTGCTAGGGGTGGTGGTGCAAACGCACTTGGCTGAGCCGACTGAGGAGCTGATAACGGACGTGCGGGCGGCGGAGGCATCAGTGAACCTGGGCCCGAGGAGGTTGGAGGAGGTGCAGGCCTTTGCCGTTGCATCGATTGCTGCGGCGACTGCGCTACGGAAGGGCTCGGTCGAACGGTGGCAAAGAAGGATGGAGTAGCCCCTGTTGGTTGGGGAGCTTGTGCCGGTGGGTGACTGACTGCTGGGGTTGACGCTGGGGGTTGGGCAGTTCTCTGCGGCTCCAAAGGCGTTGTTAAGAGCGATAGCTCCTGCATTGAACCAGTCAGCGCTGGTGCCTGTGGAATTGGTGTAGCCTGTGATACAGGTTCAGCAGGAGGCTGAGAAGCCGTTGCTTGTATCGGCACAGCAGCCACTGCAGCAGCAGGTCGTGGTGGCTCTTGTGGTTGCTTCATAGGCTTTACATCCCAGGCGTCGTCATCGAAGCCGCTGGCGCCTTTCTGACCACTCGCGGGGATTGCTGATGCTGATGACGGCGATTTTGACACAGTTTCTTCAACTGTGCCATCGTCCTTACGAGAGAATGCCTTAGGATCCACGACATCACTCGTCTGAACAGCGGGTGCTGGCCTGCCCTTCCTTGTATTGTTGCGCAAGGCACCGCCAGGGCCTGAAAAGAGACCCCCAGACGAGCCGTCAGTTTCGACAGTCCCCTTGTCGCTGCCTTGGGAACGTACACGACCGTACTTCTGATCCAGAGTACGCATGACCTTGATGATGTCTCCCTCGCGGAGACCCAGGTTACGAAGCACAGAGGCATCGACATCGGGAAGCACGCTTTCGTCCATAGAGTCCTTGGAAAATGCTTGCGCGTAGCGCTCACATAGGCCGACCGCCACATCGCAAGAGAGGAAAAACTGGAACCAGTCATACTCAGGTTTCTGCGGTTGTCCAACGGATGCGCCAATTCTGTCGACAGGAGCCGAATCCCTGAGTGCCCCAGCTTGTGAGGCTGCTCTGGCCTTCTTAACGTTGGATAGGGGTTTGTCCTCGTCCAGTGAGATACCAGTGATGCGTTCGACATATTCAAGGTCCTCTACCGACATCTTGGCTACAGGTACCGCGATCTTTACACCGTTCATTTTGTGCAGATTGATCTTGCCATCCTTGAGCCCAAGGAACTGCGCCTCGACACTAAACGATTTGGATCGATCAGTCCATGTTCGAACTTTGGATGCATCCGGTTCTACGGTACACCATTAGCATAAGCAAATGACTTAGTTTGGGGAGAGACATGTAGTCTCTACTTACTAGATTTGCGACTTTGGCCGCCGCCTTCGCTTCGTCCGTTTTCGCGTTTATTCCGCTGCCCATAGTTATTACCATTTTCTTGTGCCATAAGACTACTGCCTCGCTTTGGTAGAGGCATTCCAGGCCCTACCTGCTGTGAGCTGTCTCTCTGAGCGGCCTTGACAGCCTCCTTTGTCAACCTTATCTCCTCCAACCGATTTTGCTCGACAGTTGATTTGGCGGCGTTCAAGCCAGCGTTGCCACCAGGTGGCGTGACAGAACCTGTTACTTCGATATAGCTGCTCGGCACAACACCTTCTTTTCCGTTTTTGATACGTCGAACCTGCCACCATTCCTCGCTTTTGGTGTCGTCAATGATAACAACATCATCGCCAACAGCGACTGTTACTTCATCGTCACCCTGAGCCATGAAGTCGTATAACACCTGCCCTTTTTTCTGGCCTTTTCCAGCTCCTGCAAGAATGACTTCCCTCAAGCCTTCGGCCCTGACCGCTCCAGCTAGTTCGCCTAGAGCGCTTACAATTTCCTCAGCTGTATCTTTGGCACCGGCGTGAAAGTCTACACTTTTGCTTGGCTTGACAAGCTCGAGGAAGACGTGTTTGCCTTCGCGGGAGTAGTGTGTCATCTTATCGGCTGTCCATTCTTGTGACGGGCCATCCTGGGCACGTTCCGGAGCAATCAAAATGGTACCAGTGGCCAAGTTGACACCAAGAGTGGTGGGCATCTTCTTGCGCTTGCCCATAACGGAAACCATCTCATTGATGTTGTACATATGGAAACCACCGGGTGCACGATAGGGTGGTTCCTCAATCTCGGGAGAATCAGCGTACAAGTGAGTGTCTATTGATCTCTCAGATCGAACGTGTGCCGGGGCAGGAGCTGCTTGGGAGACCGGCCTGGCCGGCAGCGCAGGACTTCTTACAGGCTCATCATCTGATGGTTCTGAAGGAGACTGTGGCGGAAGTGGGGGAGTAGCAGCACGAGGAGCAGAACGTCCAGCCATGACTCCTGCCAGAGCCGCAGCAGGGCTATTCTGCTGCAAGCTGGTAGAAGAATATGCAGATTCCGGTCTTTCCGCATGATTGTCGGTGCTCGTGGTAGCAGGTATGGAGCGCATTGGCAGGGCCGGAGGTGGCGAGGGCTGAGCAACAGTCTCCTCTGGCTCACCTATCTCGATATAATTGGAAGGAACGAAACCATAATCGCCGTCTCGTCCGACCAAAATCCAGTCAGGGTCTGAAGTATCGAACACATCGATAACAGCATCTTCGGGGAAGGAAAGCTCTTCGTCTGTCTGCCGGGTGTATTCGTACAAGGCGCGAGCTTTTGCTACGGGTTGAGCCTGCGGGTCAAGTTAGGAATAAGAAGCAGCAAGAAATTGGACAGTGTAACAGAATCAACTACCTCTTCAACATAGTTGTTTGGGATGAGACCCTCGGGCTCCTCGTCGTCATCAGCGCTGGCCTTCTTTTTGGCCTTCCACCAGTCATCTTCGGAATTCTTCTCCAGTATGTAGAGCACATCGCCGTCATTGATTGCAAGCTCGCCTTCAGCTTGGGGCGCATAATCGTATATGGCTTTGTAGACCCCTAAGAAACCCATGGTGTCCGAAGCCTTGACGAGAACGGTTTACCAGCAGCGTTCAGAGTAAAAGGGAAATATATATGTAGATGCGATTGAAGCGCCAACCATCAGAAGGTGGTATGATGTCTTGTGTACTCTATTGCAAGGGCTAGCACGGTTCGTAGAAGGCCTGCAGTTGTGTGCCGGTGACCCCGGAGGCGGCGAATCTAGAACGGGCAAACTCGGTTGAATCAGGCGTTTAATTGTCGAGGGGCCTCCTAGAAATGAGCGAATTGTTAGGTCAGCTCCGGGTGGAATAAATAGCAGTCGAAGGTGAGATAGAAGATGAAGAAATTCACGCAGGCGCGATGCAACGTGAGATTGGGTCAGCGTGATGTCCGTAGCCATAAACCCATTTACGACACGTAAGGGCGAACCGCAATGGCTGGTCAGCGCAGAACGACGCAAAGTTATTCCGAGGGCAATGTAGGACTGGCCAGGACAGAACTTCGCAAGGTAGTTGAGGGGCGGGAAGCTAGAGGGTCATGATGCGATCGATGGTCAGGGTCAAGGACAGATGTGACAGGCTTACAAGTCAGGAGAAAGCAACAGCTGTGCAGCGTCTTTCCAGTGTCGCATGAGCCTGTTAATTTGTAAAAAAAAAAAAACAAAAAAAAAAACGGGCGATAACCTAAGACGGAGGCGGAAAAGGCTGCAGCAACCGCAGCGAGAACGAAGGTGTTCAAGATTGGCGGTTTCCGCTACCTCGGGCGTTGGATTGTGGCGATGGTGTGAAGACAGCCGGAAACCAAGGAAGGCCAAAGCAAAGTAAGGCGACCTTGGTGAAAATAAGCAGGACGCTCGGTGGTATGTACGTTAGGTGTAGATGATCGTGGTGGTGACGGTAGTGCTAATGGCGAGTGGCTGATGTCAGGAAAGCATTATCCTCATCTTGCGTGGAGTTGGTGCATTTGGGATTAAGTCCAGCAGGACTTGTTGGATTGAACCGGACGCCTACTTCAGCGGGAGAGTGTTAGTGGAGGAATCCTGGCCTTGCTCAAGTGGAGGCTGGGGCTGGGCTGAGGCTTGACGTTTGACGGCACTATAGTACACTGGCTGTCACAGTGCTTGAAGAATTAACAGCACGGGTACGTGCATCTAGTCTCCTCCAGCCTCAAGAGGCCCGCAGTGTACCTGTCACTTCGGTGAGCACGCATCGAGATAACACAAAGATCAGCACGTTGTGGTGCCGTACTTCGCAGCCGCAACCAGCTGCCAGGGCCTTGTACGACCCACTTAATGGGACAAATCCGTCGCGACTGTCTGCCCAAAATTATGGACAACATCAGAATGGCTCAAATTATCGAAATCGCCGACGTAATAGGTTGTCCAGCGCCTGTTCCATTCCCCTTCGTTAGCCTTTAAAGAATTTCAACATTCAGGCTTGAGAACATGGCAGAAATGAATTATATGAGTATGTTGCCGTCCTCATCAAGCGGAACCAATCTATTGTCCTAGATGTTCGCCTAGTCACATTGATGGATCAATTGCCGGCCATTAAGAGATTCGAAAGTGTGTTACATCCCCATCGCGCCGGTCAATGTACGTCTTTCCAAAGGGCGCAATTATGTATGTCAGAGTTTCTGCCAAGTGCGATGTAGACTCGTGGCTTCCCCAGTTCAATCCTTCACCTCAGTCTGCTGTTGACCTGGTACAAGCCACCATCCATGTTGGAGTACTTGGTCAATCCTAATCGTTTCAGAGACCTTGCCCATCACGGCCTGACCATCCTTAGCAGCTACTGCCGCTCGTCTGTCCCCGACTAATAACACCAGGGAAAAGCCTGGGATCCTGACCTGAGGTGTGAGAATCTCTCAAGCCATCCGTAGACCATGAACCTTCCCTGGACACCGGAAGACTAGAAGGTGAAGCTATCAAATCGTCCTGTTGAGCCGCCGGGGTGCTATGCGCATCCGGTACGAGCATCTTTTCGCTGTGGCCTTGAACATTGGCTGCATTTTCAATACCAACGTGGTTGCGCGGGACTTCTTGCTGTCCAGCAAAAATGGCCGGAGCTATGGCCTGCTGATCCACACTAGACATTGGCTCAGATGGCCCTTTGGTGCTGTATGCTATATATTTTTGAAGCCTGCCGTCATTGTTAGCAAGCTGCATTGAACCAGCTGGGCTTTGTTTGTTTGTGGCACTTACATGTCCCGCTCTTCCATAAGCGTTTGATATCTGAATTCTTCTCGGCGGTCTGGCACATTTGTCTTAACCATGGCGTTACCTGCTTTGCCAGGAAGCTTGAAGGCAGGACCCAGCCACTGCTCCTTAATTGCACTTTCAAAGCCACTCTGCTTTACTGAGTTTTTAGCAAGCTCGCACATATCGACTGGACTCAGCTTGTAAATCTGCGCCGCCACAGCGTACTCTTCCATGAGCGGTTCCTTTGTGAAAGCAAACTGCAGTGGATCGTCTGTGGATAGAGAGACGTTTAAGCCCCTTCGGAAATACTGGTAGAAAGGGTTCCTTTCGTACGCCAAGAAAAGAGCATTGTTGCTTAGGGGTGACATAGCTATCCCAATTTGCTCGAGGTAGAAAATGTACTGGAGCAGTGGCACCTTGCGTAACAAAAGTCCGTGGCTAATACTATGGCAGCAAAGTAAGGCAACGGCCAGATGTTCGCTGTCACCAGCCTCACCGCAGTGTGGCCGCAGGACAAATGTGTTGAACCCTCGACGTTTCCGAAGCGCGTTGAGCGACGCCATGTTAGAAAACAAGTAGTAGATCCAGTAGCTGTAGGGAGGGTTTTGTTTCGAGTCCCAAACCTTGGGCACCGGGAACTTCTTGAAAAGTCGACGCTCAACCTTGCTTTCATCGTCAACACTATCAAACCCAATTACCCTCTGCAGGAAAATATGCAGCTTGGGGTGGCTTGATGGGTCTTTGGAAACTTCGAATAGGGGCTCGAAGACATTCTTCACCACCTGTTCAAAGGTATCCATGAGGCCGCTAGCTTTATAGACGTCGTACAAGCGAGGTATTTGGATAAGCCATCGGACATTGTGAGAAAAGAGTTTGTTGTCCACTACCCAAGCGGCCAACTTATCCCACTCGTCAAGTGATTTACCGTATATAGAGATGCGCCACTCTACCATTTGGTACTTGCTTGATTCCAAATCAGCGATAACTTCCTTGGTGATTTCCGCTAGATAGCGTCCGTTGATGAAGTTATCAGTTTTCAAAAAAATTGTTCGAAGCCGAGACTCGCCAATGGGATTGTATTTGAGGTTGAACTTGTCGAATCTGTGGAAAGAATCTGTGTGCGCCTATTGACTGTTGTCAATCTTAATTCTAGCCTTTTCCCGAACAAGAGGAAGTCTTACATGCATATCCAGAGTGTCAATGGAAAGATCGTAGGCAGTCAGATTAATGCTCTGGAACACTTCTGCCAAGGTAAGATATCGGCCGTCACGGAAAAGGACAACCTCATCCGGGCACTTTTTCATTTTGCTCTTGATGAAACGAAGAAGATGTTTTTGATTCATGCAGGCTGAGTGATGAACATGCGTGTCGACTTTGCGCACATTGTAAAAGTCTCTATGAGGGACCTTTTTGCTGTCCGCGGTCTCTTGGTACTCGTTGAGAAGAGCATAGAGATTGAATTTCCCCTCTAGGTATTGCAGCCGACGGAAGGCAAAACTCTTGCTCGGGCCGTCAGAAGAAATGCTCAATATTTGGTCTAGGTCCATGTAGAACTCCCGAATGGTAGGGACACGGACGAGAGGGTTTCCAGTCGCTTCGGCTTGCTCATCCTCAAAAACCTGGTACACACCGCTATCATCCAGCTTGAATGTCATTCTATCAACTGAGGGAAGCGGAAGGAGATCGTTAATATCGAAATCTTCACCAATGTCTTGACCTGGCTTCCGCTTCTTGTACGTTTTTTTTGACTCTGAGTCTGCTGCAGGAGCAGGTGGAAGAACCAAGCTACCATTCAGGCTGTTGGAGGTGCTGTTCATGACGTCGGCGGACGACACTGCACGAGCGTGCTCAGTACCCCATGCTGGTTGAGGAGGCGGAGGATAAATCAACCAAGATGCGTCATCCTTGGGGTTGTCATCATTTCCCTGGAGAGAGAGTTTGATGTACCTTTGTCGGAGGTGCATAATGCTTTGGATATTCTTGGAAATGGAGCTGAGCTCTGCGGTGATGTGCGGATCCGTATCCGAGAAAGCGGCAGCACCAAGGGCGGCGGAGCGATTAGAAAATGCCATGTCTTCATCAGGGCCGTGATCCAAAGTCAGCTGGGCTGTTGCTTTTGCAAGCTCACACGCGTCTTCTTGGAGAGGGTAACTTTGGGGAGGCGGGAAGTTTTCTACGCTGGCAGATTGACCGATTCTTGAGGTCGGTTCCGGCAGCATCACGTCCTCACGAGCCATGGATTTCCCTTTGGGCAACTGACTTCTCTCTTTACCCAAGGGAGAAGAGTCTATGGCATGGTCAAGACCCCTCGAGCCGGCAAAATGATCGTGAGGCTCGGAGCCAACAATGATAGGGCTGCCGTGCGGCGTGGAGTGGCCCTGTGACCAAACACCACTTCCCGTCCTCAGCTGACCGATCTGACTCCTCTGATAAAACAATTTGGCGTCTGTTTGACTCATCTGGCGTTCTGCGACGGGGTCGTAAAATGCTGTGCGCGTAGGAAGATCGCGAGGAAGCATGCCATCTTGCAGACCTGCCTCAATATGATCCTTGCCTTCGTGTGTTAAGTCCACGTCCAACGGAGGTGCGCCGCCCTTGGTTTGTTCTCCTGGCCCTTCGGACCCCGTGTCACCTCGGGAAGCTTGGGCGCCTAGCTCGCCTTCAGAATCCGTGTCCACGTCATGTAGAGAGAATGTGGCGCCCCGCTTGGGGGACGTTGACGCGGAACTTGGGTCTTGAAAAGAAATCTGGTGTCTGACCGAATGCGCTGTCAGTATAGGGATAGGGAATGGAGGGGTGCCAGAGAAGGGCAACTTACCAGCGTGAAACACGACTGCCATAGTCAGGAAGGGGGAAGAGTGTGTGAATTGTACGTACCAGCCATGGCAAGACGCTGTTCAGATTCTCCCGTGGTGTGTTACAGAACTCTTCCCCCAAGAAAGAAAAGAAAGAGGGGAGGAAAAAGGGAAGTTAAAAAAAAAAAAGGAACTTCATTCACTGCGGATGACGGCGATAGACTTGTCGATAAGATGTGGTAGGTATCGTAATATCGAGTAGTTGCATAAACTGGGTGTAGCGGTGGGCTCCGACGTCCGACAGTGAGCATCTGGAACGTCCTGGCGGGTCCTGCCTACTACTACTAGTATGTACAAAAACCCTACCCAGACTGACGCACAGTGTACCTAGTGTTGTATCTGCAAGTGCGGGATTACAGGTGTTTATTAGTACGAAGGAACTTCAAGCATAATCCTCGCAGATTGGAGTAGATGAAACTGTGGCTTAACAAGGCCACTGTTGGCTACTACAGCCCCTCCAAATAGGACCTTAGAAAGGGCCCCGAAGCCAAAAGACAATAAATGATATGCCCATCTATTTTCCAAACAAGTATTTCTAACTTACAGAATCTATTTGTCACCAGCGCCCTTCTGCACTCTTGATGTTTTAGTCCTGGAGTCGAGTGAGTACAGTCCTCCGGCTCCAAAAACAATGAAAGCTCCAATCAATGTACCCGCGGCCAGACGGTTTCCAAATAGCCAAATGCTCAGAAGCAAACTGACTAACTTGCGAATGTTCAAAACGATGGTAACTGTCAGTGCCGAAGAAACAGCGGCTAATAAGTTGACACCCCGAATACATGCATACTGGGTAAGGACGTTCGTCACGAGGTAAGCCAGCTGGCTCGGAATATGAAGCTTGGCAAGCCCCCCCTCAAAGCCATCACCGAGACCAAGTCGAGGCGCCTGTCCCAGCACAGGCATTGCGAGCGGCGGGCTACTAGCCAGTTTCCGGAATTGGCGGATCAGAGACGGCATGAAAGGCAGAAAGAGTGGGAGAGAGAGTAGATGTGAGTAGAAGAGGTTCTCTTTCCACTGCGGCCCGTATTTCTTGTACGTTTCTTCAGTATAAAGTCCCATAATAGCAGAGAGAACCTGGGCCACGAAGAGGATAACAAGGCCGGTTCCGAAAGCCGGCCGCTCATTGTGTCCGGGAGATTTCGTTGTACTCTGCGATTGATTTCAGGTGTTAGCTTTGGGCGCTCTCTAGCCTCAGTATGATTCCGCTACGACTTGCCTTGGATTGGGCATCTGACCAGGCGGCAGTAATGACACCGAAAGTTAGCAGAACAACGGCCACAACTTGGATGCGTGAATATTTTTTCCCATAGAGGGAACCAGCTATCATGGTGGTGATGCTCCCTCCGGAGCGTAGAATGATATGAACAGGCACGGAGATGTCGTAGCTAAAGGCGTGATTGTTCAGCACATTGATGCTGAAGAACAGGACGATGTTGATAACCCATCGCCTGAGAGGTACCTTGTTCTGTCGTAGGAAGAGAGGCGGCCTTGATCGGTCAAACTGGGAAAAGTATCCTGTAATGGCCACAAAGAGGAATTGAACGAATGTCAAGAGGGTTCCTGCACATAAACCTATAAGTACGTTTGCGCAGCCATAGGACACAGTTCAACGTACCGCTCGATGGTTCGACCCTGGCTAGCAGTCAGTTTAACTATACAAATCGATGAACGGGTTAAGGACAGTTGGTGCCTACTTGATGATCGCCTCCAAAGCATACACCTGTGCAAGGACGAGGTTAGTATATGGTGATTAACAAAGGATCGAAATTGCCAACATTGGAACAGCATCCGCCAAATATTAGGCCGAGCATCACGCCAACGGCAATCCATTGAGAAAAGAGGCCAGCAACAATGCGCCCGGCGGCTTGATTGGGTTTCTCGGCGTTGGGCGACGTGTGTCCGTTTACGGCCAGGCCATGAGCAGTCTGGCACGACGTCTTTTCATGCCGGCCTCGGGGGCTGGCGCTGGAGTCCATCTTCTCCGAGGGGAGCGATGAAGTGCCTCGCGGCTGGCCGCGTCTTCGAGATGTCGCTGGAGAGGTCATCGATTGGGGCCTGGTGCGAACAATTGAGAGTTTTGGTTTGAGGTACAGACTACCGTCAAAGTGTAAACGCGCAGCGTGTCCGGGAAGCAAGACAGGGTCCAACCAATGGCAGCTGGGCACTCACTCCAGATGTATAGCTGTGTTGCATCAATTGCCCCACTAGGTCGCCAAAAGGACACAGGAATCTATCTAGCACGGGCAGACCCACGCCTGAGGTACCTGCTACCCTAGCTGTTGTAGGTAGCGAGGCACTGGAGGCAACCTGAGGGGCTGGCACAAGGGCTAGAAAGGTACTTAAGCAGCTGTCGCTCCGCCCAGAACGTCTGGTGTCAGACCGTGCTAAAGCAGACAGAATTCTCAGGCAAGTCAAAATGTCTAAATGGCCACGACAGGCAGTCAAATTGATGCCTCAAGGGGCTTTTATTGGTTACTGAGACACCAAAGCAGAGGACATGCCCCTGTCTTTCTAAGGGATTCTGTAACCCAGGCAAACACTGAGGACAGATCTCGTTGTACCCCGAGTGATTGCAGATGGGTGTGCCCCACTTGCCTGTTTGAGGTCTTGTGCGCCCCTCGGAACTCATATAATATGTACGCATCGATAAGTCAAGCAAATGAGATGTACGATCAAGTGCATGAATGTGAGAACCTCGTTGCCTTCAATTCTGCTGTGGAAATCAGGGAGGCGTCGCCCACCGTCTACACGGCCGGCGGTCCATCTATCAGTAGTGCTTCTCTCATGTCTGCATCCATCCTTTATCTCCCTTTCCCGAAGCACCTGTATGATGGCTTTTGGTGTCCAGCAGGTTCTCCTCTGCTGCTCGCCTCGGCCTCCCAGTCCCAGAGTGTGGCAATACTTGTGGTAGTATAAGCCGACAACAGCCAGCGACGCAAGCGTTGGACAGTAGGCCTCTGTCAGTCAAGGAGACCTGCTTGAAAACCCCAGCGCCCTCTGTCTGTGTCGGCACACCGCCCTGCTGTGCCGTGTACCATCTCTGAGCTTCATCACTTCACTTAGACCTCGAGCGCCTTGGTCCTTTACCCACTCTATAGTGCAGAAAAGACAAACAACTGTATTAGGAGAAAAAAAAATAGAACTTTGGTTAGCCTGTCGCATCCACGCATTCTGAGCAAGTGGGAATAATGCAGTTCTTACATTGTTTGTTGCCGCAATCGCGATACTGTCTTCAAACGGATGCCAGCTCATGTGCAAAATCTTCTTGTTGAAATCAATCTGATCGGCATCAGTTTCCTTGCGCATTCGTTGGCCCTGACCACCGGCTCCGGCAGCAGGGCTGCCAGCACGGGAACCTCCCTTCTTGCCACCGTTGGTCGCGGTTGGACTAGTAGATGAGTTGATGGGCGTTGGCACGCCAACCTTTTTAGCCTTGAAAGCAGATTTATCAGCCTGCAAGACAACTTCGACTTCTTTCTCGGGATCCGAGGGATAAATCATGAAGTTGTTGTTATAACTGCCAGTCATAACGTTCTTGGCATCTCCTGAGAAGACAACCTCAAACTTGTCAAAGATGCTGTCATTCTCATATGTGTCGCACAGACGAGGGCGGAGATGTTCGTGAATAGGAATAGTCTTCACAGGCTGGCGCTCCATATTGATATCCCAGATTTTGACCGTCAGGTAGTCACGGGACAGGATATAGCGACCATCGTAGGAAAAGCGAACATCCGAGATTGACGAAATAATTTCAGAGAAGAACGACCTTGAAGATGGATCCTCTTCTTGTTCAAAGACTGTAAGTATGCATAACACGTCAGCAAGAGGCAAGATTAGACGCGAAAGGGGTCTCCGACGTACGCTTAGCGTGTCGGTCGCAGAGGGCACTCTCTCGCATGTCAGCAAGTTTGATGGTGCCCTTAGAGCTTGCGTACATGAACCAATTGCAGCTCAGCGGATGGAACTCGGCGGCGGTAATGACTTCGGTCAACTCCTCCATGTTGGCTGGTTTGATGTCAACAATGTTGAAGCTCTGGTCTTGGATGTTGAGGTTCCATAGATTGATACGGAGGTCGTCACTGCTGATGAATGTCTCGCCGTCACTGTTGACAGATATGCTGTTGATGTGGTAGGCATGGGCGTTCGCATAAGTTCGGCGGGGCACGGCGGCGACAACGGTATCGTGGTGGGTAAGACGGGGCATGATGAGGTCCTCTGCGTTCTTGAAGCGATGCGCGGGGGTTTGTCTTGGGGCACCCCCGCCACCGGCGATGTTGGCGGGGGTCAGATCATCGGATAGGTTGTTCTCGGCGACAACCTTGAGTGACTTCTCAAACACCTTCCATAGCTTAATCGTCTTGTCATTTGTTGAGAGGAGGTAGTGAGAAGCATTCTGACGACGACACCACTTGATCTTGTTGATCTTTTCTTCAATTTCCAGAGATTTGAGGTAGTCGAACTCGGGCTCATGAGACTGGAATTCCGTGTGAAATTTGTACTCGCACGTCTTTTTCTGTCCAAGGATATCAGCATGGTCTCGACAGCGAGAAAATAGCCCTCAAAAAGGCGGCCAGTGCCGACTTACCGTCTCATTCCGTTCGAACAGTACAACTCGTCCACCTTTGTCTCCTGTCGCAAGGTAATTGCCAGTGTGATCGAACTCAACCGTTGAAATGATATCAGCTAGAAAAATAGAAACAAGAATTAGTCAGACAGCCAAAACATGCTATTAACCGCAAAAAGAGCGAGGCTTGAGTTGTATAGTCACCAGAACAACGACAGAGCGGGGGCCAGCTTACCTTCGGTGATATCTTCCACATCGCCTTTGTCTCCAAAGCACCTGTTAAGCCGCATGAGCTGTCAGCCAAACAACGGATGGAGCAGTCCATGAAGAGGGAGGCCGCATGGCGGACATAAATTCTGACGATGCGGGCAGGCAGGCGGGCACGTACTGGGTGAACTTCCACGTCGGGGAGTTCGTGTCACTGTCCACCATCTTTGCTTTCCAGCTACGGGAAGGCTGTGGAATAGTCTGCCAAGGTATTGGGATCCAAGAGGAAGCGAGGTGGCGGGGCACGTCGAGGGAGAGGGGCGAGCTCTATTCGTGGGGCTGAAGAGAGGTTATCTTTCAGCGTTGAACGTAGGCAAGGAGGGCGGGATAGGCCACACGACAGGCGCAGGTTGGAAGATTGAAAAGGTCGGGATGGTGATGGCTGCGGTCAGATACGAGGTCGAAACAAAAACACGCAAGCTGGGGTTGGCGACGCGGGAGAGCGAGGGGCGATTGCGGCGGCAGTTCGATCGCTAAAGCTGAATACCTCGTGTGAAAGATGCAGCTGAATGAGGTCGATGTTGGGTCTGGGGTAGAAGTTCAGCAAGGCGGAGGGGAAGGGAGAAGGCCGAAGCTCAGGCAAGAAAGGTCGAAATGGGTTAGAAAGGTATGGACGGTGAAAAGATGAGGTGCGCCCAGCTAGTGTCGTCGGTAAGTTGCGGAGCAGGTTTGCAAAGTCGAAGTCTGGGTTTCGTCGAATGCAGAGACAAGCGAAGGCAGAAAGTCTTCTTGGGAACCTAGAGAAGGCGTGGGATGGGGTGCACGGTATGGATGGGAGGGGGGTATCGCGGGCGCGCGTAGCGGGCAGTCGAGAAACAGGGTGCAGGAATGCGCAAGGTTGAGAATGGGGGTGTGCGTTGTGCGTGGTACAGCGATGGGTGAAGGATGATGGATGGATAGAACAAAGTGACGCTAAGAACAAGAAGCCCGGTGGATGTTGCGTCTGTTCCCGATCCATTTGCACTGGGACGACACCAGAACGGGACTGTACTGTTGCAGTGCCCTGGGCACAGGCGGGGTGTGCTATGCCAGTTGCCACAGGTCGCGGCAAAAATGGGAGTCTTGCAAGCCTTGTTACCTGGTCACCTTTAGAGTAGCACCTACTCTGCTCGCCAGTTCCAATGTACCGAGACCTTGAATACCCTTGGGTTTGGCAGGGGCCAACAGGTATTCTGTTTGCAGCAAGTACCTCGTCACGGCACTCGCCGGGCACCTCACACCAGCTGGCTCCTTTGACTGGCAAGGCGAATTAGGGTATGGATGCACTGAGAGAGCCTCCATTTGCATCAGAGACAATGGTCCAACCCTTGTAATTGTCGAGGAAAGGCAGGCAGGTTACGTAGCCAGGACATTCGCATGTGTGAACTACATTCGCAATCTCAGTTACCATTTCCCCTGCTGCACCCTGATCTAGCCCTACTTCCTTTCCTCTTGCACCTAAGGTAAGCAAGCAAGAGTTGAGATGTCTTCTACACTCCTGTTTCTGTGTCCTATGTTCAGCTTCTCAAGCGGGAGGAAGAACGAGGTGGGGTAGTTCTGCGAGGTGGGTTGGATCCCAGAATCGTACCCAGGCGCACGAAGAGGGGCCTAGATGTCCTAATTGTATTCCAGGCGCACACACAACCTTAACGCACCCACACGCAATGTGAGGTAGTTGTTCTGCTAGTTCCAAAAGCTATCAGGGCCTGCTTCTGACTCGGAGCTTATCTATCCCGTTTCGCGTTCCTACTCTAGATTGACAATCCCAAGAAAAAAAGAAAGAAAAAGAAGAAAAAAACCACATATGCCAAACATATCCTCTGCAGCCATACGTGCTCAAGCAACTGATGATGCTCCCATGCATGTATACCAACTAGTTACTAAAACCAGTTCCAATAAAACTTGCCATAGATGTCAAGTCGCTAGATGATGCGAGTGCTTCATCAAAAACGACTGGTTGGGTATTGACATACTTACTCAAGTAAGTTGAAGGGAAAAAATAAATCGACAGCAGCAGGGTTCGAACCTGCGCGCCCGAAGGCATGAGATAGAGAATGATTAATTCAAGTCTCACCTATTAACCACTCTAGCATGCTGCCAATACAATTGTTTTATGCATTGCTTTGTGTACGACACATCACGAAAACGCATTATGTACATGTGCCAGGTGGAGAAACGTAAAATTCGCGTTCAACATCCGAGAAAGCCCGAAATGCATATACCTACAATACGATTACAAACAACAAGACTACAGCATATCATAAAGAGGTATAGTTATCATTGATAGCTTTTTCCCCTTCAAAATTAGCAATAGGAGTTTGTGAGCGTAGCATGAGGTCCAACGGAGGTTGACGGATCTGCCTCGGGTCCGATCAGGCACGTGCCGTCATACGGAGTACCCGAACATCGGCAGAAGCAACAGGACGGGCCTGAGCTTTCCCCTCCGACATTCATCGAGCACATTACAGGCCGACAGCCTACCGTATGTTCTTTCTCATTGAAAAGAAAATTCATGTTATAAGCTCTACAGTGTCAGCAATCTCTTAAAATGGATGATGACAATCACAATACCACATCCGATTACAAGGGCAAAGGGAAGGATGACGCTCCTTCCCCCTTGACGCCTGACCAGGACGATGGCACCGAGGTTCAATTTCAACGCCTCCAAGAAGACCATAGCGCATCTTCCAATCGGTCTTTGGCTGCCCGCATTGCTACTTCAGCAGCCAATCTGTCTAAGAGCGCCTTAACAAGCCGACCTGACGACTTTCCGGGTATGACTGTTGAAAAAGCACAATCAGGGTCCAGCTCCGCCGCCGATCTCCCCAAAGGACAGACCGCCACCTATCATAACGAGAATGGAACCGGATCTGGCGCTACGCAGGCATTTTCTCGACGACAGCATCTGTCTACAGCTGAATATCAATACACCGATTTCAAGGATGTCCAGTCAGATATAGACGCCTCAAGTCTGGCTCAACAATTGGAGGCAGCGCAACTAGAGGCAGAACTAACTATTCCAGTGGTATCTCATCAGCTTAGTGTCACTTCTGCTGTCAGCTCACAGGAAGCTCGAGACGGCCACCAAGTGACAGATCTTCTGAACATACCTGGAGTCCCCGGTGACGAGGACAGCGACAATGGTCTCCAATTGGACCTATCCCCTCAAGCAGAGGCTTCATTAAAAAAGGCGCTATTCGGGGCCAGTGGGGAAAGAACCACTTCAAACTGGACCACTCTTCTTGACTTTGAGCCCGACTTTTTGCAACAAGACAATCCTGCTGGAATCCAGCAGCATTTGGGTGATGTCGACCCGCAACACGCGAGGAGCTTATGGGTTGATGGCTGGAGTGAGGTGCTCACAAGTTATACCGACGATGTTTGGGGCGATCTCGATTCCCTTGCCCGAGAGGCACAGAGGGAACTCGCGAATGCTCAAGGGCATGCACAAGGTAACCAAGGGCTGAGGGTTGGCGACATGAAGGCGCTTCAACGACTCAGGCAGATTTTAGCGCACGTCCGAGGGAGTTGTTGATTAACAAGGCGGCCAGGTGGGTGGCTGGCGGTGAAGGCGGGGGTTGCTGTGCCAACTATTCGTAGTCCAATGACATCATGCAATGCCTTCATCTTTTACCCACTACTTCAGCGCAACCCAACCACCTCATCCTTCTTAGCCAGTCTGATCCAGGCTTACATGCATGCAAGCCACCAAAGAGGCATAGGCGGGGTTGAAGTTGGCCGTTTGACCCTACACTCTTCGTTATTGATCCCACCTTGCATTGCCGCATGAACAGGGAAGATAAAGACAAGATGGGGTGATAGCCGTCGCCAACAGCGAGCGACCCGTAGGTGGGCAGGCCCTACCATTGCACTGAGGCAGCTAGGGTCGAGAAGATATAACATCACTACCCCGTGTTTTTGCTTAGCGTACAGTTTTCCGCCTCTTCCATCCTTTCAATCTGATACCATCCCAGCAACAGCTTTCTTTGCTTAAGCCGCTGTAGTTTGGGCTTCTCCTTTTTTTGCCAGTAACAACCACCTGAACGTGACGAAAATTTGTACTGAGGGTCCTTCTCAGCAAGCCAATCGGGTTGCTAATCAGATACTACCAAAGTAGTATTGGAGAGCCTACGGATCGAGGAGACATACCTTTGCAACAAACAACCACTGGCAGGTAGCTGCTGTGAGATACTGTAGCCATGAGAATATCACAATGGACAGCACAACTTGCGTCTTTGCTGGTGGCAAGTCCAATCCTGGCACTAGCCAACCCAACTCCAACCCGAACGACAGCCCCGACATTGGCTTCTACTTACCGAGCTGGTAAGGCATCATTGCTGAGGCGTCAAGATTGTCCTGCTGGCACTTACTCCTGTTCGAACTCATTGGGTGAAAGCTTCGAAGGCATATGTTGCACGACCGGGCAGGTCTGTGAACTAGATGACAGCAACCGGCCGGCCTGTTGCCCTTCTGGGTATGGATGACTCTAATATGACCCCCATCGCACGCACTCTGTCAAGTCAGTGTAAGCTAATTTACTGGAACTTCCTACAGAGCCGTCTGCACTGGAACCGCCCCGACGACAGCTCCTAGCGGCCCGACTGCTGTTTCATACGTGCCAAATGAATATTTTCCCTTCCCCTTCATTGCCACATCTCTCGACCGAAGCGAGTGCTCCTCAGCCGTTCGCCAGTGTTCCAGGAACTACGAAAGCTGTGTCACTCAACTGCAAGGCAATGCGGGCTTCGGTGTAACCGTAGTCGTCCCTGGCGGAGGTGGGACCACTGTCGCAGCAACCCGGCCGGATGTTGGTACCTCTGCTACGCCAATATGTTCCAGTCTCAGCTCTCGTGCATGCTATGGGTTGGAAAATGACCAGTGTGCAAGGTCGACAACGGTAAACGGTGTCGTCATCAACCATGCGGCGCGGCCGACTGCGGCTTGCATGGCTGGCATCGCTGCTGGTGTTGGAGCCATCGTCTTTGGCGCCATGCGATGAACACTATCGAAGCCTAAAACAACCAGCTCAACGCCCGCCAGGCGCAATGTTAAGTTCTGTCAAATGAATTGGTTTTACTGTGTTTATCGCTCTGTGGAAAGGCGTTATTCAGGCCTTCCAGGCATTTGTATTTCCTAACTAGTTGTCGGCAGGCGAATGAAGACATTTGGCCGTGACGACGACAGTGCGGCGAAACTACGAATCTTTTTCAGCGCCAGGCGGGTTGCATGGCACCCTTTTTATTTAATGTTCGTCTTTCTCGTCATGCACACAGAAGCCGCAGAGACGACGGAACTTCCGCGATGCCGCATCAGCCCAGCCCTCCAGGACGTCGCTGAGGAACTCCAGCATGCGGCTGAAGAAAAAAAGGCTGATAAAAGAGAGACCGGCAATCACAGAAAAGCAAATCCAATACATTTTGGGTGTGTAGTGTTCCACCAAATCGGGTATCTCGACGGAGAAATAACTGGTCATGAAGGTGATAGGGAGGAAAAAAACGCTCAGCTTAGCAAGTACAGTGGCGCTTCTGCTGAGGCGGGCAGTGGCCTGTGAATCCTTTTGGGCAGTGAGATTGAAATACTATACATGTAAGCGACCTGTTAGCAACCTAAATCAACACCCAGAGCCAAGGATGTATTTGTTAACTACGTACCGTGCCAGACAGCGCGTTCAGTTCCTCCAGATACTCCTGAATAGTGTTCAACATCAGCAACTGCAACCGGTCTCCGAGTCGATCGAAACGACTCCTTGCTGACGTGGAGATCTTAATCCCCAATATGCCGCCTTGTGACTGGTGAACATCGCACAGGCACATTCTTTGGTCATCCTCGGATTGTGGTCTGTTACAAATGTGCCTTATAAGGCTTTTGTAGCTCTCGAATAGGTGGTGCAACTGCCGCAACTCCTTTCTCAGAGTATGTAAAGGCCGGATAACATCGCCACTTTTCAGCTTGCTTCTCCGACTCTGCTTATGTACGTTAGCCTGTCATGCGTTGCAAAGGCAGTGGTCCCTTGAGTAACTCTTGTGACTTACCGTACTTGTGAGTATATGTTCACTCTGAGAGCAGTGTTATCAGTTACTGGATAGCACAAGTGAAACGGTTAAAACTAACCAAGCTATGGATTTCATCACGCGCCGCCTTCAGAATCGGTGCTGCCCCTGAATAATCCTCAAACAGATAAAAGAATCTACAGTAGAGTCGGTTAGTTGAAGCCTTTGCCAGTGCTGTCAAGCTTGAGTCGGTGGAGGAGGCAAAAAGTACAGATTACTTGAACCTTCACGAGCCTTCTCGCAATCTGGCCCGTCCTTGGGCATTGTCTGTCTGACTGACTTCAGTGTAATGACTCGATCTCTATAATCTTTGTCACCGTGATTCGATAGTTGGCACAGGACAGCAACAGTGTTAGATCGCATGTTCCTCAGTTCTTCCTCGACCCAAGAAACACTATTGCGTTCACAGGGTGGAATTTCATGGAATGACAGAACAACGGCTAGCAAGGCAGTTTAGTTAGCTCATTGAGAACTGCTTTACAAGGTTCTTTCCGAAGGAAATACTTGCAGTCAGAGCAGAGCGTAAGCCATGACCAATGTTTCGGTGGCAGAAGGCTTGGTTTCCGGCTCGTATTGTCAATTCCGGGGCGGCGGTGTAGCCAATTTGCGCCAACACAAAGAACTGAGATCTGTTAGTGTACGTTCCAAAGCCGTAACTCCATTCGTTTGCATGTCATACATTTCTTTCCGTGGTCAATGGACGTATAATTCATCGTCTCCTTCACTAGCTGGTAGATCTCCACGTCATCCGAGACTTGCGTCGAGGTCTGAATTGATGAATATAGCTTCTTTTCGTTAGAAACGGACCCTATCTCGATATCGCTGGGGCCAGAAGCATGTGCTGCGCTGGCTTGTTCAAAGTTGGGTTTGCGCGCAGCAGTCATGAGGGCCTGAAGTCTAGGTGAAAATCCATAGTAAGTGCCAATCTTCTCAACAGCCGGACGCTGAGTCCCTGGGGACCAGATATTGATCCAGCGCACTGTGCCCTCGGGGGGTTTTTGACCCAACAGTGTCTCGAACTCATCAGAACTCAAATCAAATGCGATTCTGGCCTCGCTGTAGCTGAAATCTACAACGAAGTTGAGTGCATGGTCGCTATTGGCCTCCTTTACAGTTTGATCGTAGATGGCCTTTTGGTCAAGGTTAAGGAACCTGGTCCAAAGATCATCATGGCTTCGAGGCGACATAGATTCAAGCAAGTTGAAAATGTATTGGTGCAAGCGTGAACAGCAATGAAGAAGTGAACTGTACAGTATGCAGGAATCGTTGTGAGGAGATGGCTATTCATGCGTTTGGAGGTGATCGTTTTTCTTCCTTTTTGAACTTGTGGCAGAGTAGGCACGACGGACGACGATTTTTTCCAATTAAGCGCATGGTTTCACCCCAGGCGGAACAACTATTAGAGGTTGCATTCTGTTGGTTCTAAGCTGTTGCAGCCGCTGGTGCCTTTCTGAAATTGGCGATATTATGCAGGTTGGAACCAGGGTGCTAAAGCTCAGCCACCAACCATCAGTCGACATCCAATACCAGGCAGCTGCCTGCTGTATCCCAGATGTAGTCAAAGAGAGAACATAAGCGGTTGCTACCTCTCCAATAATAAACTTACAATAGCGATCCACCGTGAGAATACATGAAAAATATAGTGCACGAAGGTGATGGAAGTTTACTCCCTTTGGTCACCACGGTTAGGTACCAGCAAGCTTCCAAGCGATGCACGAATGGCCTCACCCCGATCCCTCGCTGCCCTCGATCCATCAAAGTAATGAGGCATAGAAAAGCGTTGGAGAGAGAGCTGAAGAAAGTCTCGCGCAGTCCTTTCCGCCTCTTCAAGACGACACTCGTCCTCGACATTCAGCCTAGCACATGTCGCCTTAACATCTTCGTCGTGTGCCAAAAGCTGGATAATCATTTCCGCCCGTTCGATTACTGCCCCTTCAACCCCATTGAGTGCTGCACAAGCGTTACTGAAGCCAAGTGTCCTTTGACCCATTGCCAATTCGTATAGAAACACAATCTGATTATCTCTTTTAGCTCGCAAATCGAGGCGAACATTCATGTGAGAAACTGATAGACCTGACCTATCCCCAAGATACTTGAGAGCCTCATGAAGGTGCGTTGTTACGAGGACTTTTGGGTTATGGATATTGAGCGTGGTAAGATGGTCGATCAGAGCAGCCATAAGCCCGGAACCATCATCGGGCGTCGTTCCTTTGCCAAACTCATCTACTACCACAAGGCTGCGACACGTTGCGCGCTTTATTAAGAAGGCTATCTGCCGCAGTTCAACACCGAAAGCACTTTCCGCCTGTGAGATGCTCTCTTGGGTTGAGATGCGAGTAAGAAGCTGATCAGTGATTCCAATAGTGGCGCGGTCGGCAGGGACAAAGCTACCCAAATGGGCGAGATATACAATCAGAGCGACCTGCTTGATATACACGCTCTTTCCTGAGAGGTTTGGACCAGTAATAACGAGTGTCGTAGTGTCGATACTGTTGAGGTCCGATCTTGTATATTGACCCGGTGGGCTATCGGAGCCTCCCTTCAAGTTGCAATCATTGGCGATGAAGGAACTCACGGCCAATTCCTGTAGTGGATGGCGCCCTCCTCGTATAGCAATAATATTGTCGGCAGTCATTGTTGGGGCTATCCAGCCATACTTTTGAGCCCCACGTGCCATCGCTACTAAACAATCAAGTGCTCCGCAAATATCAGCTGCTCGCAGGAGTACAGATGCATGCTCCAACACACGACAAGCAAGGTTATGAAGAATTTGAACCTCTAAATCTAAATCTTGCGTCAGCCTCGGGTGCCTTACGTATGAGCTTCGAAAACACAAACCGATAATCGCAGAGTAAGGGTCGCCCAGTTGGGCATCTAATTCTGTCATCCGGCGGTTCTTGCAATACCCATTGCCGTTGGCAACAAACATAATCTTCCACTTGTCATCTTCAAGTCCTTGTCCTTCGTAGGCTGCCGTACCATCGGAGCGGAGAGAGACAACAGTAAAGAAACCTAACTGAGGCCAAAACACACAACCGACCACGCACTCTCGAGCCCACTCTGGGAACTCCCGTGACATGGACGTGCGAATATCGGTAAGAAAAGAGTCTAGGCCATGGTAGATGTGTTTCAAACGGTCAAGCTGCGGCTCTACGTTCGATTTCACTGCAACCCGCGTGCTAACTTTCGCCTCGTCGAACTCAACCACAGACCTTATCAATTCTCTAATGCCTTTCATGGCGCTGACAGGAATCCCTTCGATAACCTAAGAATTTATGTTAGCAAAATTCATGTCCCTAGCTGCAATCCTAGCTCACTTGCTGCACAGCAACAAGGTCATGTGCGTGACGTAGCTGTAGTACAGCATCCCTAAGGTGCAGAGAATGTAATGAAAATTGAGTCAAAGTTCGCCAAACTCCACAATCAACAGACGCACCGCCAGTTGGGGCAACTGCACCCCGTTGCAACTGTTTCAATGTCTTCCGGATGTCCTGAACCCTTCTTAAGACTCTGAACATACTCGACAAAGTATCAGAGTTGTCGGGCCGAAGAAAAACTGCAATGGTTTTCTGTCTCTCCCGAATCTCGTCAAGGTTGATCAAGGGGCGGGTAAATATCTGTCGCAGTTTCCTCCTTCCCTGAGGTGTGCCTAGTAAGGGGTGAAAGATACCATATAGGGACAAACTTTCCTTTGAGCTAGAACTAGATGTCGCTGCGCCAGATATCAGATTATTGGGATCAAGTTCGGACTGGAATATCTGAAGCGAAGAAAGGGTATCTTTGGTAACGAACATGAATTCGGAAAGAGTGAACATCCGAACTAGACCAGCAATGGTTCTGCCTAAACTGCAAGGCTCTGTGTTACGCACGCGGATGATATCCCCTAAGATGGCGCCCGCACAAGCGACCTGTTTTTCGTCAGATCTCATTGCAAAAGATCACCTAATGCGGAGTTAAGCCCACAGATAGTTTGCAGTCAAGGTCAATGAAAGACCCTAGTCGCATTACTTTAATGTTCTCACACTCATCTTCTATGCCACCGCTCGACCAGCGGTACGCAGCAGTTGTTATTCGAGCTAGTCCTGAACAAATCAAGGGTAGGCTTGTAAGTTTGTCCACAGATACGGTGTAGTTAAAATCATTTGATCCAAGCGTACGAAGAACATAATGGTTCCTATTGCCATTGCCTGAAGAGATATGAGTCAGCTAGGTAACATAAACTGTTTATAGAGAAAGCCCACTGTGGTCTATGATGGTCCTGTGATCTTCAAAAAAATGAAGCACTTCATCGGATACATTTAGGGGCAACAACACTACTGTAGGGTCGACGTAAAGCATTAGTTTCTCCAGCAACTGTAGAGAATCGGTGCAAGCCCCTTCATGCAAAAGAAAGAGACTATCTTCAGTGGCTGTGTAATAAGCGCAACCGAGATTGCCGCCATTTTCAACATTAATAGCCATGATAACGTCATCCTGATGTTCTGCTGATACTGTTGCGTCTTTGGAAGAAGCTGATTGAGGCTGGTTTTTGGTCCGCAGTGGCAGCGGGACATTTTGGGCAGACGGACCTTTTGCTGGTGAAGCGGTGAAGAAGGTGCCGGCGTCAGGTAGGGGCAGCTGGTTTGTTGCAGTTGTTGTAGCGCGTTGGAAACCCAAGACGCCGATGGACTCTGATGCCGGGTTCAAGCTTCTCTGACCAGCTGAGGAGCTGGGGTTGCTCGAGGGGAGGGAAGAGGCCTGTTTTGGATGAAAAGGACTAAAACTGCCTGGAAACTCCTGGCTAGAACGATGTCTGGAGACACAAAATTCTCGCAAACCACGTGCAGAACCCGAAGAGCCCTGGTGAGTGCCTTCTGAGCCCATTCTGGGGAGTGGTTGGCTTTGCCACGGGCTCGTGGATGAGCCCCTTCCAAACATAGAGGCTAAGGTGACTGAAAGACCGGAGTACAGAAAACCAGCCGGACAGAAGTGAAGATAGAGGCTATGTAGAGAGGAATTGAGATGGAACACCTCGACATAAGGAAGTTTCAGTTTCAGTCACTCTGTGGTAGATAAAGATCTTGGGATAGAGCAGGAGGAAGGAGCCTCTCCCTTAGGGCAGTTAGTTCTATGGATGGACGTTCCTGCAGTTAATACCTAGATCGGATGGGAGACAGTGCTTTCCTTCGGGATCTGACTTTGCCTACTTATAGTCTTGGATAACGAAGCTAACACATAGGTGAAGGATGGTCCGGTTGCCATAGGCTTTCTTTACCACATATTTGGATGCCTGCGGTTCATTAGTCCATGGAACTATTTAAGACAGATGCCCAAGCTTTAGAACCTAGCGAGGTATGTAAAGGCCTGGTACCACTTTAACTTGCCTTCTGGTTAGCAAAACTAATTATGACTATTTGTCGATACGCCCCAAAATATTCATACATGGATCTATCGCACACGATGTGCCGCTGTGCAGGCTTGAAAAGCACAGTTTGCACATTTCGCTAAGCAGTACATGGTTTTTTGTGTATGCATGAGAGCTGCAGAGTTCAATTCATTCGATGGCAGGCAAGCCTTTGACCCGTGGTAACGGCCCATGAAGAATATTGCTTATCTGATGGTTGAATTCAGGTTTAATGGGTTGACTAAAATATTTAAGTCTCGTTCGGCTCGGGTTGCTTCCCTGCGTCATCGCAGCTAGATCAAGCTCTTGCCTGAATAGTTGTAGTCTGATCCTTGCCATCACCCTTAGCCCAGTTGGCAAAGTCGCGCCTCTGTTTTCGAATATCGACAAAGCCTGGTCGGCTCTCAAAGATGCGGAAAGGATTGCCCATGTAGTCCTTTTCAACTTCGCCACTGCCGTTGTGAAACCCTAGCTCCCCCTCCCTCTCGATTTTGCCAGCCCAGACCCGCCATTGGATTGGCCGGAGATTTGGAGCGCCCAACACAAGCCCGAGGACAATGATGATCGTGGCAACAGCTGTCTCGGTGATGATGTCTGCCGGTAGCGACGTGGCAGTCGGAGATGCAGACGTCGACAGGGGTAATGCAGCTCTAAACGATTGTAGTGCCGAGTGCTCTTGCGCCGAGTAGCATCTATTAGAATTAAGGACGTCAGGCGTGTTGATTAAAGAACGATGGCATGGGCAGAACTCACGCATGACCCAGCAGCAAGAGACCAATGGCCGTGATGGAGCGAGAAATCCATGTCATATTGTGCAGTAACGAATTCGCGTAGCTGGAGATAGGGTAAAATAGCGTTTCGGGCTGGGTTTAGCAGATATGTCGAATGCAGTGATCGTGGGTAGCCGCCAAAGCTGCGGCGATTACTCTGCTGAATAAGGATGAGATATCAAAGTCGGGCCGGTGGGTGGTTTGAAGAGTAGAGCAAGACCTTGGCAAGTTGCTGTAGGGTGGAGGCAAGCTCAAGAGCTGTGTCTTTAGTACACTAGTGGGGATAGCGTAGATAATTACGTATTCGGCGGCACCGGCTACCTCAGCTGTACGTACATCAGCTATGCCGCGAGAGCGGCGAGCGCGTACATAGTGAGAACCAATGACATCACTATAAGCGGTGTATGTTTCAATAGGGGGGCGCATGTGGATGTTAGATAAACGATATTAGTTTGATGCAATACACCTGGGGTTCATTGAGCAAAGAGTGATTCATGTTGTTGATTGAGTGATTCTACCCATTCCGGTTGAAGCGGGGTTCTGTTTTGTATCTACCCGTTCTTCCCGGTTTCAGCATATTGCAAGAATGCAACTAAGCTAGATTTCCTAGCATTTTATCCGGACGCAGGCGTCAATCTAACAGTGGATGGGTACATTGGCATAACACATACATGCATACAAGATAAATTCCTGTTGCATTTGCACGTCTTGTTGAATAGGCAGAGCAGTACATAGGTATATGATGGGGGGAGGGGGGTATAGAATATCATGTTGCTGCAAACCCGGCAATGGGCCAAAATGTTAGCAACGGTACTGCAGGTGTTCGTCTTCAATGCAAATGACGACAGCCCTCTGCCTACACTAAACCATCTAAACATATTGCGTGTTAACGCGTTTGCCTTTCACGTAGACCATCCTTTAGGATTTGATGAGGAGGACCAGCCTTCCTACTCACCTGGCACGCACTGTATAATCTCACGATGGCTTCACGGGTCAACTAGCTATTTGTAAACATCACTGATCTGTCTGCTCTCCTAGAAGTCTCGCAGTAGACCGGCATTGAGGCAACGCTTTGGCCGCGACCGCCAAAGAATGTCATCTCGAATGATTGCGCAAAATTATACTGTCACATAAACTTGTGAAAAGAAGAAGAAAACGACATGTTGATCTATCGAAGGATTCGTTCTGCGTAATGGATGCCGCAGTTCCCGCTGTCCACCCAAACATTCGATCGATGATACAGATTTCCCACCTTAACAGATGAAAATTGCTCCGCCGACTAACTACCTAATACTCTAGTCTTCTCGATCTTATTACAAGCAATATTGAGATGCATATTCTTCGCTCATTCTGGCTGATCTATCCAGTTGTTAAAGTGACTCCCCTCAAGCTCCTCCACTCTCCAACTACTCTCCTGTCCCCTCAAAATTTGAAGTTGGGGATCGTGCATGAGACTCTCGTCATAGCTGGATAAACCGTCGAGCAAGTCTTGTCTTCCGTCCCCAAAACCGAGTGGATTTGTCCATCTTGGCTCTAACATGGGATCTCCGTACGGGTCACCGTATGGATGACCTCCATGACCCATCAAGCCTGGGTCAATCATAGGCTCGAGCCCATCATGGTGCGACATAGGACCGTATTGGCCCAGACTGTCGAACCGGCTGTCCAATGGTGGCGCGGCATAACCCATTGCTGGCGATGGCGTTTTTCTGATGAGTACGTCCTCGACAAAGCCTGTTGCGTCCTGCCGTTGATGGACGCTTTGTTGGTAATAGTGGCTTCCCCCAATACCGGTCTGGCTATACGGCGCTGGGAGAGGCTTTCCTGGGTTACTATAATGATACATGGATTGAGTGTGCACCCCAAGCCCCATTGGACTTCCCGAAAGTGGAGGATAGTTATGGAAAATGGATGACGGCGCATCATGGCGGCCGAGTCCTGGCTTTTTGATTTGCCTGCTTCTCGAATTTGCTCGACTGTTGCCCCAGTCCAAGTCATCGAGATCGCCTTCGTCGGAATCTCCCTCACCGTCCCTCATTTTGGGTCTTGGTTTTGATGGTGTGAACTTGTAACCTGGATGAGCTTTCTGATGATTTGCCCGCTCGATCTTAGCCCATTCGTTGAATTGATCACGAATATGCTCAGGCTCCAGTGGCCAGCCGCTGCCACAGACCTGGGACACAACCTGATGGTTGTTTTGAGTACAGAGACTTTTGGCGAGATTCTGGTACGCCTTTCGGTACAACATGAAGGCGTTCATGGGTCGCTTGATCCTGCCGGGTGTCTTGCTCTCCTCAACTTCCTTCATCCGCGTTTCTGCAGACCGCTGGACATAAGCCTCAATATCTGCCACTAAAATTTGGGGTTGTTCCCTTGCTAGCTCGCTCAGTGGTTTCTGCACGCCTTCGACCTTCTTGGATGACTTGGCTCGCTCTTTCTTCTTCCTAGGAGTTGACTTCTCTACACGACTGGCGCGAGCTGCGAGAGGCTTGATGGTGGAAGATCCCTTGTGAATGTTGAGTCCGCTCCGGGTTGTCAACATATCAGACGCACGGGATGGGGTTGGCGGTGATGTGTCAGGAGTGCTATACGGCTGAACAGGCCAGATGTAAGTATTGGGGCTACCACCGAATCTACCGCGAGGTGGCTTACCTGATGGCTCAGCTCCCCTGAAAGTGGCCCATAAAGGGTGCTGCCACTCGTGTCGTAGCCAGAATGGTGATATGACTGCTTAATCTAGTTAGCGGGAACTTTGTACAATTGAAAATTAGATAATTATAGGTTATTTCTTACCATCTGACTCTCATTTCCACGGTGAGAGTACGGTGAGAGATGATCGTACGGCATATCTTGTTGAGAACCAGGCGTACCGTATCGAGATGGAGTTTGATGCCCCCCCATATCATGCGGATGCAAATGTTCTCTTGGGTATGATGTCGTTCCGGTCTGGCGTATCAAGTGAGGTAGTCCGTTAGGGTAGATGTCATCGTTCGAAGGAGCTGGAGACGGTGGTCCGTTGTGTTCCATTCCAAGGGGAGGGAGAGATAGAGGGAAAGAGAGCAAACTCTGAAATTGTTGAGCAGTACTGAAACAATTAATGGATGGATAATTGGCAGTGTGTAAGTGAGAATAATAAATGAATGGTAGCGAGTAAGCTGCCCAAGAAGTCAGAAGCAGACAAGCTTTTGGTCGTATCTTCCCAGGGATCGACTATCCAGATTGGATGTTCTTCTTTCAACCGAATGGCCTTGGTACTTGTAGGGTGCTCAAGTAGTCGTTGGATAACGGCCGGGTGACGGTGGTGGCAGGACAAGGTCACCCTGAGCGGTAGTTGTACAACACAACAGCCTGGGAAAACACCTCGTAGTCGGTAGTCGACAGTCTTAAAGAGACACTTACACCTGCAGAAACCTCCCTTCAGCGAGTTCTGAAAGTTTGATGAATGGGCAAATAGTGCTTGAAGGTGGCCTATGCTGGAGATGCCAAGGTTGAAAGAGACTAAGAAGGAATAACAGAGAGGGAAATAGAGTAGCCAACTTGGCGACAACGAGCAGCTGTCTGTTATTACTGCCCTAGCTCTGGTTCTGCTGTGTCCTTAGGAGTACCTGTGGCCGTACGGTTTTGTATGGCTATCTCAGTTGCAATTGCAGATGGAGGAGCGTAGGTGCAGATGCAGGTCTAGGTATAGCTGTGGGCTAGGTAGGCAGCTTGTGCATGAGACGCGGCGCTGTACTGCAAGGGTCCGAAAGACACAGATGAAAAAGTCGCAAGCAGCCGGTGATCAGGGATCAGTGATGACCTAGGACCGTCCTACTGACATGTAGAATGCGACGGTGACAGAACAATGCCGGGGTTCAAAGTCTGATTGACAGACGGAATAGGCTTGCTAGTGTGCAACGATGGAGTGAAATCCAGTCATAGCAGGTCGTATGAATGGTCTGTCTTTATGACAGAGGTCGGATGTTGAGGGAAGGATCCCGTTGAGCTTTTGCGATATCGTCCCCTTTCTTTTCTTGTCTTTCCCCTTGTTTGTTGCCTTATTCCTGTCTTCGGTGTTCGCAGCTCCTTTTGTTGGGTCTGAAGTGTTGGATTTTGGCTCAATTTTCTTTCTGCTCTTTGGATGTAGTATGGCAGACAAGCTCTGTATGTTTTGCTGTCTTCTTTTCGCTCGACTAGGCCTTGCCTTCGTTCTCCCTCTTAGTTTCTTTCTTCCCGACCTTCAGGCGGTCACCTTTCTGGAATCACACCCTCACCAAACGGCAAGTAGCAACGCTATATGTAGATAGAAATGATGGAGAAAGAGTGAAATGGGGTAATATAAAGACCGATCTGGCGTGAATGTGATGCTGTCCTGGCCACAGCCAAGCAAGCCAGGCCCCGGAATATGAGCCAGGGTCAGAAGCGTCTGAGGGCCGGAGCGAAGCAAAGCGAGTAAAAGCCAAAAGAACACTCGTCTTTGTCGCCGCGTGAGAATTCATTCAATGAATCTTATCACAGATGAGAGGAATGAAAGAAAAGCGTTCGGCCGGGCTTGAGTGGTTTTATGTGTACATATTACGCATGTGCATGTACAGTGACACCCTTCTTCTTCCGCTCTAGCCCCTGCCATATGCCGTCGTTGGCTTCTCTGACTTCTCTGCGTCCGAAAGAGCATCTAGCTGATTGCCGCATTCGGATATGTATTTGAAAGCGGCGCCATACGAGCCTACGCCAACCTTACCCTACCTAGGGCAAGGTGCACGGCATTAGCACGCCTCGACCACCAATCGTTGCTTTCTGCCAGTCTTTTTGGCCGTCTTTGGTTAAGACGAGCGAGATATGTTTCTTCGTCTATTTCTTTGGGTCTAATGAGTGGTGCCTGCTATGATGTTTCTCGGCGATATGCTGTGTTAGGTGGTAAATGTCATGCTATGTCACGCCCAGCACGTTTGTATGTGAAACTGGACAATCATGAGAGTTGGAGAAGGCCAGTATGAGCACCCGGCCTCGTACATTGCTGATTGCTAATTGTCGACAGCCCAAACAGGGGTGGAGGAGGCCAACGATCACCTACGTGAAGAGCCTGCTGCCGCGGATGGACTACTTTGCGCTGCCTTGCGGATAGCCCATGTCCTTGCCTATGTTGCTTTTAGTTACTGACGTCGTGGCCGGTATCCGTGGTCGTGTCGAATATGTGATAACCCGCCAACCCAAATCTCTATCATGTCTCTTCCAAAACCAACGTTTGTTCGCGGTTGACAGCGCATCAACATAATTCATTTTTGACAGTATTCCCCGCTGGTTCACGCTGGCAACCGGATTATGCTGGCAAGGACGCCAGTGATAATGCATGGTGTCTTCCCAGATTACCATCCTAAAGATAGAAAGTCTCAGCAACCTAGTCCAGGCTGAGTGCTGCCTTTCCTCCTGCTCTTACCCCTGTCAATGTCTTTACCCGTGGATTCCCCACATGGCCATTGAGGGTCTCACAAAGTCCGTATTACCTCTTTCCAACCTCACCCATGCCTTAAGCCACAATGTGCCAGTTTTCTGCACAATTGGCTATTTCGCTCTGAACCTCCATTGTTGGTGTAACTGGGTTTGTGGCGAGGGCAAAGCATAGAATAATATTGAAGCAAGGGGGCATAGTTCCTCATCATTATAGCATGTACACTGGAGGAGATTGGGCAGCCGGACTAAGGCCATCCTGCGGACAAGACTGGGGCAGCTCGGTAAGTAGACTAGGTAGAAGAGAGTGTTCGGAGTAATGGATGATGGGGCAAAAATTGATGGGATGAATGAAGGCCAGGGGAGAAGCAGAAGGGAGCTAAAGCGGAATGTATGTTTGCTCAGTGCAGTTGGTGCAGCAATGTGAGAACTGGAACTATGGCCAAGGTGCATCCGCTACCGGAATCGTTGGTGGCGTCTTCCCTGATTGGTCTATTCCAAAAACAGGCTGTGGCGCATCCCGTTCTTTGATGTGGGAACTGGAGACTCCACACCAGTGTACCTTCTGCTTCGGTGGGTCTCCCAGCTGGTGTCACTTGGTCGGGAATGTGGCAGATCACGCCTCTCTTCACACCTTACCATCTACCCACTAATTAATGTCTAGCAGTGCAGGTACGGGTGCAGACGCAGACTGTTTGGCTGTGTGTCGTTTCCACCAGAGCCGGGGCTTCCGTTTACGGCTCTGTTTTTGGACGTCCATCTTTACCATGACCAGGCACCATGAGATATGCAACGAAATGTAGACAACGCCCATCCAACCTATTCCGTCTTACCTTTATCCACATGATCACCTCACCATTACTCACGCCTTCTATTTGCTGTTAAAACTTGTGAGGACCACGCCTCATTCAACAGAGCTCCCCTACTCACGTATATCCACCTGCAGTGCAACTGAGCTTGTCTTTGGGGACCTACATTCGCTTACCTTGTTCCAATTGCCCATCCCATGCCCCTGGTACCAATCATGCCATTTCATTTGAATTAATGCGTCGTTTCCTATTCAGAACTGCATGAATGGAAAGTAGTAGCGAATCAACCGCATTGCCCAGAAATCACAGCATACAGGGGCAGGGAGCCGTGGGCAGGACCTTGATTATCAAATCCCGACCCAATATGACTGTAGATAGTTACTGCCCAACATTTTGTTTGCTCCCGCTGCCCTCAGTAACTGTTTTCACATCACCACGTACTCTCAATCACTTGGACAGAATATGGCAGCATTCTGGCTTGGACACAACCCCAGCCTATTCGGACAGACATTCCCGTGTGACCGCAGTGTGTGGAAGAGTCCGTCTGTCTGATTGATCTCTTGCCTTAATCATGCGGAGAAGGCTAGCTGGAGTGGGCTGTACAGCCACCTATTTCAAAACTGGACCCTAGAAACATCGCCTGCAAACCTTACTTGTCCTCTGAGCCGATCTTGCCCCCCATCTTCTGCGCTTGCGGCTTACGTCTGCAGCTACTATGCGCCACGTTCCCGGCCCTTGCCCCTTAGATCTGACACTAGACTCTGCTTAGGCGATATTTTCCGCCAGTATCAGCCTCTTATCCTTCGCACCATTTCTCGCCGCACTTTCTGTCTTCCAACTCAACTCCCTATCTTACCCTTCAAGCTTCTGATTCTGTCGCAGTTCCTTTCCCATATCCCTTTCTATGCCGAGTCAAATCAACAAGTCCCCCTCTTGGTAACGACTTGGCTCGACACCAGACGTATCCTCTTTGCAGCCATGTACACACCCATATTGATACTTGCAATACACTTTTCCTGGAACCAGTCATGCCTCATAACTGCTAATCGTGCCTTGCTTACTGTGCTACGCAAAATAAAACGAAGTAAATCTAGCCTCGACCCAGTCTCGGCAAAAGTGGTAAATATTTAGGTAATCATGCGTTCCCCGTTCGTCTACCCTTCTCGCATACAAAACTCCAGATGGCCGCGTTACAACCTGAGCCACCTGTCCTCCAAGTAAAGGTTCTTGTCACCATTGCTGGGAACCCTCACGCCTATATCCGTATGTGGCTTACCACTATCAACAGACTATTTGGGGGCGTCACGGAAGAGCCAACGAGCCATACGTCCTTTCATCGCTAGCACAACATATAACATATCCCTGATATGAGTTGTTTTACCGTACGCCCTAACCATCTGGGATGGACTCCAGATTGCAAATGAAACTGTGGATAATCTTCATTGTGTGTTTGTTCCCGAAGACTTCACCACCTCACCTTTTCTCCTCTCAACCCTTTCCCTTGCCATTGTGGTTTTGTCAAGGAAAATCTCACTTCTCAGACGATGCTGTCATAAGAGAAACTTTTCGCTTTGGATTGCCTTGGAACTCAAAGCTTAAGTGCACTGAGCGGTTGCTAAGAGGCTGATGGCTTCCTGTCGTATCATGCTCGATATATTGTTCGTAATTTGAGGACGACAACATTAACATTGTAACTGAATATGAGCAGTGGAAGCTGCTAACTTGGATCCCGTGATCGATGTGGTGCTATCGAGACATACTGCGGCAGGGCTGAGTGAGATCCGTCAAGCAAACGGATTGTATGTGCAGCACAAAATGCCTAGCAGCCATATTCAACCCAGAGCGAAGTTCGTTGTTGTAGGCAACAAACAGCCGATTTATTCAACACATGCGTGTCCCGAATCCCCCTGAATAAATGTTGTCGCCCAGAGGCCGAAGCTAGCAAGGGAAGTCCTTGACTCCTCGTCTCTACCCATATAGAGAGGGGTCAAAAGGTTAATGTTCTTACAGACACAGTCAGAGGCTCCTTATAGTCATTATTAGTCTAGACGATTGTTTGTCTTACAACTATCCCTACAAATCTCTCGGCATACACCTTCGAGTTGCAATTAAACCCATAATTGGTGTCTACTATGGAAGGAAAAGTCCTTGATCTCCGCATTTAGCCCTCTCCCCAGGGCCGTGAATTGTCCTGTCAATTCGTCTCAATCCTCAGATACTAGGTTCTCAACTAGTAATTCAGAGGTTGTCATGAGCTGCCCCTGGTAGTTGCGACCGTCGAGCTGGGTCCATAGGCTTGATTGGAGGCGTTAGGATCTGCTGTCGAGGTGACGGCGATAACGTCGCGACAGGTGGCAATACAGCAGGAAGCGCAGGTGTCTTTATACTGGCGGTACTCAGACGAGGTAAAGGGGGCGAGTGCTTGGTTGGGGAGAGTCCCCCTTCAGCAGAGGGCAAAGTAGAAGAGGATTGAGTTGAACCTGGAACTCCGTGCTCACGACTAATAATGGGAGTGGCCATCAAATTGGACCCCCCGGGCCTAGGAGATGTGGCCTCGTGAGGGCCAGGCGTTGTCCTTGGACGAGTAGGACTTAAAGGCAACGTGTCATGGCCAGTTGCACAAGGCTTACCGTTGAGAAGCTGAGGGGGCCTGCCGCTGGCATTTTCGTCGTCAGCCCTAGGGGTCGTGGGTTCTGGTTTGACTTCTTTTGCTAATGGGGTTTCACTGGGCTGGTTATATGGCCTGGACAGTTCAAGAGCGTCATGTCCATTCGTGGCTGGTTTACCAGCTTGCCAGCCAAGCATATGTTGAACAGTCTGTGAATCTTGAATGCCTTCTTGAAGAGGTTCTGTGGCTTCAGCTCCGTTCAATCCGCCAACTGGATGCCAAAGTGATGCACTCTTTTGTACAAACCCTTTATGTGACTGAGGGCTGCCTGCTTTAGCAAGCTGGTTGATCTGTGGTGGCGAGAGGGAGGTCGATCGATTGACTTTCAGTTTAATAGTCGTCCGTGGTTTCGTGACCGCCTCCTCAGCACGTCGTCTGCATGTCTGGCAGACAAAGTGAAATTCCGGCCGCTCGGCCTCGCTCTCACCAATGCCAACACATTTGCTGTGTTGCCATACATTGCATTTCTCACATGCAATACTGTGTGTACCATCGTCAATCTGACCATAAACACCACAAATACAATCAAAGATCCAGTCATCTTCTTCCTCTTCATCATCAAGCTCCTGAAGGGCACGTTTGTTTCTTTCGATCTCCGCTTGTAGCCGTCGTTCTGATACACGACCTGAGCCACTGCGGTTATCCTCTGACAACTGGGAAAGCTCCCTTTCGTGCTGAACCCGGCGGGCTTCTCGTTCTCTAAGCCGCCTTTCACGTGACAACAACCTCGAGTCCCGTTCTTTCTCAAGCTTAAGTCGTTGATTCTCCTGCTTTTTTGCAGCGGCTTGCTGGGCTTGCAAGACTTGCGCCTCTTCCTGGGCCTTCTCTTCTTGCTTTTGTTGTTCCACTTTGTTAGCAATCCGGCTTGATCGTTTCGCATTCGCCATTTTAGTTAAATTTAAGAGTTCTTTCTCTCGTTGAAGCTCCTTGCGTTTTCGGGACTCTTCTTGCTTTTCCAGGATGGGCAGTAAATGCTCTTGGAGCTGGTCGCGCAGGATTTTCTCGTTGTCATCCCTGGTCTTGTGAAATGAGGCGATGAGTCCTTGTACTTCATCCAAAGTCACAGCAACACATTCCCATTTCATATCGCCAAGACCATCTTGCTCTGGAATAAAGCCGGCAGCATCGGCAGACTCATTGACTGACACATCGGGGTCTCCAGTGTCATTTACTGTTGAAATACGTCGTCTTTTGTTCGAACGAGAGCCATACTTGGTCGACTTCAATTTCTTCTTCGGGGGATGAGGTTTCGGAGGAGCATCGGTGAGGCGGTAAATCCTATTGTCATCGAGGACAAAGTAGGTGCGGTCGTCCCTGTCCCAGCCGATGGGTTCTATCCGCTGTTCCGGCTAGTTAGCTTCCTATGCCCACAGTGCTACCGTAGCTGCCACTCACCCAGCTCGTCTGGTCGATGTCCTTCTGTTCCTCCATCTTTTCTCTGACGCGCTCGGGCCGAGCAATAACCCATTGTGTTAGTTGTTGGAGGATACGTATCTACAAAGTGATTTAGTAAGGCAGTTTGGTATCCCAGTCTCGTCCATTACTTACCTTTGTCAAGACGTCGAAATCGGCGAATTTACTAGGAATCTCATCTGTGCCAAATGGATTCTTCTCCGGGGCTCTGACTAAATATTGGCGTCTCGTATACTCGTCGAAAAGTTCGTGTCTATTACTAGTTAACAGTCGAGAAGTGTATAGGTTTGTATCATTGTGTTCGTACGTTAGCCCTCGGTGCGAGGATATAAACTTCAGTAGAGCTAGACCTATGTCTTGGAGGATAGGAGCGTTTGGTTTGAGGCATTCAGCTTCGATATCCTAGAGCAGCACATGTTGGAGCGTCTGATAGATATGCACAAAGGGGAAAGAGCTCACCTCGGTATCCAAGTTGTCATCTATCTTGACGACCTTGCCAAAAAGATAGATCCACTGGCATAAATTGGCAAACTGCCACTGATTTCGAATGCGATGCAGCAATGATGGCCCATTCCGTTGCATCGTTTCAGCTTCAGCTTCAGCTTCTTGTATATTTCGTTTGCGTGACGAGACCATGGTCCTCTATATCGATGTGTCGCAGGGTGAGCGGTCGGTTCGGGACTGAGAGAACTAGTGTGGCAGCTCAAACGTCGTGTGTTCTGGCAATCGCGGCATGGAAATACACTGCCGTCGCCGGTGCTTTGCGCGGGCGAAGGAGCGAAGGGCGTCGACGAGGAGACGGCTAAGGACAAGAACTACGACGAAAAGGAAGCAGTGGGTGAAGCCTTTGGTCGGAATATTGCGACAAAAGGATGGTTCAGGACCAAGGAATGAAAAAGATAGATGTCGTTGGGGAGTAGCTCAAAGAGGCTGACAAAGAAAGTCAATTCACTAATGTGAAATGCGGCACATTGTATGAAGGTGTGGAATTTTGAGACGGGTCGTCATAGGATTGATTGATTGTAGCCGCGATGAGGACGGCTGGGCAAATCTGCCTCGTGTACTAGGACGGTACATTTGTAGAGGAAAGGTACCTCTTGAGCAATAACGCGTGCCGTTGGTTGGTAGGGCCATCGACCTGCAATCGCATATAATGGGCGCGTTTGGGGTGAAAGGGCGTCTGCGGTGGCATCCACAGGCCCGTGCTTCGCCTCCCGCATGAGACGAATGGATTACCTAAGATCGTAAGCAAAGTGAGAAGTTTGACAATGGAAATTTGTGACGCGACGGAAACCGGGAAGTTGTGCCCCATACTTTCTTTTCCTTTAATTTTCCTTGTTACCGTGTTTTGCCAGGCGTACCATATCTCCTTGCCCTCTCTGTGTCTTTTAATTTCACGGTTTTTTTTTTTTTTTTTTTTTTTTTTTGGCAAAACTTACACAGCACTGAAAAAAAAGCTGCTTTTGTTCCGCGCCTGATTACACGATGTGCCTCAAGGCCGGAGAGTGGCGTTGAGTTGAACTAGTCGTCTAGTTATGTGTTGATCGCAGTTGTTCTTGCATCCAAATGCATAATCAATCATACAGCATGGGTTGGATCACTGTAGCCTACAGTGGGAACCTTCACTTCTGTAGCGCCTGTGTCCTCTTCAAACTGGGGGGCGTCTCCGCGTACACTAAGATGTAGGTAGGTAGGTACGTTCTACTCATTCTAGGCATACATATAGGAATGTGTGAACATGAAATATGCTAATCAGGCGTATCATGTCACTTTGGTTGCTTCTGAGGCCTTTGATACTAGTGCATCTTTGTGTTATTCATAAGCGTGCCGTTCTTTCCATCACTGGTTGCCCTTGTTGTCTCAGCCTAGTCAGGCTAGCCAGGGGTGAAAGTGCTCTTGGACACCCAGCAAGAAGCTGGAGTCAAACCAGGGGGAGGGGCACCCCCACCCAGCAGTTTCGAGACTGTGTGGATGAAGACAGTGAAACGGTGATCTAATCTATACTGTACCACTACCAGTGTCGTGCCTTGCGATGGCACGAGGTGTGTCGCCAGGATGGACGCCTTACAAATTCCAGGTGTTGTCGTCAGTCACTGAGTTGTGTGGATCTCCGTCTTGGGCTCTGAAAATAGACCCTCCCTAACTGGAGCGCCCCATAATATCAAAAGTGCTACGGTGCCAAGAATTATCTACACGGTTCGCACTCCATGCATACTCAGCCTCTTGATTTGAACATCAATCAATACGAAGAAACAATCCGTCGTCAATACTGCTACAATTTTCTTTTCGTCCTCTAAACAACGCCTTCGAACCGATCGAAACAGGGTTGCAAACACCCCGCCCCGCTGGTGCTAATACTGTAGATTTCAAACTGGCGTAGGTCGTGGTATAGCAATCCGGCAATCCGCAGGTATTCCATTGTTCGACTCAACCACGACCGTTTCACTCGTTTGCCGACATCCCACCCATCGGCCGTCCACGACAAACGACTTTTCGAGCTTTGCATTTACCAAACCAATCTATTGTCAGCCGTTTATCTCAGTACTGCACGAGACACATTACCTGACCTCGAAATGGGCGCGACTGAAAACCTACAATAATACTGAACATGCGACCTGCCGTCGCCGCTCCTCTCAAAATAAACCTGGATAAGTAGAATCTGTCGAGTCCACCGGTCATAAACTGCCGAGAATCGAGTACCTTTCGAATAGTTTGTCTCCTCCGCCGAATCCAATGCAAAACTCAGACCAGCCTTTCGAGATGAATACTCGTCCGGACGAGAGCCCGGCTTCTGGCAGAGATGGTCTGCAGGCAGACTCCCAGACTGGCTATGAACGCGGCCGACAAGGCCAGCAGACATCTGCCCCCCCAATGACACCCAATCGACTTGGTCTTTCCACCTACTGGGAACAGCCGTATGTTGCGGCTCCTACCAGCTCTGGAAGTCCCGAATCACCTATCGACGCGTCCGCGTTACAGTTCGCTCTTCCGCCCGACATCAATCAGCCGCCGCCGCCGCCGCCGCCGCCGCCGATTCCACGACTGTCGTCACCCTCTCTCGACTCGCTAGATCACCCTTTGCCGTACTATGACGAATCTGCGAATAACGATTTCTACGAGGATAGAGTGCCCCTCACATCTAGAATGCAGCCCATCTCTGGATCTCTGAGCGCAAATGCAGGAGATTCTCAGCCAAGGGACAGCTTCCAGACAGTCTCTGATATTGACAATACGCCGTCAAGAACCCGAGACGCAAGATCGCTTGGATACGATTTGGAGCCTGGAGGCATGGGTGAAGGGCGTCGAAGCTATGGGAATACATTGAGTCCAGGAGGAGACCATAGACGGTCGCGCTCTCCCTCAACGACTGGCGCACTTCACCGAGCAGGTTCAATCATGCGAGCCATGTCTCAACGTGTTGTTAACATTAGCGGCGAGGGTGAGCTTGTCGACCAGCGAACACAGCGTGGACGTTCACCCTCGCCCTCCCCAGACCGTCGACAACAACTGCACAACTCTACTCAAATGTTTACGGATACTTTTTACCATTCCCGTGTCTCCCAAGTACCCGAGAAGAAATCCGAGGCGGAAGCTGTCTTCGCAGAACCAGCTCCTCCACTTCAAGAGCGAATACCCATGAAGAATCCCTTAAAGGGGATGTCGCTAGGCATTTTTCCGCCGGATCATCCCATAAGAACCAGGCTTTGCGATCTTTTGGTGCAACCCTTCACCGAACCTTTTATTCTTATACTCATTATTCTGCAAGCTGTTCTCTTGGCCATAGAATCGGCTCCTGACGTGTTTACCCACCCTCGCCCTGATAAATGGGGCACTACGTGGATTGACTGGGCTATGCTGGTGCTATTCATCATATTCACCCTTGAGTTGATAGCCCGCATACTGGTTTCTGGTTTCATTCTAAATGCGTCGGAATACAGCACCATTGATCGCAAGCGCGGTGTACGAGCGGCTGTCGTTGATCAGTACAGAAACATCTTCCAACCTCAGCGACAGAAATCTGTCAAGGCTCCACGGCAGATCAACCTTGGCCCCTCTGCCTTTCAGCGGTCTTTTACTATCATGCAAGGCCAAACGCTGCCTCAGACCGTTGAAGAACAGCAAAGGTTTCAGCTTGCTCGAAGGGCTTTTTTGCGGCACTCTTTCAATCGACTGGATTTCCTAGCCGTTGTCGCCTTCTGGATCAGTTTTGGGCTTAGTATTACTGGGCTCGAGAGCCAAAACCACATCTACGTTTTCCGCATGATTAGCTGTTTGCGTATTTTAAGATTACTTGCTCTTACCAACGGCACGGCTGTGAGTACGCAATCATTTCATAGTCGATGACTATCACTAACAGCTCTCTAGATCATTCTTAGAAGTCTGAAGAAGGCAGCACCGTTGCTTGTCCGTGTAGCTTTTCTCATTGCCTTCTTTTGGATCTTGTTTGCTATTATTGGCGTACAGAGTTTCAAAGCTAGTTTAAGTCGCCAATGTGTTTGGCTTGACCCCACAGATCCCACCAACAAGACAAAGTCTTTCACAAACGACATGCAATTTTGCGGAGGGTTTCTCGACAGTTCAACAGGAAACACTTTGCCTTGGGTCTTCCTGGATGACAACGGTATCCTGGACAACTTCAGAAATGGCAGCAAGGCTGGCAAAGGATTTATCTGCCCTCGCGGATCGATTTGTCTTCAACAGGAAAATCCGTTTAACGGTACCGTCAGCTTCGACAACATTTTTCAGTCCCTTGAGATGGTCTTCGTGATTATCAGCTCAAATACATTCACTGATATCATGTACTACACCACCAATTCCGACTACTTGCCCGCGGCTCTTTTTTTTGGCGCTGGTATCATGATTCTCATGCTATGGCTGGTTAACTTGCTCATCGCTGTCATTACATCCTCTTTCCAGGTTATTCGAGAGGAGAGCAAGGCAAGTGCGTTCACTGCGGACGAAGAGCCACTGTTGCAAGAATCAGTGGACGAACCGCCTCAACAGGCGTCAGCATTTCAAAGAATATACGACAAAACCTTCCCTTTATGGATCATCGTTATTGCTTTCGGCCTCCTGGCGCAATGTTTTCGCAGCGCTAGAATGTCGGAGAATCGTGGGCGCTTCATCGATGCAGTTGAGGTTGCTGTTACAATTATTCTGGATGCTGAAATTGCCATACGTCTCGCCATCGGTTGGCGTACCTTTCATAGGAGCCGTCGCAACATTGTTGATCTGGGCCTCGCCATCATCACAAGCATTATTCTGATACCTCCAATCCGCAACTCAGGAGAACCCTATGCTTGGTTGACTGTCTTCCAGATATTGCGAGTCTATCGGCTTGTTTTGGCTGTACCCATGACCCGAAAGCTCATTGTCATGGTTTTGGGAAACTCTAATGGTATCGCCAATTTGATGCTTTTTGTCTTCCTCATCACGTTTCTCATGTCCATACTGGCTGCTCAGCTCTTCCGGGGCGAGATACCGAAGCACAATGATGACGGAGACCTCAACGAAGTGTCATTTTTTACTGTCTACAATTCTTTTCTCGGCATGTATCAGATTTTGTCGAGCGAGAACTGGACCTCAATGCTCTACAATGTCACCTCGTATTTGAATGCCTACAATACGGGGTGGATTGGGGCCATGTTTCTTATCGGATGGTTCATCTTATCATTCTTGATTCTTGTCAATATGTTTATTGCTGTTATTCAGGAGAACTTTGATGTATCAGAGGATGAGAAACGTCTCGAGCAGGTAAAGGCCTTCTTGCAGAGGAAGGAACTTGGCAAATCATCCAGTAACCTCACTTTGTCCAATATTTTTACTTTTGGCAAGGCGAGGCGGAAGAAAGACCCTCTCGACTACGGCCCGGCCATGATGGAAATGCTACTCAAAGATGCTGTTGTCCATGAATTCCTCGACGATAATGCGGATCCGTCCCAAGAAACTCCTGGTGAACAGCAACCGCCTCCACGAACTCAGACGGCTGCCGTAGCCAATATGAAACCTGGCATGCTATCACTAATCTGGGGGAAAATATTGTCGATGTTCAGCAGCAAAGACCCGAACCCATTTTATTCCAACCTGCGTTTCGATGGTCCTAACGATACCCTTGATCCGCGGCAAATGGCACGGCAGGCAGTTTCTGCCACCTCTGCTCGGAGAAAAGCTCAACGAGAGTATTTGGCTAGGCATCCAAACTATAACAACTCTCTGTTCATCTTCACACCTAAAAACCCTATTAGGCGATTTTGCCAGAGGATTGTAGGTCCTGGAAGGGGAAATGAGCGTTTTGACGGAGTTGAGCCAAACAAAATCGCGTGGTATGCATCTTCCGCCTTCGTCTATGCATGCATCGTCGCAATGGTAGTTATTGCATGCGTCACGACGCCGCTCTACCAGAAGCAGTACCAAGCGGAGCATCCAGAGTTCAGCATTACATTTTGGTATGTCTGGACAGACTTGGCGTTCGCCGTGGTCTTTTCAGTTGAGGCGGTTATTAAAGTTGTTGCTGATGGGTTTTTCTTCACACCGAATGCTTACTACCGTAGCTCTTGGGGCATCATTGATGGCATCGTGCTAATCACTTTGTTAATTAATGTTGGTACATTACTTGCTCATGACGGTGCTGTGTCCAGAGCCATCGGTGCCTTCAAAGCACTGCGTGCTCTCCGTCTGCTCAATATCAGCGACAGCGCCAGAGATACGTTCCACTCACTTCTCATTGTGGGCGTCTGGAAAATTCTCAGTGTAAGTTTCATATCTTGCTTCGCCACATTTACTATGCTTCATCACTAACTAGTTGCACATAGGCTGCATTTGTGTCTCTGTCGTTGTTGATTCCCTTTGCCATTTATGGCTTGAACCTCTTCAATGGCCAAATGGTGTCCTGCAACGATGGTGACGATTCCATTGTCCTCTTGTCAGACTGTTTTGGCGAGTTCAACCACACACCTTTCAATGATGACTGGGCAATGCTTGCTCCTCGTGTTCCATCAAACAGCTACTTCAGTTTCGATGATTTCGCATCTTCTCTCTTCGTTCTTTTTCAAATTGTCAGTCAAGAGGGCTGGACAGACGTTTCATTCGCATCACAAGCAGTAACCGGCCGTGGCTTTCAGCCCCAGGAGCTTAATCGACAAGGGAACGCCATGTTTTTCGTCGTTTTCAACCTTCTTGCCACCGTTTTCGTTCTCACGTTGTTCATCTCTGTCTTCATGCGCAACTATACTGAGCAGACTGGCGTTGCTTTCTTAACTGCAGAGCAACGTTCATGGCTCGAGTTACGAAAGTTGTTGAGACAAATTTCGCCGTCTAAAAGTTCTTATGATGAGTCGGAGAAGACGTGGAAAAAGTGGTGTCACAAGCGTGCTATAGAAAAGAGAGGGAAGTGGTACACAGCCGTCACATATGTTTTGGTCTGTCACCTTTTACTACTCCTCCTAGAATATCACGGCGAACCACGTTGGTGGACTGACGCTAGAGACGGATTGTTCTTGGCATTTACACTTGTCTATATGGCAAATATTGCCATCCGCATTATCGGCCTCGGCTGGGCTCGATTCCGCCGGAGTTCATGGGACTTGTATTCGCTTGTAGTGGTTACTGGCGCATTCGTCTCCACGTCAGTGCTCATCATTAGCAGAAGTAGCGACACGTACGTGCAGCTTCACAAGTTCTTCCTTGTCGCCATCCTTTTACTTCTCATCCCTCGAAACGATGCATTGGACCAACTATTCAAAACAGCCGCAGCTAGTCTGACCACCATCGGCAACTTGCTGGCAACATGGCTCGTGTTCTTCCTGGTATTTGCGATAGCTCTTACGCAAGCATTCAGTTTGACTCGATTCGGCGAAAACGAAGAGAGTAACATCAACTTCCGAAGCGTACCCAATGCTCTTATTCTTATCTTCCGGATGAGTTTTGGAGAAGGCTGGAATCAAGTCATGGAAGATTATGCCAATATCGAACCGCCACTCTGCGTAGATAACCCCGAATTCTTCGACAGCGACTGCGGCAGCAAACCCTGGGCTCGATTTTTGTTCGTAGCATGGAACATTCTAAGCATGTACATCTTCGTTAATCTTTTTGTCTCTCTCATCTATGAGAGTTTCAGTTATGTCTACCAGAGATCAAGTGGTCTCGCTGCAGTTGACCGCGTTGAAATCCGGCGTTTCAAAGAGGCATGGCGAAGCGTCGATCCGGCCGGAACGGGGTTCATTAGCAAAGAAGCATTTCCTCGGCTTCTAGGAGAGCTTTCAGGTGTTTTTGAGATGCGAATCTACGATGCCGATGATTCTGTCAGACAGATATTAGAGGATGTCCGTAACGATATCGCAGCTTCTGGAGCTCGTCACATGTCCATTGCCTCGGCAAGCAACTACACTGCGGGAATCGACATTCAGCGGCTTAACAGACGGTTGGCACAAATCGATGTTGATAAAGTCCGCGAACGGCGTCGGCGGTTCAATATTTTCTTCGAGGAAGTCATGGTCTCTGCCGACCCGGACAAGGGCATCTCCTTCACTTCCGTACTTATGATTTTGGCACATTACAACATTATCAATGACAGCAAGAGCTTGAAGTAAGTACTGCTTTGCATGTGCCACAGAAAGTTGGACTGACTTTGTGGGCAGGCTTGAAGAGTTTCTGCGGCGACGAGCCCGACTGCAAAGAGTGGAGGAAGAAGTGCGCCGAAGGATTGTCTTGGGTTTCTTTGACACTCTGTAGGTTCTCATCTTGCATTCTGCACGGAATTACAGCAAATGACTAATCGATGGCTTAGGTATTGGACACGCAAGTTCAAGAAGCATATTGACTTAAGAAAGTCAGCGAGGATGACTGCCGTTCCTCAGCTTGATATTCCTCACATTATGGTTGATGATGATGAGCTTCGTCTCAAATCCTCGCCAGTGGCCGGAACTGGCCAAACAAGGTCCGCACTGTTGACTGTGGACGATGCCAAATCTTCACATAAGAGTTGGTCGGGAGGGCCGGCTCCTACAGATCTGCCACCTGACGATCCAGACTACCAACACCCGTTGAGTTTCCCAAGGTCCGGGCCTTCGACACCAGGACATCATTCGACTCACTCAGCTTTCAGTTTCGAGCTACAGGAAGGCGGCCACTCATCAGCCCAGAGCAGCCGGCGTGGAAGCGCGGTCAGCCCGGTGCAAAGCCCCGTCAGCCCAGCACAAGTAAGCAATATGTTAGATGACTCAATCTGGCTAGAGAGTATCCGGCGGAGTGCAACAGTACGAAAATCGGTCCGTAAATCTGATTGGAACCGGTAGACGCGCTGTGCCTAGATTTTTGTTTCCGTACAATAAGCGATGGCGTTTGGTTTAAACGAAAGGGACATAGACAACTGGTTGTGGCATCTAGACCATTTTTGATGCATCAGATATATGGTGGCAGAGATAAGTGATGTAAGGATAGTACTTTGAGGTTATAGTTGTAACATAAGATCGGGTGGTGACTCATGAAGTATTATTCATGTCGTGTCTGAAAGCACCACATCACATGTATTCCCCAAACAAATGTTGAAGCCATTGCTCGTAGATTGGGATTTTGTTGTATATCAATAACACTTGTTAATAGACGCCACTGGCGAGGTGCATACGCAACTTTCCATGGCTTCCTCTATCGCTGAATCGATACGAAACGGACTGCTCTTCGGCATGATTCACCGCTCGGCCATCACGATCAGATCGCAAAATTGAACGGTTTCTCGCTAATACGACGGACAAAGGAGGGGAACAAATAAATTCCCGGGAATAAGGAAATGCGTGAAACTAACTTTTGTCATGGATAGAACGACAGAAGGTTGAGCGCAAGTCAGGATGAGGGCGGAGGAGGCACGGTCCAGGCTCTCTTTAATATATACATTCTGTCGTGATGTACACTGAAGGTGTATAAAAGATGGAACATCAACGGCACTCTATGCATACGATTGTGTTGCTGATTTCTCTTGTCAAGAGTCTAAGGAAGCAAGAACATGCGCATAACCAAGGCATCAGAAAAGACGAGGAAGAGGACATCTGAATCAAGATTGTTGTGGTGAGCCGTTATTTAAGGCAAAGCTTATAGTTCCAGCTTTCAAGGACACGCATCGAGAATCCCCTCAGCTTCAATTCTTAACTCACCAACAACACACATCTCACAGGTCCCAATTCACCAGGAGCTAATCTGCAAATGGACTATAATTAGACGCGCGTTGCTTTGAGCCCGAACTGGAGTTCGACACGAGAGATTTTGCAGTATCACCCCGTTGTAGTCATGGACTGAGAACTTTCCCAGAAACGTCACCTACTGCACTGTTAATCACACTTTTCTACATTGGTGGTCATCTTCCATTTGCTTAAAGCTTGTCTCGCATATTCTGTGATGTCCACGGGATCGATCCGAACGGGTGAATGGTTTATGAATGATGGGATGTGACGGGACTGGAGTACACCGAAGAACTCGGGATCATTGATACTCCGCAAGGAGTCGGGAATTTCTTTATGTCCTCGTCAACAGAACCCAGCTCTCGTCTTTGTCCCTCGTGTCTCGTTTGGTTTGGCACGGTCCGGTCATGTCTCGTCGCTCGGATTTTTCTTGTTTCATGCCCATATTTGTTTCATGATGCCCCTCTCGGTGCCCTTGTTCCCGCAGAGTAACTCAAAGTGCGGTTGACTAGCTGTAGAATTCTGATAAGATAAAGTCGACCGAGAGCCACACGGTATAGTGACGATTCACAGGAAGAAGGGGAAGAAGGGGAAGAAGGGGAAGAAGGGGAAGAAGGGGAAGAAGGGAAGGGTTGTCTTTTAATCGAGCCTCCACTGGTTAAGGGCGCCCTTCCGCTTTATTGACGGAATCCACGCCAAGCTCTGGAAAAGTTCAAGCATGTCCACAACACTATTAATTGGATCTTATCCTTTGGTCTCGGTTTAGCAGCTCATCATATAGAAATCAGGTAGCCGAAGCGACAAGAATGCAGACACCGTCAAGCGCATCAAATCAGAGTTATGGCATTCAAAGGCTCTTTCGTCCCTGATCTTTCTTTCCTGCCACGTCTTATTGTCACATGACCATCCATCTTGAAAGGGGAAGAGCGTATATGCGTGTGTACTGTGGTTGGAGGCGATTAAGTATAGATGTCCTCTATGGCATCATGGAGCTGAGGTTGTTATGCATATTCACTCCATCAGTCATTCTATTATCAGTAGCTTTCGTCTCTCTAAATCAAACACGCTCTCCACTGTTCCATTTACTTGGAAAGTAACACATTATTCATCTAAACCAGTGTGGCAATGTACAAAAAGAGTTGATTAATGTTTGTATTATACGACGTCCGTATATTTGGGAACGGAGACTTCCAGGGTGAGTCCTGTTCAAAAATGACGGGCAGTGACTTTCCAGAAGGATTCGTCAACTGGCTAGTGAAGATTGGCACGAACGCCTCGCCGCGCCGGCGACGCTTTGGAAGGGTCCACACTGCCTATTATGCATTCCCCAGTCACTGTACCTCAAGTTAGAGACTTTGCCTTTAGCAACGTTAGTAAGATCAGGGTCGTGGCCGCTAAACCCGTCATCACCGCCGTCAGCCACCAGGCATGACATCGGCAAATTCGCTGGCGGGTGCCCTTGAAACAGCCGTGCATTCTTTGTCTGGATCACTTACTATGGACAACGGGAAGGGGGGGGTACGTACTGCAGCCCCTGACATTGTCTGCGTGACCACATCTACACAGTCCCTGCTTCACTAATGAAGATCATGGTGCTTCTTTATATTCTTTCCTGGCCTGGTAAGTGGAAACCAATCCCCTCGTTCGGTGTATTGACATGTCAAATTAATTCGTCGTTCCTTGTGTAAGCGGAGCCAAGTTGAAGCCGAAATCACCCTGCTGCAGGTGGCAGGTGGCAGGTACTACGGCACGCCAGGGCTCTCAAGTCTGTGTTTCGATGCTCTCCGTACAGAGCATCCACCCCCGGGAGGGTGTTTTAGAGCCCCTGTCCTGGCACGAGTCCAACACCAAAGACCCAACGACGATCACACTGTCATCAGTTGGGGCCGTGGGAGCTTGAGGCTGCAACAGGCCTCAGACTTCTTTGCAACATGCTTGCTCATGGACGTTTCTTGCCTACTGGCGTCTCACTACTCTTTCAGTACTTTTTTGCAGTTTGACAATAAGAAATTTCACCTGCCGCAACGGTTCTCATCCTTCACTGACGTTGCTCTACCGGCCACCTCATGGCCCTCAACATGGCCCAAGTGGCTTCTACGTCTCTAGTACCCAGCTCTACCCATTGCTTGCGAGGTAGCACACGTATGTCAAAATGTGAAGTACCGGTAGGTAAGTGTCACTTATCGTCACCACGGCAAGGGGGTGCGGTGGGAGATAAGGGGTGACCAAGGAATGGCCGGTTCAGTCCCCTCGTCAGCGGTAAGCAACTGCTACTGTACCGTAGAGCATCCCTCGGCAAGGCCGCATCATTATTCTAGTCTCTTTCTGTCCAACGCTGCCGCATCTTGTGGATCCCCTCTTCCACATCCACACCACACATCAGGCAAAATGATTACCATTGGCCTCTCCTACTGGGTTACCTACTGTCTACACAGCCCGTTCTCTCAGCACTAGGGCTACGAACACAATTCCGTCGGGACCGCCTAACCTCCCGCTCGCCGCCTGAGTTCTCACGCTAGCCGCAATCGACATTTTTCTCTGCGTCGTCTGAACAACACGCCATCCACCCCTCTTCGCTTCCTACCTCATGGACCCGGCATCTCAACGAATCCCCGCAACTGAAAGTGTGGTTGCCAAAAGAATTCAGAGTGGTCCTCTCGCATTGATCTCCCCTGCGTCACCCCCTGGACCGAACCCGCTTCTCCACGCGGCGCCTTGCATGCATGCCTAGTGCGTACTGAATGTCGCCCGCCCACCTCCCTGCCCCTGCTCTTCTGTACCCTCTGCCACTTCGCTTCGTCTGCGATTGATTCCTTACCAGGGGCTCTTTGCTCGTCATTGCTCTCAGCTGCCACCACTCTTCTCTCATTCTCTCTCTCGGAGCCAGACTGGATATATTTCATCCCAATCCGCTTTCTCTTCCCACGCTCACCTTGAACTCTTCTTTGCCCGCTCCACTCCAGCTTCATTTTCAAGCATTGACTCTCCCTGGCGGTTGACTTCTGTTCATTCTATGCCTCCTTTGTGGAACTAGCTGTCCTGTCTATAAGTGCATTACGTTCTCGTCACTCTTTCCATTGTTCTTTTCCCATCACAGGCTGTGCCTCTCCTTTAAATTCACACACAAGCGATTGTTCAGGCGCTTCCTCGTCGGCGAAATCGTCCCAACATTCTATCTCGTACTTTCCCGCCGTCTCACCAAAGAAAAAAAAGGAAACAAAAAAACCTGCCCGTCATGCAGTCATCCCGTTTCCAGTCCATCACCGCTCGCTTTTCTGCAGGCACACTGCACACCACCTTCCGCCGGTCCTCATCCGCCTCCTCCCGTGCCAGCAGCAACAGAGACTCTTTCGCCACAACCTCTTCGTCCCCTGCCAGTACCATTAATAGCATCGTCTTCAGCCAACCGTCAATCCTCGACCTTGAGGAGGAACGCAAGAGTTTCGGTAGCGAGCTCAGTATCCTTGAGCCACGACCAGTTGTATACTGGGGCAGCGTCGAGGAGCGCATGGGTTCACGATAAGCGCCACCCACAGTATACTTGACGCCATATGGCGGGAGGACGAGCAATGGGAACCACACAGCACTCATCTTACGAACGAGGTTTAGGAAATTTTGGGGTCAGGAACGGATTAGACTGGAAGCCGGAACAGGAGGCTTCACAACATTGAAAAAAGAGGCGTAAAGGGCGTAAAGGGCGTTAAGGCTGATATGGAAAGCGGCACTTGGGCCAAATACAATTATGGAAGGTTGGCCCGTGGATAACAGCCACGGAAATCACCGGGAACCCTCTTCTGTAAACATGGCCATGGCCTTCTTGGTAGGTTGCAATGGTGCGACTAGAACGGTATGCGGCGATAAAAGTTACGCGAGATATTTTTTCTCCTTCCATAAATGACAATATTCAATCATTCAACGGTCTTTCTCACTAGAGCCAACCCCTTGTGGTATTATCCTTTATTCTCTTGTTGTGACTACTGCTTGCTGGACGTGTAGTTTTTTTTTTTTTTTTTTTTTTTTTTTCATTAAAGGTGCAGAGTGATTTTGTGCTTCACTGTTAAATGATATAATCCCAAGGTGTAAGACCTGTGTATTTCCAGTGAATGGAGACTTGAACCGTTTTTACCAAGGCAGCCAGCCACTGCCGAGGGTGTCAATCAGAGTCCTTAGCATAACAACTAATAGTACATATCTGGATCGTATAAAAGAGGCTGTCAGGGTCTTACATTGCCATCAACTTACGCCTACCAATCATCGAGAGAGTTAGTGAAAAAGAACCAGGATAGGCAGAGACGTCAGAGGCAATCCAACATAAACCTGCCCACTCAGTCAGGCCAGTACGAACAACTACCCGCCACAAGCCAGCAATAGTACTCCATATGCCCAAACATACCGTAATCGGGCAAGATCTAGTTCCAATGAAGGTTTGGTTTATGGTTGGCGGAAACATCATGTCGCCACCCCCCACGTGGGATTGCTTGGTCGCTATGACAGAAGAGCGCAACAAGACAAGGCAGGCCATCAAAGATGACGTGTTGGAATTTCGAGCGGAAACAATGCAGGCGAAAGAGAAGCTCGAATGTGCAAAAAAGTTGTACAAAGAGACGAACAAAGGAGGCATAGCCGCCTGGAAACAACGAAAGCGTGACTCATGCCTGAACAAGACCGGAGACGACAGATGTGGTGGTAAAGATCGACGAAATAAGCCGGTCGGTAGTCGGACAACAGAACCATGGGCAAGCAGTTAGAACACCAAGGCTCTGCGGCACTATCAATACAAGCTAGAGACCAACTACGAAGAGGATGTTGAGAGCAGAGTGGTGGTACAGTGCAGTTGCAGTATCTTGGCAAGTTGTGCCAGGGGTTAGCAGCTCAGCGCGAACGGCTCTATGATACAAATACTATGGCATACATTTACAATAAAAGCATCGTACTTCACCTCCACAGGCTCCGCAACGGTGGTCCTAGTTGTCTGTGTCAGTCTACAAGAATCGTGCAGCGGCAACACTATATCTAGGCTGCCTGGCTCTTGTTTCTCCTCCTGCCCATGTTGCGCAATCTGGGTTCGACAACCCATTTGTTGAAGTTGTGCTTGCGACGGGTCTTGTATCCTCCCTTGGCCTGTATCGCAAAATTGTTAGCAAAGTCTTGAGTTGATCAAGGAGTTTTACAGAACGACTCACCGGTGTGCCCCAAGGACTCGTTGGGTGACGGTTTCCCTTGGACTTTCCGCGACCACCACCATGAGGATGATCAACTGCCGAGTGATAAGGATTAGCAAATACTGGTTCACAACAAGTAAGTGTGCAGGCTCATGCGACATACCAGAATTCATGGCAACACCACGAACGGTAGGGCGGATGTTCAGCCAACGGCTTCTTCCAGCCTTGCCCAGCTGTCTGTACTGGTGGTGTGGGTTGCTGGCTACTCCGATGGTTGCGCAAGCATCCTTGCTGACTCTGCGAATTTCACCACTCTGCAGACGGACATTGACGTACTTGCCCGTCATCACCTTAGTACCGTCGTCCTTGGTCTCTTCCTCTTTGGAGACAACAATCGCGTAGGTGCCGGCGCTACGGCAGAAGACAGCACCACCCTTAGCTCTTGATCCAACGTTGAAGACAACAGTACCAATTGGAATCATGTGCATGGGCAAACAGTTGCCTCTCCAAGCAGTCTTAGCTGCCAGAATACCGGGATCGACCACACCACCCATGCTATCGAGAAGGTCTTGGGGAATACCAGAACGGTAGCTGTGAACAAGGTCCCCCGCTCGCATGCCCTCAGCAGCCACAATGTAGCTCTTACGGCCTGTGTCTTTGTTCGTGAGCAAGGCAATATGAGCGCTCCGTCCAGGGTCGTGCTCAATGCGATCGACTAAATGCGGGCCGGGCTGCCAGCGCTCAAAGTCGACAGTTCGTATCCTCCTTTTAGCACCACCTCCACGATGCCTGACGGTGATTTTTCCAGAGGAGTTACGACCTCCCTTGCCGTGGCCCTTTTTGGGGAAGGTCAGGGGCAAGAACGGGCGACCCTTCCACAGGTGGTCGTTGATGGGGCGCTTCAAGTGTCGCACACCGGGGGTTCGCGGCTTATAGGTGCGCATGATGACAGAATCCCTGGTAGACTTGTCGGATGCTGTGGGCACGAAAAACTCGCTGGCGGGCGATGTCGTCTTGTCGGAGGCAGGTGTCTCGGTAGACCTTGTAACAGTAGCATACTGCCTTAAGAGTAAGGTGCGGAGGGCGGGTGAGCCCATGAAGGCGCCGCAGCTCCTCTGAGCCGGTAACATCATGCGCGGCGAGGGCATTTCGATGGTAATCTAGATTCGAGGCTCGAAAGGTCTGCTCTCTCTTCCTCTCGGTTTGCTCAATGTGTGTGATTGGTATTTCAGGAGAGGCCAGTCAGCGCAACATGACGCGGAGATGAGAAAGTGGACAGATCGCGGCGAAGGACAACGAAAAATGATAATCAAGTCTTCAATTGAAGTCCGAGGCACCCGAGAATCGCCCAACCTACTTCACAGACCTCAAGAATGGCCCCTTTGGCGCAGCGTAGGTGGGAATGGCTTCGATTTCAGGTCGGAGGAGATTGGTCCAGTGCAGTGCAGATTTCGAGCTTTCGAAATAATTGTTCTGCCGACGCCGAGGAAGCAAAGCTTCAGCCACATTCTCTGGTTCAAAAACATGGGTCACATGGCAAATGTGGATGAGCACGGTCAGTTGAGCCTCAGGCGTCCGGTCTCGTCTTGACACGACACGCCCCGCAAGCTTCGGTACCAGAGGAAGCGTGACTAGCGTGTAGCTGAAAATGCAACCAATGATGGATGGTTGCCCTGCGGTTGCCAGTGTTGATTGCTATTGTAACCGGGGACGGCCCAGTTTTCCATCCATCTTTTGTGCTGCGTCCCTCCAGACCCTCGCGTGCAGCCCGGGAGCAATCGCGTACCTGCTCGCTTGGCACCGCGACCTTTCTTCCTTCCAGTCTTCTTCATAAGCCACAACTATCTCCGATTGACTACCTTATTGCTTGCCTCCAAGGTGCAACACTTCTTTGAGCGAGAGTCGACTAGATATCACGCCCAAAGCTATCATTTGCCCTTATTGTTCCTATTTCATACAAGGGCTCTCTACTCTCTCAGTCTTCATCTTCACTCTCCACATCCAGCACCTATTCACACCGACTATCAAAGTAATTCACATCTCAGTCTTACCCCCACGCGTCGCCTTCAATATTCCAAACGCAGGCCATTGTTCGTATGATTTCAGGCCCCTACCACCCTCAAACTTACGCGCATCATCGTCAGTCGACAATTCACTGCCTCGACCTCATAGCAGACGTCGCCTGGGCTGCTATCTCTGTGATTTCTAGTCCTCTCATACGCACAAAGGGTTAGATTTCCTTTCTCTGTGTTCACTTCCAACGCCGTCGCGACTGTTACCTCCGTCGTCATCTGTCACGACAAAGACGCGCGACTTCCTTAACCGAGAGTCAAGAAGCCACTCCCTGTCCGTCGTTCGCGCCTCCGCCTAGCTACGCTACTGTGGTGACCATAACCTGACCAGGGTCACCGCGAGCCGCGACCTAAGGTACGTACCACAGTACCCCGTTCTCAATACCCACTACATACCACATCACGTCCTCTGTTCCCACTACCTCAGCAAAAACACACATCACATTGTTCTTCCAACTCCTCTTCCCACATAAACAACCTCTTTTTTTTTCTTCCCACCTGGGTCCCAATTCTTAATTCTCCTCCAACCTCCGAGATACCCTATCAACTTGCCTACCCCGCCTCCGACTATTGCATCTCTTGCAATTGGCTTCCTGGACGCGACTAATTCTCCCTCATCAGAGCTATTCGTGTTTGGCGCCAAACCAGCACAACCGTTTTGCTCGCGTTCGAGTACCTCGTCATCATCATTCCCAAGGTGCGCATGTCTCGACGAAGTTCCTCTTCACGTCGCACTCCTCTCTCAAGCACCTTTTCCATCAAACACTCCGTGGCGCTTACCCTATCATCATCCTGTCTCTACCCGGGGCTTACCTTGGTGGCGCTTGGGTTCTTGTCGACGCGTTCAATACTGACTAAATCTTGACAGACTACTACATTGCAAGCTCCTCCATCTTCACAGACCGGGTCGACAAAATGCCTGTAAGTTTTTTTTAGCCTTCTTGCCTTTTCCTCCTTCTCGTTTTCGCGGCTACCGCTGGGTCGAGCCTATTCGCGTCGCCATCTCGCTTACAGTCCCCTGTAGCAACCCCGTCCGACGCGTGCACAACGCCTCGTGTCAAACGAGAACGATGAGAACAGTGGATCGATGCGTATGACGCGTGCTAAGGCAGCCGCATTGAACGTTGATGAGCTTGCTGGCCCAGGAAAAGCCTTGGCAACGAAGAAGTCGGTAGTAAACGCGAACACAACAGCAGGCCCACGGAAGCGCAGCGCCCTTGGTGATATGAGCAATGTCCACAAAGCAGATGGCGTTGAGGTAAAGAAGACCACCAGCAAGGTCGGTCTTGTATCAAAGGCTGCTCAGCCCACCGGTATCACCAAGAACCAATCCCGAGCCACCACAACCAGATCTGCTCTAGCACCCAAGGAGACTAACAAAAAATCCGAAGCCAAGCGCGCCCCTGGATCCGGTGTTGCTAAACGCAAAGCGACCTCTGCAACGGTAACCATTGTTAAGGATGAGAATGTCGTTGAGCAAGATGAACCCCGGCGCAAGAAGCATCACCCCGCTCAGCCCGTAAAGCCCCGTCTTCCAGAGGACGATGCTGCACCTACCAAACCTCCCGTTGTCGAGTCAGAACCTACTGAAGTCACAAAGCAACCCATGACCGAGTACCCTGAGGGTGTCAAGAACCTTGACGAGGAAGACTTGGACGATCCCTTGATGGTGGCTGAGTATGCCAACGAAATCTTCGAGTATCTCCGAGACTTGGAATGCAACTCGATTCCCAACCCCAATTACATGGAGCATCAAGACGATTTGGAATGGAAGACGCGTGGAATCCTTGTCGACTGGCTAATCGAGGTTCACACTCGCTTCCACCTCCTCCCTGAAACTCTCTTCCTCGCCATCAACATCATCGACCGCTTCCTGTCTGAGAAGGTCGTGCAGCTCGACCGCCTACAGCTCGTTGGTATCACCGCCATGTTTATTGCGTCCAAGTATGAGGAGGTTCTGTCGCCTCACGTCGCCAACTTCCGGCACGTTGCCGATGATGGATTCAGTGAAGCAGAGATCTTGAGCGCAGAACGTTTTGTTCTCGGCACTCTAAACTACGATCTCAGCTACCCTAATCCAATGAACTTTCTCCGTCGCATCAGCAAGGCCGATAATTACGATATCCAGTGCCGTACCATTGGCAAATATCTTATGGAGATTAGCCTTTTGGATCACCGGTTCATGGCTTACAGGCCGAGTCATGTTGCGGCTGGTGCTATGTACCTGGCCAGACTGATTCTCGACCGCGGTGACTGGGTATGTTTAAGCTAAGCCATATTCGTCGTTCTTCTATTAACCTCGTAGCAGGATGATACCATCGCATTTTATGCTGGCTATAACGAGGAGGAAATCGAGCCGGTTGTTCGCCTTATGGTAGACTACCTCGCGCGCCCAGTTATTCACGAGGCCTTCTTCAAGAAGTACGCCAGCAAGAAGTTTCTCAAGGGTAGCTACATTCCGTCGCCAGTGTCCCTCTTTGCAGAGCTAACGAGATGCAGCTTCGATCCTTACTCGCCAGTGGGCCAAGAAAAGTGCAGTTCACTTCGGTATCGTTGACCCTCATCTCTCCCTGGACCAGATCTCTGCCCAGGAAGATGACTACCCTGAGGATGATGATTACTAGTGGCACACGGCCTTCGAAAAACGAACTCTTGTTCACTGGATATTCCGGGTAGTTGGATGAGCATCAGCGTTTACGGTCACTATTACGAATGCACAGATCGACGACCACACATCTTGAGGTGTGCATCAGTCCGCATCCCCTCTTCGCGCTTTACTGAGCCCACCCTCGTGAAAATTACACCAAGCGGCCTTAGGGAAGGAATGACGGGTCTTTTTTATTATTTTTACGCCCGAGTTACATTGTTCAGGCTCCATTGTCAGATACTAGCAGTTTTTTTTTGGCTGCTATTTGTTGTCGGTTTTACATTTTCCAGTGCATAGGGATTTTATACTCTTGTCACGAATGGCGCATGGAGTCAGAGGTCAAGGATATCACGAAAGCGGACGGTTTGGCTGGAGTTCGTTGACTCTGTCTTTCCACTAGGCTGGCAAAGAATGGGGTCCTTTAGTGTTGCATGTTCAGGCACCGCCTGCCTAAGGGTACAGCGCTCTGTCGTAGCCTCATTGTCTCTCCATTTTGGGGGTGTTTTGGGAGGGGGACCTGGGAGTATTGGCCTTCTGGGAAAGGGGTTACATGTGAAAGTGGAAGAAAGGCGACGGTCGTGCAAAAATTGTACATACGTTTGTTCGGAGAATGCTAGGTTCAGGGCAGGGTAAATACAATGCATTGCGTTTCTTGTTCAAGTTGGGCATGTTGCTTTGGATTATCATGCAAGAGTTGGGATTAGGAGTCGTATGCCGACGATCCATGACACTTCGTGGACTGCGTCTGGTTATTCATGACCTGGGACAGACGCACCGCGTATGATCCTTGTTTTGTTCGACGTGTCAACAGTTTGTCTCCATTGTTTTGATTCAAGGCCCCTCTCCTTGGAGCCGGGCAACGCTGCAGCACATACGGGCCCGACAATTCCGACAGACGTTAACATGCGTGGGCGATTGACTCGCTCAGTAAGATAGCACTACGTTGGTTTTTGCTCTGACCTTGAATCCTATGTGCAGGATCTGCCTGGTCTCAGTTGTATATGGATAAGGGACAGGAGTGCCAGTGAGTACGGACGGCAAAGTTGAAGGGCATATTGTACACTTGCAAATTACCGTGAGAAGCTCTTAACAAGAAAAAGACAAGCAAGCCACTGCTCTCGTGAGCGAAAGATACTGGGTGCTATAGCAACAACCTAAGGCAGGCGTATCAGCCGTACATGAAAGCCCATGCCCTTCTAACTCTGCTGCCTCATCTACAGCCTTTTGACAGACCAGGTGTACTCGGGTTATTTAATCTAGTGTGATGCGAGTGTCGGCACGGTACCAATTTTCCTTGGGGACCCCAAGACATTCACCCAGGGTAACCATCTTCTTGCCCTGAAAATTTTGCAGCATATATTCCGTGAGGCTGTAAACCGTCTGCTGGTGGATGTCATGGCCGATGACAAGGAAACTGCCATTAGGAGACGGCTTAGCGTCGATGGCATGGTCGACAATATCCTCGGATTGGGAGATCTCCGACGGGCTATCGTGAAGGTAATCGGCCGTATCAAGCTCAAAGTAAATGATAGAGTAGCCCAGGGCCGCCATGTCGTTTTCACAGCCACACTCTGCTGCACAGGAGGAAAAGGGTGGTCCGAAGTAAGAGAGCGATGTCAACAGGACATCATTCAACATGTGGCCATGTTCTAGGTAGAGTGACTGACCTCATGCAGGTAGGGAAAACACCGATAATGTTGCGCAAAGCCTAGAACGTCAGTAATTTAGTATTTCTAGAAAGGAACTCTATCGAGAAGGTGCAACTAACCATTTCTAGCTTGTACATCTCATTTTTGCGCTGCACGGATGTGATTTTGCACTATAGGGGAAGTCGCATGTCAGGGACCGAAGTAGACGCAGTAGGAAATTTGAAGGAAAGGGAGAAGGAGTGGATGTTACCAAATCAGCGTGGGACCAGGTGTGACTGGCAAACTGATGACCTCGGATGTACATTCGCCTTTAGTACAAAACTTAGCTAGAAATCAGAGGCAACCAATGTATGTTCTTAGTTACTTACTTGATAATACTAGCCCAAGGCAGAGCCAAGTCATCGATTTCGCCCTTGGCATTATTGTTACCTATTATCACAAAGGTAGCAGAGGCATTGTATCCCTTGAGAAGATCTAGTAGATCACTCAAGTATTTATCTGGACCATCGTCGTACGTTAAAGCCACGTCTCCTGGGTTGACACAGCTGTAGATGCCAGGACCTCCGTATGCAATCTGACCACCCCAAGGACGGGCAATACTTGACGTATTCTGGCCGGGCGGGATTTTATCGGCATCGCAGGCTGGTCCAGATTGGAACAAGCAGTCTGGAACTTTGCAGTGGTCTGGATATGCTTATCAGAAGTGTGACTTTCATGTATGTTAATATGAGAGCTATGTCTTACCAGAAGTTGTTCCACAAAAGCTGCCAATGAGTTAATGAAGTATAGGCATATGGATTCAAACGGATCATCAACCCAGCGGCAGAACAACATTCGTTAGGTGCACATATCATATTATCATTGTCAGGGCCACACTGAGCATTTCCGAACGAGCCTTGGTCACTGTTGCCTCCTCCAGCATCACTGTCTTGCACGCAGGTGCCGAAATCGCCCTGGCACCCATTGGATACCAGGCAGTACTCGTCCGTATTGCCACACCAAACATTAACGGAACAGCACGGGAGATCCGTCGAACAAGAGAACGAAGATGGATTGCCTCCATTGCCAGTTGTTCCGCAGGTGTTGTCGGGAGATGCTGCCTTGGAGATAATGAGGGAGGGAGATGCCAACGTTCCAATCGCTAGAGCGAGTCCAAATGCGAGCAATTCGAAAGTAGGCAACATCTTCGACCATAGCGATGATAATTTAATGACAAATAAAATAAAATAAAAGGAAACAAGATAAGAACGAATGTACTTGTAGACCGTAGCGAGTAAACATTATCGCCTGTGATGTCCGTCAAGTCCAGCCAAGAAACACGGCAGCGGGAAGTAGTTTATATGGATGAATACCCCACCACACGTAGGAGGATGAGGATCGAGGACCGGGCGAGCCCGAAGTTTCTCTGAAAATGTCAACAATTAGCATCTTTGTTATGGCGGCGCAGAGCGACAATGTCGGAGAATCAGTTCAGTATCGAAGTCTGGCCTGGAATAAAGCTTAGTATGATTACAACCTGCAGGGGTCTGAAGTGACTTCATGGTATTATGGCGAGGAAAGGATTCACTTTCGCAAAGGCCACTGGCGCCGCCGCAAGAGATCGAAGCCAGGAATAGATCAAGGGAGGCTAGGCAGCCATGAAGTGGGCTGAAGGAGAAGGAGATGTATTATTGCAGACTGGGTGACAGCGGGGGTTGCACAACAGAGGACCGTATGTCGAGGCCCAAGCCCTTTGAAAAAGAGGTAAGTACATCTGCCGAGCAGAGAAAATTCAGGGACTCGAGAAGAGAACATCCATCAAAGAAGTGTGATAAATCATCTTATGCGGCGTAATGACAATGCAGTTTGAACACGAAGGACGGAAACAACCAATCCATTGCCAGCAGGATGGCAGCGCAGAGGCAAATGGGAAGACTAAAATCGACCAGGTCAAGGTTAAACAAAACTGTTCGGACTGTAAACAGCAACGCCACTGGACTTTGGATGAGGTTATCAAGGCGGCCGGAACTTTTATGTTCCTGTACCATTGAAATGTAGATTTTGTGTTGTCGAAGCGGAAGTCATATGCTAGTTGACTCGGCTTCCATAGATGAATGAGTTCAGCCAACATACAAAAGACCTATAGCTGCGGCATACGATCCCAGAGAGACTCTGAATTGGCTCACCCGAACTTAATGAACACATCTACACTTGGGTGAGGAGTTAGTTGTGTTGGATGGCGGAGTGTGGTGATTAAAGCCCAGTGCGCAGCCCAGCCTCAACTACGGACCGAGCGGAGCCGCGACCTCGAGAAGGTAGGCCGTATTCGGCGCCGCAGTTGTGGGGCCATCGGGCAGCAGGATAGATAGAGTGTTACATCGGAAGTCTATTGGGTTCATTCCTCTGGATGTATGGAATTCAGTGGTTGAGTTGTACTAGCAGGCGTCATCATCGACCTGTTGAGGGCCAATTATGAAATGGGTTGAAGTGGATCGGAGAGGGTCGGAGAATTCCCTCTGCCGCAGGTGTGAACCCGACGGGAAGTTGGAAACAAGCGGCTCCCGTCTTCAGGGGCCACTTGTTTCGGGCGATGAGTGTCATTGGGCAACAGGCAAGGCCGGTGAGGATCTGCAGAACCAGTTACGCACCCTGGACGTTGGATGATACGGTACGAGGCCCCAGGGCAGCCATGAACTTGCGGGTAAGCAAATGAAGGGGAATGGGATGTAAGCTGACACATTAATAATGAATGTCAAGCCAGTGGAAGAAAAAATGACGAAAACGAAGATGAGCAGAGGCACCTCAGTCTTTCACAGTCGTTGCCCATCGCAACCTACTACGGCGTAGCGCTCATTTTTCAGATCGGTCAGGTACACGGGGCGAGGAACAAGGGGATATCTGTTTGGCCGCGTTTCGCACCGCCATGGCGATCATGTGGAGACTGGCGCGGGATTGGACAATTGCGCCCTCCGCCGTTGCGGTGTCCGAGGCCGCCGCGGCATCACTTGTTGACTCAAATGGTAGTAGGTATCGCTTTCGATGGTTGCTTCTGCTTGTGGCAAGTTGCACATCACCATGACCACTACCACCACTACCACCACTGCCACCACTGCCACCAGCGCGTCAGGCTAAAGAAGGCCATTGCCTTGCGTGGCGTATGTGTATGCGTATTCAACCGCCAATTGTTTGCCGAAGTCAATGCCAAGCGCACGAGCCATTTCGCCTGAATCTAGCAGAAAGGACAGGGTCACTACGTGAAGGGAACACTCAGTATGTAAGGTCACGGTCATTACAGCCGCCGTCATCCAGTTCCTCTGTCATGTTCAGACGAAGACCCACTTGTTTTCGGCAAAAGTTTTCTTCTAGTCCTTTATTGAATGATGGAAATGTCAATAGGCCCATACGGTACGAATGGACCAGTCATAACAAATTCATCGGGCCGGCCTAGACCCGAAGAAATCGTTGCGCTGCTTGGCGATTCGCGACCGATCCAAGCCACGCGTTGCGATATTGGCAGAGCTATCATCCAGTGCCGTACTACCGACGAACGCGGGCCGAAAGTCAAGACCCAAGAAAAGACAGAGCTCGTGTCACGGAGGGAGTGAATTGAAACTACAGAGCCATGCCACATACCAGACGCAACGGAGCCGTCAGAGCCGAGAGGTATGGAGTGACAGATATGAGCGTCTCCAACGCAGTGAGACATGTGGGTTGGACTTGGATTCTGACGGATGACGAAGCAATCCCCTTATCGTTTTTCATATGCTAGGTATATAAGTATGGTGGTGTGCTAGGCCCAGCCAGCTCACCTAGGAAGGAATGTGTCTCTTGTGCAAAGTTAGGTCATATTATCAGGACTTGGTAGTGCGTTGCAATTGGTAGTTTGGGTTTGGATCGAGAGGTATGTGGCTCATTGAGACAACTGTTACATGAGGTCTCTTGGGATGGTTTCATTGCGTAATCAAACTGGCCTTGGTTTGCACAGCATCCCGAGGTGGTGAATCGAGAACAACGGCAGGTGGGTTGGATGCGGTAAGTGAAGCTGACGAGCAGCTTGGCAAAGTCAGAAGTGACAGGATCTCTGCCTTTTCTACTCCACGGCCAAGACCCAAGCCACGGCGAGCCGACCAACGAAAAGGCTGCGAAACGGCACCCTGTGCGCGACTACGACGTCGTGCTAGCCAGTCAGGATTCAGTTGCAAAGGAGTCGGTGCTCAACAGCACTTAAACAGCCTTTTTATGGCCTTTTCAACAGTGACAAGGTACAAATTACAAGGCCACTCTTCAGCCCCTGAGGATCGCTGACTGGTGTTGCATGAGACGGGCTCCCTCAGCCAGCGCTCCTCAAATCAGCACCCCGTTCTCCCCCTAACCCTTCACACACGCAGTCTCTATCTCTCTATCTCTTTTTTTCTTTTTTTTTCTCTCCAAATTTTATCCTCCAGCGGTGGATGTCTACCCATTCTCTTCTGTCCCTCAATTGCCCCTCGGGTTCCGTATCAATCCACCAATACGTGCAATGTCAAGCGTTCTGTGGTTCCGCGGCCAACCTCTACCCAAGGCCAGAGCAGATCAACCGAAGCGGGCTAAGACTCCCTCGACTAGCTGATGGGATGCTTCGCCGTACTGCGCATAAACAGGCACCTTTCTATTATAGTCAAGTATGCATCCCTTGCGCATCACATAGACTCTTTTTGCTTGCTCAGACGGTGAAAATGAACGACAACGGGTGTTGCGGGGATGTACAGATGAACGAACGTACTTGCCACTACAGCAATGTCGCCCTTCTCCAAGACTGGCCGTTGTAATGCGACGTGCAAAGGCTGGCACCTTGCAAAATGTTCTAAAGATGGACGATGCTGGTTGTTCCTTATGTACGGATAAACCCTGCAAGCTCGGCGACTTTCGTGAGGCGTTCAGGTATTCGACTTGTTCAGCTGGGGAAGGGGTTGTACCACTGGCAGCTGCATTGCCCTTCGAGTACTCTTCCTGAGGTACGAATACTGTACTTGTAGCAGCGCGGCGCCTCTGCCCTGCCGCTGAATTGCCGCTGGTGGTGCTCCTCCGCAGCACTGCCACGCGACTGCTTACTACATTCGTCACCCCGTAATGTTGAAGGATGTTCAGTTTTCCAACCTCTTTCTCGCCTCCATCCTTTTGATTTTCATCCCTTCGGAATTGGATGCCTGGGCGGATCGCTTTTGGGTTTGTCAATCTAGTGTACAGCTGCTTAGCCTGTCTTTCCTCGACATCCCTCGTGCTGTAACACGTACCCCTGGACAGTGAGCATCCACTCTGCAAACACCGTTGCCGCTCAAATTTCGTGAGACCTTTCTTTTCCCTTCCCATCGCCCATTCTTCCTTCTTTTTGTTGCCGGCCTACGAACACCTACCTACCTACACACCTGTCTATCTATCTATCTATCTACATCGGCTCACTACGTAGCGAGGTACCTTACTCGACCCTGTCTTAAACTTACCCAAACTTGGGTAGGCACTTTCCCCGGTTCTACTCCATTTACACAGCCCACCATTTGGGGCACTTGTCTACGCAAGATACCCAGTGGCCTTCCCTTCCTCCCCCAGCGGCCAGCTTTTACCGCATGCGCGCGCGCGCGCCCTTGGGTCCTGGCTGCACCCCCATCGACCGCATCTTCTGCGCTTGTGCGGATCCGTTCCCCGTTCCACCCCCATACACTTAAACTCTCTCTTCTTTCCCTACCAAATATCTATTTTACCTTTAAGGCTGGGCCCGGGTTCAACTGAAGTAGCTTAGACCCCCCATCCGGAGGACCTCCCTCTCACCTCCCTTTTCCTACTTCTACTTCTCCCCTCATGTCCACCTCTATTCCTCTTACAAACCTATCGCCCTCATCGAGGCCCTCATACTACAAGATGCCCGAGTCACCAGTGCCATACGAGAGGCGGTCAATCCGCACGCGCCGTTCCCACTGGACCCCATCCTTGATCGGTTCCTATGTCTTCGATTGGTTCGTCTTGCTCGTCGTTGCTGGTATTGGAGGTGTACTGGGAATCGTCACCCCGAATATGCGACCCTTCTCGGTCATCGACCCCAACATTTCGTAAGAAGAAGCCCCCTCCCTCCCCCGGGCAGCGTGCTGTTTTTGTGACTGTCTTCCTCGCCTTGTTCCTTGCTGATCCAAGTCTTAGCTTCCCCTTTACCGAACACGAAACTGTCCCCATGTGGCTTGCTGTGATTTGCGCCGTTCTTGTTCCCATCGTTATCATCGCCATAGTTTGCCTCGTCCTCGTTCCCGGAAACACCGTTCCCAAAGGCACTCCGAAGGCTCTGATTTGGAAGCGCAAGTTATGGGAGTTGCATATTGGTTGGCTTGGTCTTGCACTTGCCATGGTCGGTGCCTGGTTCATCACGAATGGCATGAAGAACATGTTCGGAAAGCCACGGCCCGATTTACTGTCTCGCTGTCAACCAGACCTCGCGAATATTCAAAGATATTTTGTGGGCGGTACCATAGCAAACATCACTGGTTTGGACGGCGCCACTGGCTTCGGCCAGCTCGTTTCCGCTGCCATCTGCACCAGCACTGACAAGCACAAACTTGAGGACGGCTTCCGCAGCTACCCATCCGGCCACTCGAGCTCTGCTGCCGCTGGCCTAATATATCTGTCCCTCTTCCTCGCTAGCAAGTTTGCCGTCACCTTGCCCTTTGTGGCCAACAACAGCGAACCATCGTCCCATTCGGCCTTCCCGTCTCGTCTGCAAAAGTCAAGCTCTGACTATGAGGAAGTGCGATCAGGAGAGGGAGGCTCTCTTAACCCGGACACCTCTGGCGCTGCCAGAAACCTTGCTGAGCATAACAAAATAGTCACCGCTGTTCGTCGCCAAGCCGCCGCACCCCCCATTTATCTTTTGACCATTGTTGTTCTTCCTTGGTTTGGGTCCATTTTTATTGCTGGCTCTCGTTGGTTTGATTTTCGACATCACGGATTCGACATCTTGTTTGGCTACCTGATTGGTGTTTTCACCTCAATCTTTGCTTTCCGCTATTACCACCTCCCCATCAGTCAGGGGGCTGGCTGGGCGTGGGGTCCCCGCAGTCATGACAAGGCGTGGTGGTCGGGAGTGGGCTCGTACAGCTACGCGACGGAGAAGGGAGACTTCATCAGGTCAGGAGATGAGGAAGAGGCGTACATGACACGTCCGGCGGACCAAGCGACATCGACTCAGTTCATGGGCAAGCCCAACTCAAATGATGGCTCAGGCCCTGAAAACAGGTTCTGATTTATACTTTGTGGCGGATGTGGTGCAGAAAGGTACTACCTATTGCATATTCCATTGGACATGTTGGGCATGATCGGAGTTCTACGGTATACCACGCGCCTGAATGGCCTTGGCGGTCTGACGCAATGAATTTTTTTTTTTTTTTTTTTCATTTGCTCTTCAGTTTTTATTATTATCCCTTTTTGTGAGATGCGGCCAGGCACGGCATACAGATATGATAGGTTATGGAATAGACTCACAATGACGGCTGGGGGAATGATACTTTTCGATTTTGACCGTGTAATTGCGCTGGAGACCTCGTGAAATCTATTCCTTCTCGTGAGACTCCTCCTAGTCGTCAAGTGTGTGTATTGTCCTAATGTTGTGTCTCTCCGATTCAATTATTTTGTCAGGCCTGGCTTCACAAGACTTGACCCTGCGGCAAACAAGCGTCTACTTGCAACTCACAGGCAGTATGTTACAATGTACACGAATGGTATCCATTTGTCCTTTTGCAGACGTGCACGTGCAGTGTAACTGGTTCTTGTCCATACGCCTAACGACGACATGACTTGGTTGACCTTCATGGGTGCAAATTGCTGCTGCAAAGCAATCTCACGGACTTGGTCGATGCTGGCCGAGAGACACCAAATTTGGATCATGAAAACCGTTATATCATTATCCTAGGGACCAACTCTATCAACGCATGCAGAACATAAGTATAAAAAGGGGCCAAGCGGATAGGCTACATCTACCGCTTAAGATGGCATATTCGCGAGCGGTCCCCCCTTCCGTAGCCTCACCGTACCTGCCACACCGCATAAGAATAGTCTGTCTCTCCACACGACCTCAAAACTATCAAGCCATAGCAACCCCGTCGTTGCCACCAGTTACTCGACTGTCAACGCCCTCAAACTCGATATCCTCATCGTCTCCATCGTCTAGGACATCGTCATCACGGAAACCGCTGTCGACCTCCATCTTCTTCAACCGGCGCCGCATCTCACCTTTTTTTTGATGCTGCCACCGAATTAAAGCGGCCGAGGCGTGGACCTTAAAGCCATACACGCGAGGCACGTATCGCTCAGCGCTCTTGGTGGGGATAAGGGCCGGGTAAGCCTGGAATATGATGTTGTGGAATGAGGTACCAAAATAGGCACCATCGATGGCGGCGTGCCGCGATGATTTGGGGTTATAGATGTCCTCGCAGCGAGCGCAGTAGAGCTTAACCGGCTTCATGTTGGGAACATCTGAGAGGCCCATGGGTAGTAGCGGATGCGAATGGCACATCACACGGGGGCATTTGCCGAAGTCGGCTTTTTTGTACTTTTCGAGCTAGATGAATTAGATGTGTTAGCAACCTCGATGTGTTGTTGAAGGGTCTATCAGCCTCTTTGAGACGACAGCTGGAGCAATATAACGCGCACCATCTTGGCAAGACCCCTCGTCGTGACGATGAAGCGGGCATGAACAAGGCCGTACAAATGTCGGGCCGATTTCTCGATCGTCTCTCTCATCTCATCGTCGCAATCAAGGTCGAAGACATCGGTGATAAGATCAAGCGCATATTGGTAGTATTGGACCTCCGTGTTCAGTCCTGTTAGGTTGAAGCGGTCCGTGAGGTAGTCTTCGTCAATCTCGCAGAAGTACTCATTGCCTCGAGAAGATATAAACTAGACAGCGTAGAGTCGTTAGCAAGTCTTCTCGTCAAATCAGTAACAGTGATAGTGGTGTAGTCGCTGCGACAGACAAGGCCGGGAAAGGCGGTCAACGAGCGCGCAAGCGTGTCACAGCTCGCTTTGTATTGACCCATGGTACCAGTCGAAATTAAAGCCTCAGAGAACCCAGAATCATATGGAAGAGATGATGCCGATGAGTCGATAACTCACCCAATCGCGCCAATAGCTCGTGTAGTCGCTATCCGACTCGCTGACGAAGTCGTCCATCATGATGAAGAAGGTGCGACTCGTACGTATTAAGCCTTTATATCATGGCCAAGTTGATTATGGCAATTTGCAGCTATCGTATGGCGCTGCAGAGAGGGGTTGTTCGGCGATGGACGTTTAGGCGACTGACTGATAGTAAGTGTCTTTCGTAGAATTGAAGTTGACGCTGATTTCCTGCGCTCCATCTGCAGGGCAGAAGTGGTTGGCGGGGCTTTTGGTGCAGTTAGGGAGGGGCGGGGGCCAGGGCCGGTACGTACCTGTGTTTACCTGTGTTCTCAAAGCAGAACGATTGCACCAAGCCACCTAAATATTCACTGCATAAAGTTGCCATTCGTCGAGGCATGATCAACACAAATCTTCGTAGGATCACCAATTCATAAATATTAATCTGGAAACAGCCAAGCTGGCAGAAAAGAGGATGTTTTGGTTGCTGTGTAGGGGCCACGCAGAAATTGTCGAGTATACCAGGCTGAGATGCCAGGAGAAGCAAAAACGTAACAAAGATAAGAGAACAAGATATCTGGCCAGTTTCTTTCTTCATTTCATGGGATGCCAACAGCCATCAGCGCCCGTCGGAGCTGAAGCTGGCTGCATCACTGATTGAATGCCCCTCCGAATCTATCTCATCGCTCTGCTCTGCATACTTCAGTCCTAGGCCATTAACGACTCGGTTGCCTGGAACACCAAGCCTGGTCATCAGGCCAGGGGAGTCACGACCGCCGCCTTTCACTGAGATATTTACGCCCTCCATTGCCTCGCGAAGTGAGTTGCCGGTTTCATCCATGGCGGCCAAGAAGCGCGCCAGCTCTTTACACAGTTCCCAGTCACCCTCCTTCATCGCTCTTGACAGTAGTCGCACAGTTTGTTCTGAAGCAGATCCGAGCTCGTCCAGTGTGTGTAGAATAATGAGGTAACCACCAGCGGTTTTGAGAGACCCTCGCTGAAGAGATTCCTCAAACAGCTCTTGTACTGGTGGGAGATATGCGAAAAGCGTCCGCCACTGTCTAACCTCTGTTTTTCTTGTACATTGCACAACAATATCCAGATACTGCTTGAAGGACGAAAGCAACGATAACACACGAGGAAGAATCGCCTCCTCCGGGCTCGGTCCAGAATCCACTTCGTCATCAAGAACCTTATGGAGCAGAATCTCAAGTGCGTGCGCAAAGTACTCTAGATACTGATACTGCTCTGACAATTTAACGGCATCTACAGCGCGGTTCTCTGTCAACAAGAAGCGAAGGATGTCTGGAAGGAAAAGGTGTGTCTGTGGTCAAGATGATCAGCAATGCTCTTTCAAGTATGGGCACAAAACAACGAACTCTGATAGTGAAGCGGAAGAAGGAAAAGCTGATGTCTCGTCGTTGTATAAGATCAGCTTCAACCCCAAGAACAATTCCTTTTCCGAGGAGCGTGGAAAGTGGATAAAAATCCAGTGGAACCGATATCGTTTTTGGCAAATCTCGCGACGTCTCGTCTGTTGTTGCTCGCAATACTTCCTGCACATCAGGCCAAAGCTTGAACTCGTGCCCGTCAAACACCCAGAGAGAGTTTCTCAATGATGTGTCTCCTCCCACAGAAGTGGCTTCTTCGGTGGGTGCTGATATGCTGTCAAAATGCGGCTGATCTCTCATGCTTACGTGAAATTCCACATTTTGCGCAATAACCTTCATATCGTATTTCAGATGCCCTTCGTGGTTTAACGACGGCTGAAGTAACACCAGCTTGGCATCCACCAGAAACAAGACGGACGCAACTGCAACATCTTGCGATGGATCGCCGTCAAGGAGTTGACTGTCTGGTAGAATCCAGCTTAAACCACGAACTCTGGCAGGGGATCGTACTATGCCGTGGAAAGCAATTTGTCCAAGCTGAACCAATCTGATGGATCCACCTGTAGGCGCAAAAATAAAATGGTAAAGGAGATTGTCGTAAGTGTAAACAAGTAACGAGTCATCGCCTGAAGAGGTCACCAGAACTACAGGAGCAGGCAGCTGTTGGGTATGTAGTACTAGAGAACTGTCAAGAGCTGTTTCTCTCGAGTAGAGACGGAGCTCATGTGACTTGTTAGCCTCTACTGCGGCGACAAGTATGTGTTGATACCAGCACATGCTGCCCCTGACTTGAAACTCATTTTCCATGGCCTCGTTGATAAAAGTCTTCCACCGGCCACTGTTGACACTGTAATGAGCCAAGCCTCGTCTTCCAGCCACAGCCACGTATCGGCCATCTGGTGAAATTACCGTGTGACGGATGGGCCATTGCTGCAGAAGGTATGCCGGGGGTATTTTCGTCGTATGCCATAGATGCGGCTCCGCAGATATACTGGCTAAGTCTGGCAGATCATACCCGCGGTATATCATGACATTCGTACTTGTCTGGAGTACAGTACGCAGAAGATTGGCTGTGTTGTAACAACCCACAACGGCACTTCTAGCCATTTCAAGCATCCAGATTGCCTCGTTGCAACGATTCATGATGAGAAGCTCTGAGCCACTGCCAAGCCAGACGGCATCACCTACGCCGGCTATCCAGTTTTCCCCGTTCGCTTGGACGAGAGCGTCGTGCGCGCCGAAACTGTGACTACCTGGCTTTCCATAAACGCTCCAAGTTGCCCAACCATTTTCAAAACCGGCAAACAGACAATAGCCATCAGGCGAGTAGCTTAGGGTTGCAAGCGAACCAGAGACGGTTGCGGATACCGGTAGTGTATGCGCATGGGACGGTGGGATATTGCCAGCGTAGTCTCTAGCGGAATAAACACGAATCCCGCCATCTGCACACCCAACGGCGATCAGGGAAAACCTAGCATTGATGATGGCCTTTCTAGCGGACTCCGTCGGATTTTGCGGCGAGTGGAAGCAGTAACCCTTGAACAGCTTCTTATGCTCAGCATCTGGTGAGCCTGCCTGGGAAACCTCGCGCGGAGTCAAACGTTGCACCGCATAAACTTTACCGTCACTCGTGATCCAGGTGGATAGGTTCATTGGACGATCATGCGTCATTTCCACGACGGTTATCTTCTTCTCTAGCCAACTCATCCGGCTAATGATTTCCGTTTTTGTCTGGCTGCCACTATGATCGGGTGTCCAGCGAATGCATTGGATGGCTGCTGGTTTACGGGTAGCTACGACCAATTCATCGTCCAAGGCAAGGGCGCTTTCTATACCGGCATCGACCTTGATAACCATCCTGAAACGGACACTCACGTCGCGAACACCCTGACCTTCGCCAGGGCCCCAAAGATACTGGTCCGGTGCATTACTACCAGGCCCTCCGTGATGGTTCTGACGACGCCGTTGAACGTTTGCATAGCTCGGAAAATATGGTTTGTAGACTTGGGCCTCTGAATCTGTCGCTAGGGAATACGTAATGAGGTAACCCAAAGTCGTGCGAACAACGAGGATAGCAGAGTCGGGCCGTAGCAGGAGGTCGACATTTTCGCCATATGTCGAGAGGGATGATTCGGAACGAACGACCACGGCAAGAACCACTGTGGGCTTCGGCAATGTTAGCAGAACTGCCCAAATGAGTTAAATAGTCTGTGAGTGAACCAACCTTAGCTTGCCATATCGTCATAGATGTTGAGGTGATCACAGCAAAAAGTTGTCCTCCACGGGAGATACGTAAAGCGAGCACGGGATCTTTCAAAGGTATATTTGTGTTGAGGTGAGGGGATCGGTAAGTGGTGCCCTCGTCACGAGTGTCGTCGTCTACCGATTGGATGGCGGGCGTGACTGGCGTTAATGGAGTAGCAAGGTCAATGTCGTCGTTTTGCGAGTGATGCGATGGGGGTTGGGCATTGAGGTGTGCAGAAGGTGAGGATCCCTCCGCTGGTCGTTTGTCGAAGGGGCTAGGTAGGCCATCGTGGGACACAACTAGGTTGAAAGCAGGGCCAGACCTACTGCTCGTTGCAAAGATCCTAGGAGTTCCGATAGGCCAATACATCTCCACAAGAGTCGACGCCAATTGTTCAAGATTAATCTTATTCCGTTGCAATGGCAATCTAGTGTTGGGCAGGGAACGGAATTCCTTTGTCAAAACTCGAGATAGTCAATGCTCTGATCATGGCCGCTGCTGGATTCAATCGGCAAGTCTCATATTCTAACAACAAATTTTAGCCCATTGATGCCCATGGCATGCACGGTCGAACAAGAGAAAACCGACGTTGGAGAGATAGTGATGTTGGCCGATGATTGAGCTTCATGGTGGTTTGGACTTCACCAGGAGCTTGGGAGGTCGTCAGCGGTTGGGGGATGCCGAAGCCACCTTGGAGCTTCTACTCGGTACCCACCGCATCGGTCATTGCACTACAAAAGGCGAGCTAGCAACACCACTAGCTCCATGGGTCTCATGCTGGGGAATAGGTTTATGTAATCAACGGCATGTCGTATCTGCTGCCCCACTTCAGTTGTTGCACGGTACACAACAGGTCGCCAACCGTCATGCATTGCAATCCTGAAGGTTAGAAGGGTGCTATTTGCAATCTTTGTTTCCATACCGAGGAATTGGACAGATATTGCACCTCACCTTGCATTGCGAACTCTACGACAGCCATTATACAAGAGATATATATGAACAGCATTGTCCTTCCAGCCTGTTTCTGACTGACATTACTAGGCTTTGGCTCAGTTGAAAACCAATACCTTTCCTCTATACCTCCATTTAGGTAATAACATGGCGCCCCCTCGAACACGACCTAGCCTTTCCAAGGAGAGATTTCCTACCTTCTTGGCCAGTCTCAAGAGTCAACCTTACCATGACCCAGGATCAAGCTCTAGAGGACACAGGTGTGTACTCAACGGGGACCACCGGAGCTGCCAATACAACAATGCCAACTAAATCTCATTTTCTAGTTTGCGTTCTATTGCATGGAACCCTTTGGGCACGTTAGTTGCAACCGGGTCATCAGACAAAACCTTGCGTGTTTGTAAGTGTATGCGCTTCTTTCTATGGATTTAGGTATTGACGTTGTTTCTTTTTTTCCCCCCCATCTAGGGAACCCAGAGAAGCCAAACGTGCGCTTCTCCACAGAGTTGAAGGGTCATTCTGCTGCCATTGAGAAGGTTGCCTTCAATCCGGTAAAAGATGCTGAGCTATGCAGTGTCAGTAATGATGGAGTCGTCAAATTTTGGGACGTCAGATCGAAAACCTGTGTCAATGAAATCAAAGGTTTGGGAGATGCCTTCACCCTTGCCTGGGCCCCAGACGGACAATCCCTAATAGTTGGCAACAAGGTTTGCACACCGTTCCAACTTGTTCTTGCAAAGCGTAATGCTCACAACTGGACAGACCGATAATATCTTTGTTCTGTCACCATCTCAACCCACGCCATTAGCCTCTCATCAGCAGCCTGTTCAAACGAACCAGATTGCGTTTTGTTGGAGCGGTCAAAAGATCTTCCTCACTACGGGGGAAGGTAAAACCCGTATTTTGACATATCCGGACTTCAAGCCTGTTTTCCAATTCAATTACAGCGACGAACCTAAAGAATTTGTTTTAAACGGCCACACGTCTTCTTGCTTGTCTGCTGAGATGCAGCCAACTGGTCGCTATCTTTCCACTGGTGGTTCTGACTCAATCATATCCATCTGGGACACAGCAGACTGGATATGCCAAAGGACCATTACCAGCATGGTTGGGCCCATTCGGTCTATCAGTGAGTTTTCAAAGGCTAACCTATTTCTTGGAGAGATTCTGACGACTGTTGCAAGGTTTCACGTTTGATGGCAACTTTATGGTAGGAGGCAGTGACGAAGGTAAGTTGACCACCAGTTGGGCAGAGTCTGTGGAGACTAAGAACGCGCTTCAGGTTCGGGGCTAGACATTCGACACGTCGAATCCGGAGACCAGGTGCATACGTTCAAAACGGCGGGGCCATGTCCAGTTGTGTCATGGGCGCCAACCCGATACTGCCTGGCCTACAGCGACTTGGGAATCCTTCGTATAATTGGTTTGGACGCTGAGAAAAAGTAGCCGAAATAGTGTTACGACGGCTTTGCAGAAAGTCGAAGTATTTCATTGGTTGTGACAGCTGCAAAATCTCATCAGATTCAACAACCCATCTATGTATGGCTCGATAAGTCAAATGATATCGTGCGTTTCAATGGGTCGAGGCTAGTTACTGGTTCTGAGTCAACTTGACTGACAAAGTGGCCGCCGGCCTGAGCAGACTGCAGCAGCTCTGACTCCTGGCCGTCAGCTTATTCCTTGGAATAACATTGACATAGCGAGTTTGGAATGTCAAGTTCAGCTTGGGCGGCGAGGCTACCTGTCTGTTAGTGGCAGAGATGAATGTGAGTTATTCCGTGGGCGATCGTGGTCAGCGCGGCATAACTCGAACCCGAGCGGGAACATGCTGCACACGCAGGTGGTAGAAGTCGGCATTTTCCTGATGTTCAACAGAGAGGCTGTGTGCATGCGTAAGATGGACGAGAAAGTAAATGATTTCTGGAAGATAAGCGTGGCGGTGGCACAATTATATCCGGTCTAATTAAGGAGTCTGTCATGGAAAGAGGTTGCCAACTGGTAGGTGCGACATAGAGCATGAACTACTTGTGGCTATCTAATTGAGGGGTGCGCAAATGATATGAATCTTCAAAAGAATGCGTATGATGCGTAATAGTGATACAAATCTACCCAGCCGCTTGTTGTAACGTGATGTACAGGGCGATGCAGTTGTTCGCTGACCCGGAATGAGGGCAGGTGCAAAGGGAAGACTTTTTGGATTGATTGCAAGGACAAGATAAGACGTACTCGACTTGGAATAGACAGATGAACTGAGAAGGGGGTCTTGTGGCTTGCACATGTTTGACAGACATATTAAAACAGTCGCCCGATCAGTCAAAATGAGCACTGGCTAAGGTAGCGGGCAGTCATGCCGAAAAAGAGGCAGGAAGGTTGCCCTTGATGGACTGGCGGCCGCGGATGTGGTGTGGCTGTGATGCGTAGTTTATGTGTGGGTGGATGCGTGTTCAAGGTGTTGCCTAAGGTTCAGAATAGTAGCGCAATACTGGCCTCTAACAGGGAGCCATGCACGCATTACCTTAACCTCAAAGTAGAGGACCCGTCGAAGTAAGCCGTTGAGTTTGAATATGCGGGCACGCGGTTACAGGGAAGTCGACAAGTGGCCTTCGCGATCTGATAAGACGACCTGTGTTTGATAACATACTGATAATGATGTTTTCTACTGGCAAGGGAAAAGAAACGGCATATCAGCCCTGGTTGTAAATACTTGCCACCGATACCATGCCAGAGGTGCGGGTGTGATGATGATGTGGGGAGATTGGTACGGGCTCCGTAGCGACTCCGATAACCCACTCAGACCTTGCTAAACCCACTCAATGGTCCAGCCCAAAAGTTCATGAGTCCAGTCCGCCTAGCCCACACACGCCCAAGCGTGGTGCTACCTCGCTAAGGGCCTTCAGGGACCTCTCGCCCACATACATGCCTTAAGAAACGGTACGTCGAGTCATCCAAAGTACCTTCTATACGTAGGGCAGGTAAGCTAACTTTGGCTCACCTCCACTCGGCGCGCTTCACTGCAGGGGATACACTGTAGTTACGCGGGTGCGGGTGTGTACTCTTATTCTCTATGTAATGATACTGAACTCAGTGCTGGGGCATCCATGCAGATACTTTGTTATTAATCATGGCCAGCTCAAAAGGGAATGGCGGCTAGGCTATGCCGCTCTCTCGCTCAATCTGCACTGCATCTCTCTTCACCACCCTCCATTGCCCACTGAGTCCCCATTCCTAACCCCCAGTTCTTCGTTCTTTTTGTCTTCTGCTGTCCAGTTTGTCGATGCCCTCTTCTTCTGATTTGGTGTCGCACCCAACAGTAATTGACGGACCGCACTCTCCTGTGTTATTCTTTCCCGACTAGACGATTTTCCGACCCTTGCGCGCCGCATGAGGTTGTTTAACCTGTGCAACATCGAACAGCCCCTCTCACAAGCAGCGTTTTTAGTTCGCGCCGCGACTCCATACATCGCCCAAAGAGGCTTTCGGCACCCTCTTTGATACCTTCGTCAGATTAAACGCCGTCTCTTTGGGAGTCTGCGATTCTCGTGGCCGTCTTCGATCTTGATTATCACCTCTGCGTTTCCACTTACAACCACTATAACATTCGGACTCCCTCCCGTCTTGTTCACGATGTCTTCCAGTACACCCACGCCGCCAGACACCAACGGTGCCAACTCCCACAAACGGCCTCGTAGTCCAGGCGCTGAGTCCAACGGCAAGGAAGCAGCAACCGATAACACCAACGTCCCTAAACCAAAGCGCTTAGCATGTATGATCTGTCGGAAGCGCAAGTTAAAATGCGATGGTGTCAGGCCGAGTTGCAGCACCTGTGCTCGATTGGGTCATTCTTGCGCCTATGATGAAGTTCGCAGGAAGAGCGGTCCTAAGCGGGGATACGTTAAAGCTCTAGAAGAGCGACTAAGTGAGCCTTTCCCATATTGCCGGCGGTCCCTTCTTGCCATGCCTTGCGATCATATATCTCCAACTATCTCTTCCCTTTATTTATTTTTTGATCGCTTGTGTGCCCTTTGACTGACCTGATGTGATTGTGCAATTTTAAGAACAAGTCGAAACCCTACTCAAGACCCAAGACCCCCCGGCGGCTCCTGCCGACTCTTCCAGGACGATACCCCTCGGCCTAGACGCCGCCTCGGCTCGCAACCAGCATTCGGCTTCGGTGCCTAATTTCAGTGTCACCAGTTCAAACTTGGCGGTCCCTGCTGACCGCGATGCCGAACGATGGAGGTTCAATGGCGAATCGCCGCAGACGCAAAATGCAGCTCCTCCCATGGACGATTTCAACTTCAACTCCAATATGTCGATGGGCTTGAACAATGTTGGCAGTAACTTCACCTGGGAAATGATTGGATTGGGCCTTGAGGAGCCTCTTCCGCCGCAAGAAACAATCGATGAGCTGTTAGTGCTACGAGCCCGATAATTCGATCCCTTTGCTTCCTGACTGACGCGCCAATGCCAGCCATCAGATTTATTTCGAAAAGTGTCACCCTTCAGTGCCCATGATCCACAAGTACAGATATCTGGCCGCTATGAACTTGTAGGAGACCCCTGACGTTACCCTTTCTTGCCCATAATGTGTTCTCTCCGACTGTACTAACAACTAGCTGCTAGGGCTCCCAATCAAAGGCCGCCGGTTGCGCTGAGATATGCTATTTGGACAATGGCGTGCTCCATCACGGAGAAGTATATCCACTTCAAGGATCTTTTCTACCAAAGAGCGCGGAAGTATGTCGAAGCAGACTATATTAAAGGTTACGGTGAGCACATGATCTCTGTGGCTCATGCTCAGACTCATGTTCTTTTGGCCTCCTACGAGTTCAAAATGATGTATTTTCCCCGAGCGTGGATGAGCACTGGTTCAGCTGTGCGTCTATGCCAAATGTGAGTTGCTATGATGTATCGTGACCATTCGGGGGCGCAACTAATGATCAGCAAGGATCGGTTTACACCGGCTTGATGGCGCTGGCTTAGATGTTAAACAATGTCTCCCCCCAGCGCGAGACTGGACTGAGCGCGAGGAAAGACGGCGCACATTCTGGATGGCTTTTTGTGAGGATCGTTATGCCAGCATTGGCACCGGATGGCCCATGACGGTTGACGAAAGAGACATCATGACGAACTTGCCATCTTCGGAGGAAGCTTTTGACATGAGCCGGCCAGAGCAAACACAGTCTTTGCAAGACTGCATGAGCCCTTCCGGAGCTGGCAAGCTGTCCTCTTTCGGCGGTATCGTGCTCATGGCATGCCTCTTTGGCCGAAATTTAATCCACTTACACCGGCCCGATGTTGATGATCGAGACCATGACCTCAATGGCGAATTCTGGAAACGACACCGGAACATGGACAACATCCTGCTCAACACATCCCTCTGCTTGCCTTCTCATCTCAAGCTACCTGCCGGTCTAGGAAATCCTAACATTGTCTTCACCAACATGAGTATCCATACATCAACAATCTGTCTTCACCAAGCTGCCATCTTCAAAGCCGACAAGAACAGGCTTCCGACGTCAGTCAGTTCTGAAAGCAAGGTTCGATGCATCACTGCAGCAAATGAGATTGCGAGTATTATGAGGACAATCTCACACATGGACCTGTCTGCGGTATGTTGATAGAGCGTCTTCTCCAATCCATTTTAACTGACTGCTCCAGATGAATCCGTTTATTTCATTCTGTCTTTACGTTGCTGCAAGAGTCTTTGTTCAGTATCTCAAGAGCCGACCCGAAGATAGCCAAACGGCGGATTCACTAAGATTTCTCCTCTCTGCAATGAACGCATTGAAGAGGAGAAACCCCCTGACGGAATCTTTTCTTGTACAGCTTGATGTAGACTTGGAAGCTCTCGCTATGCGGATACCAAAACTCAAATCAGCATTTCCGCGCAGTGGTGATAGCGTATGTTCTCACTTCGAAGTAAATTTCTTCGCTAACTGATGAGTTACAGCCAACTTCAAACAATGGGGGCTCCCGAGGGCCAGTGTGCGACGATCCTGATGGCGTGCAAGGAATCATGTCATACCGCAACGAATGCCATTTTATGAAGACCGGAGGGGACGACGGAAATGCTGCCACGGCTCCAAACATCGTTGAACCCGATCAAGATGAAGAGACTGGCCCAAACTCTGCATCGACGGGTTTTGGAGGCCAGGGTTGGCTTTCCGCAGAACCGCCAATGCCGTATGATGCCAATCGCTCTGGAATTCCGCTGCATGGGACGGTGCTGACACCAAGCTCCAGTTCTCTGTATGACAAACCTGGATCAAGCAGTGGGCATATGAATGGGTTTGGGCAAAGTGAAAGCAGTGGTGACAACAACATGTCCGGGTCACCCGATGCGGATCAATCGAATCGACCGACGCCTAATTCTAGTTCAGCGTCAGAGCAACGATTGAACATGGCGTCGGGCGGCATGAATGGCTCTGGGAGGAACTCGTTTGACGCTAGTCCTGTAATTGGACACCAGAATATCAACGCACAAGGGAACACCGATGGAAATGTGAATTATTTCAACGATGCAAGCGCATTCGGAATTAGGGGTACAGGGCTCACACCGAATCAGAGGTTCTCCATGCCAGAGACACCTGGGGCAGAATTCGGTATACCTAACGGATGGGGAGATTTACAGGGACAAACCGGGATGACACCTGTGGCTGAAGGGGTGCTACGATCGCTGATGAACATGGGTCCCATGGATGCTATGGACCTTTCTGCTTGGGACGCATCAAACTAATTGTTTGATGATTGAACTGTTTCGGTGTTTGGACTCGGATGACTGAGCCCCTAAAGAGGGCTTCGTTAATATATGAAGGATAGCCTATACATGGCGTTTTCTGGCTTTGGGTACATGTACAATACAGGAATGGATGATCCTATTGGCCAACAACATACTTGGGAACCCAAACAATCATCAAGGAACTTTATGAATTAATAAACCACCCGGCTCTCAGAAAGACTGGAGATGACATTGATGCAAGAACTCACTGCTTTATCCCGCTTGCATATCAGGCCTCTTATAGTAAAGCCAACCAGCTCCTGAAAATTAGAGGGCATTGATTATCCTTAGTGTAAGGTACGTTGGCCCGACTGATTCGCAAAGCAAATTGGCCCGAGCTTTCACTGGCCCGTGCATCAGTTGCCGCCTTGCCACGGCCCCGCTGCTGATTGCTTGATTCACCCAGCCTTCGCCAGTGCTCCATTCATTTTCGCGCCAGCTGACGCTACTATCTGTAACCAAGATTGCACGACGCTTTAAAGCAGCAACATAACATAACATCCGAATGCCATGCCAGGCTCGGCAGCCCCCTTCGATTTACGTCCAGGAAGCACGGCCTCTACGCACGGTCCATACTCCGTCCCACCACAGCAACAACAGCCGTCTGTTCCGCAACATGCCGCGCCCGTAACCCACTTCCGTCCCGGTCACGGCCCCAGTCCCGGTCCTTCGATTGACATGGCCGGCATCGAGACCTCAGAGCCGGTCTTCCATCACGATGTAGAAGGTCACGAGCATGAACAGCATCAACAGCAACAACACTCTATCGGGCACATGGTTCAGCCATCTCAAGCACAACCACAGGTTCACGGTCACGGGCACAGCCACACCCAATCTCTGTCAACACCGATCCAACACGGCCAGTTTGGTATTTTGACCCCCGGCCCTGCGATTCCAGATGCAGTTACAGCAGGAACAGCGGAGTCACTTATTGGTCCCGGTGGTTGTATCCCCATTGACGGCACCACCGCCCCTGGCTGGAGGCCACATGGCAGTCTGCTCAGTAGCAAATGGGTCGTCGATCCTCCAAACTTGCAGGAGTGGCGACAAAAACTTTTTGATGCTGATGGTCTCATTATTCTCAGCAATGAACAGTAAGTTTTTTTAATTGGGAAGCATACTGCTGATAGTGGTAGGTCGACGTACTCACATGGCCGGTTATAGGTTCGAGGCTTATTTCCCACATGTAGACAATGTTTACTCCCATAGGTCAACACAGACTTACAAAAAGAAACCTTTCATATCCCACTACTGGGACTGCCGGCTCAAAGGTCGACCACCAGGGACGAAGAAATCGGATGACCCGAATAAGAAGAGGCGAAATCGCGTCTCCCGCAAACTGAACCTATGTGATGTCAAGATTAAGATTACCGAGTATTTTCCTGGAGCAACACTTCACGACCTAGACGATGGCACATATGTGCCATTGAACGGTGGGCAAGCGCTAAACGGCGCGCACACTGTTCTTGCTCCTCCTGGAGAAAAGCAACTCCGCATCCTTCCAGCAACGGTGAACAACCTGCCTACTCCAGGCCAGAAGTTCTGGACTATACAAAGAGTGAATGGTCACATCAGTATTAGCGGCATACCTGGTCCACACAAACATACTCTCGCAAAGAGTGACGAGGTCAAGAAAAACAGTATTCAGCGGTATCTTGCTAAGCAAAACCATGAAACATTGTCCAAGGTGAGAAATTTACAAGTTTCCACAGTGGCATCTGTGTGACTGTGTGCTGATCGCAGAACGCACGATTAGAATGATGGTTCTAAGAAGGCAACGGGACGGGCAAATTGGACAATCAAAAAGCACGAAAAGGAGAGCGACATGAAACTTTATGCGGCATACTACTGGTCTGTCCCACAAACCAACCTCGTAATTCTATACAATGTGCTTTCTTTTCTGATTAGGATTTATCAGTCCCTTTTCCCAACGCGTCTGGATTGCACTGGAGGCAAAAGGGATGCCATACCAGTACTGCGAGGAAGACCCGTACAAGACACCGGCGTCCCAACAGTTACTTGAAGCCAATCCCAGAGGGACAGTACCTGCTATACGTCAAGGGGACTGGGCGTGTGCTGAGAGCGCAGTCATCCTAGAATACGTGAGTTCCAAGTTTTCTCGTTCATGTGTTCGTCTGAACTTTTGTCACTGATTCTCGGTCTAGCTCGAGGAAATGAACAAGAACATCCCGCTTTTCCCAACGGACTCGCGTCTTCGCGCAAATTGCCGACTGTGGATTGATCATGTCTGTCAACAATCCCTCTCAAAAACAACATGGGGCTAATATTCTGTTAGATTAATTCGCGCCTGGTCCCTGCTTTCTATCGCCTCCTTGGCAACTCCGATCCGACACAACAAGCTGGACATATCGAGAAACTCCAAGAGTCAATCAAGGACTTGGTCCTCGCTGCCGATGAACAAGTAGTTTTTTTCTTCTTCTTTGTTTATCCATATACCATGTTATTTTTTTACGTTGTTAAACTCCGCATCATCAAATTGCCCCTTATTTTGTACGGAATGCTAACCAGCAAGCTGAACTTACACAGGGCCCTTTTTTTCTTGGTAGTAGTATGTCTCTGGTCGACGTCCACTTTGCGCCATTCGCCCTCCGGCTATCTCGTATATTGCAGCCTCGCTGCGGATGGACTGCTCCAGCGCCAGGGTTACGTTGGGCAAAATGGCTCGATGCGCTTGAAAATAACACGCACATCAAGGCTACGATGAGTGGTAAGGATGTGTATACTGAGACCATCAGTCAATTACAAATTGCTCTAGACCCGGACAGTTCATAGTTTCTAAATATTCGGCGATAATGCATAGACTACCTTTTATCTATAATCTGCTTACTTTGGTGTTCACTCGAGACTTGTGAAGCAGAAAGGGAACCAGGGTCCAGGTCAAATGAAGTAGGCATCATGTAGCTACTTATGTTTTGGGTATAATCGCCTTTACTATTACTACTTACATGTACAACATATAGTCATTGCAGACCCCAAGGCCATCCGTACTATTGCCATTCACGGATCCTGAGCCTGCGAGGGCTCGGGCGACGATCTCCTTCGTTTCAAGTCGTGCCATTTTCCTTTAACGGTAATAATCTCTCCGAGTTGTTTTGCTCTTTCCCGGCCCTCACCCAGTTCTTCGAGTGTCTTTTGCTCCAACACGCGACGCCCGTCCTCATCCACCACCCACCGCTGAGAGTCGGGCAAGTAGGCCCAAGAAAACACAGCGCCAAGGGCAACGAAGGAACCAAAGAGCAGAAATATAAGTCCTTGTCGATTTTCGGCCTTATAAGACGAGTTGATGCCATAGACAACTAGAAGAGCCACGATGCTTCCAAGTTTGCCGGCGGCGGCAGAGATGCCATGGCATGTGCAACGGTAGCAGGTTGGGAAAATCTCGGCCGGGATGATGAACGTCAGAGTATTTGCGCCTGGAAATCACATCAGTCGACCTATGTTCTGTACAAAACTTAAAGGCCTGACTCTCCAGTGACCTACCGAAGTTGAACATGAAATGACACAAGGCGACGAAAACAACGGTGGCCGGCGCCCCGCTCGTTCGGTTGACACCATAGTATACACAACCCGTAATGACAAAAAGTACGGCCAGGACAAAGAAAGAAACGGTCAGCCACAGCCGTCGGGGAATACGGTTCGCGGCCATAACGAAGCAAGCGCTGCCAGCGATCGAGGCGATGGATACGGTCAGCAGGTACTGCTTAGCCTGTTCCAATAGCACGTCGTAAATGGTGTTGCAGGGCAGCGTTGCGTCTGTCTGCCAAACAGGTAATCCTGTTTGGTTCCAGTCCCTTACAGTCGAGTTGCCATCTTCCCAGGTGGAGTTCCAACATGACAGCCTTTCATCGATTGACTTTGCTCCTGTAGTAGCCCACATATCTGACAAAGTCCCTCTATTGTCTAACGAGAGCCCATAGAAACTCACGTCAAGAAAAAACCATGTTGCGGAAGTACCTGTGGCTGATATTAGCAAACAGGAAAAAATTCTAATATTCCAGATTCTCGTCACGAGACAATGACTTCAGCGATTATTATGGGATAGGAACTTACCAAGGAGATAGTACCAGTTGCCATCTTCAATAAAGTATTTATAAAGATCCTGTTTGGAAAACTGAATTGGCATCGGCCGTTCTGAGTTGGTCACATGCACGCCATCTGGTGTTGTCATGGGGTAACTAGTCGTGGCGCTGGGAGGGGCACCGTATACCCTCTGCGTGTTCCTCAAGGCGATTCCAGGCTTGTTTCGGACTTCGAGACTATATAACCCACAATCAAATAGAAAGAATCGAAAGATGATGGCCAGAAGCGCTGGGACAGCTCCTGACCCGATGACGATGCGCCAGATACCATCTACGATACGGCGACATTCTCTGTCAAATTTCGTATCAAGGCCACACTGCATGGCCTGCAGGCCTTCACTTTCTTCGCGGCCAAGGAGTACCCAGAGACCAACAAGCTGAGCTAGAGCCTGCCCAATAGGTTGCATCATAAAAGTCTTGGGACAGACGGTGTAAGCATTGCCGCGACCAAGGTCAGGAAATCATGAGCAACTTACAGAAGAGATCATGGTTCCTCGCGACTGCGTACTGGACCATTCGGATGTAATTACCGCAGAAAGAGGATATTCGGCGCCAATGCCTGCTTTGCGGATTAGTTTGGCCTAAACATAAGCAAGAAGCGACCGGAGATGATTGTGCTGACCAATGCCCATCACAAAGCGCCACTACGATGACCAACTAAGTCAGCACAAGATTCGATCCTGGCAAGGGCGGGGAGGATGAGGGAAGCGAATAGCTGAGTACCCACCCAAATAAAGAGCCCCAGGAAACTCATATCGTCGAAGCCATAACTGCTAGTTGCTACACCGATGGTTGACACGATAACGAGAACGAGCTCGATGCCATAAAGACGAGTTCGACCGTAGAAGTCGGCGAGGAAGCCGAACAGCAGCTGACCAATTACAGAACCTAGGAGTGTGAAAAAGTTGATGAGTAGTCCTTGCCATCGCGCACCCGGCGAAGGCCAGTACACGAAGGCTATAGAGGCAAGAATGACGTTGGTAGCGAAGAGATTATAGCTATCGCATACATAGAGAGTCAATGAGGGTTTCTGGGTTTAGCTAAGAGGGCGACATACGAGTCTGTTAAGAAGCCTGAAGCAGCTACACCCCATATGCGGAGATTCCACGAGTTGAGGTCTAGTTCATACCGCAGTTGGCGTCGATCCTGCAGCGGCAAGTCAGTACCTTAACTTCATGAAGTGGGTTATCGAAGTGGGTATCAGAAACGGATGGCAAATTAAACATAAAACGCATGAGGCGGCATTGATGAGTAGTGGACAAAGAAGAGATGAAATGATATGTAGTCGGCAGCACCGGAGGAAGTGGACGGAGGTGAACGGACGGCGGCGTACCTGAAGATCTCGGGGGGGCAAGGCGGAGCTATCACTGCCCAAAAAGCCACGATTCCTCCTTTGATGAGGATCGGGCAGAGCCGACATGGCTCAAAGTCAACTGGGGTTGATTCACTCGCTGCCTTCGTCAGTTAGTGAGATAGTTCAGCAAGTGAGATTGATTACACAGGAGACGGCAGGGGACGTAACCCACGCGGGCCCCAATCAACTTTAACTGCCTTGCGTTACCAGCTACCTTTCTTACAGGCGAGGCAGAGTATCCGCAGGTGGCTGTACTACAGTTAGGGGAAATGTAGAGGAGGGAACAGGTCGGGACAGTCGGATGATGTGGGAATATGGGTCGTGGTTGGCGAAGACCCGTTTCCAAGGGTACGTCAGTTGCGATTGAGAGAGCGCATTGGGCAATGGAAGTGGTGGATTTGATTGTGAATGCAGATGGACAAGAAGACGCAAGGCGCGACAAGACAGGTCGAACGTTGGTCTCAGAATGGGTAGGGCCGAGAAAACAACAAGCAATCGGAAAGCAACCTGTTTTTGCTTTTTGCTTAAAGCTTGGCTAAAAGGGAAGGTGAAAGGGTGGATAACCCAAGAAATGGGAGGGAAAAGGAGTAGATGCGGCGAGTGGGAGAGCACTGAAGTAAAGGTAAGGCCACGACAAAGAGAAAGCCTAGAACTATCGACTGCATATAAAGTGATTCGAAAAATAAGTCGGCGTTCTCCTGACCTCCCTTCTGCTCTCTGCCTCCTGCCTCCTACTTCACAACCAATTAATCTCTTTTGTCTGAAATGTTTATGGCAAAGTAGGTAGGTAATATTGGATTTTCTAGTAGCCAGTTGAGCTGGGCGGAGGGCCCCACGCACAGCCCAGCCAAGCCTAGAGAATGCTCCGCCCACCCATCCAGCTTTGGACCTACCGTGTTTTTTCTTTTTCTTTTTATCGTTTTTTCATCCCACACTGCTTTTTGCGTAGCCGTAGCTGCCTATTTCAACAGCAGTTGATGGGTTAAAAGGGCGATTACACCTAATCTTATTTTCCTACTACAGGACAGAATATGGCAAGCATCCCCTTTTCCTTTCACGCCCACCCAGGCCTCAAGCTGATAATGAGTGCCACTAGGGAGCATACTGAGACTAAGCCTCACGGGTGTTGCCTTTACAAGCAACTTGGCATCACACGTTGTTTGGAGGATCGTTTCCGAGCGTCGTGGTGTACCTTGTATGGAAGATCCGTAGTTGTGGGCTATGCAGCTTTAGCCAGTTGTCTCGGGCACGAGTTGAAATGCGTGATTCTACAGCAGCGCATGGCTAGATGCTGGCAGGCGTTTGCTGGATAGAGCTAGGAGCCTCGCCTTGCTAAGGAAAAGCGTCGCAGGACTAGAGGACCCAGACAAGACAACAGTAGCGGAGATAGACAAAGAGTAGGTGCATGGTTTACAGGGACCTGCAAGGACCAGTGAACGCCGCAGTGCCAGTCACTTGAGCATGCTGTCGCTGCCAGCACTGTCATTGGCTGTTCCGAACGGGCGGCGATGGGGGCACTTGAGTATGTCATCGGCCGTTGGCCCCACCCGTGGCTTTGGCGAGATTACACTAGTGCGTATCTCCCCCGTGCAATGCCTCACAGTCGGTAGGGGTGTTGTGCCTCAGCTCCTTCGTTGTGTCCCATGGTAGTACGCTACCCTGGCCAACTATGAGCCCTGCTTAGAACAACACTTCTCAGAAGCCACCGGCCCCATCTATGCCAATCCGCGTGATGGTCCTGGTTAGGTTCCCGCCTGGAGGTGCCAGAACGGGATGGCCTCCCCACGCGCACCCCCACCGAGGAGGGAGAATTGGGTGCATCACCTTACCTGGATGTGCAGTTGTTGGCCGCCGACTTGTTCCAACAGCGACAACATCCTTGCTTCAAAACTTCAGCTATCTTCTCATTCAAGACGCCGCCCTGTCCGCTGTGGCTTGCGTTTTTCTGCTTCTTAATGTTTTCTCTTCTTCTTTCGCATGAACCCAGGTTAGCCTAAGTATTGGCGGGCAGGAACCCAGACTATTGAACCTAACTAAGTCACGAGTCTACGAGTCTACAATCAAGGTCGGACTTTGTCAGGGGATAAGGTGCCCAACTAGACACAGCGTGGTGCAAGTATTATGAATATGTATGTACATGCGCGTGTAAAGCATAAGGAGCCCCCAACCGAACAGCTTTGCAAACGAGCACTATGTACTAGGCATGTACTCCTAGCTAGACGACGGCCATGGCCACGTTGCTTCCTCGCGACTTTCGCAACTGGAAACTCTTGGCTATTTAGACATTAGCACTGGATCCCTCGACACCCAGCCGCTTTTGAGCTGTTGTAAAATCCCCGCTCAAAGCGAGGTAAGAAAGACAAGTTCAAGTCACCCAACACAATGGCACGCGGCACCTGAAGTGAGGTTAAGTGGAGGCGCCTTATTAAAGTTAGTGCACCTTACAAGAACCACAACCGCACACACACAAGCATTCATCCTCTCCTTCTGTCCTTACGACCCCGCTCCGCTGGTCTGGTCCATCCCCCCTCCACGTCCCTCGCTTGAGATCCGACTCCGCGTCGATGCCAAAAAAATTAATAGAAACCAAAAAAACACTCCCACTTCGCCGCCCAGCCTTGCAGTGCACCTCTTTCGGCCTTTCGGTCTCGTTTGTTTCGAGGTCACGGCACGCTCTCGAACTTCAAGCGTCCTGGCCAACTGAGACTATCTGTCACTCGCCGCAGGCGCCAACGAAGCCACGAACTTGCGAAACTTTGCCCTGCGACTTGATGTGAGCAAGACGACCTACATTTGCTCCTTTGTATAGTGTACTACACCCTTTGGCCCATCATCTTGTGCCTCTTCTGTCCGCGCCTTTCCCAGAAACGTCCTGGACCGTCGTCGAAATATACATGTCTAGAACTTGCTACCGCAAAAACAACGTCAACCTCCCAGCAATCTATCGGGAGCCCCCAGTCTCAATAACACGCCTCGCCTTTGCGGCCCGCGACGCCACACCGTTTGAATGCATCCGTCCCTGTATTCCTGCCCTCCGACTACGACGACGTCCTTGACCAAGACACCTACCGATCGCATACCTAATTGGTCAACACAATGTCATGATCGCGCTCTCGAGTTATCGCCGACTGTCTTGATTTGTTGACCAGAGCCAGAGAGTCTACAGGTGAAGGCTTTCCAAGCATGGCCGCCTCGTCCTCCTCCGGCTCTTCTTTTACTTCTTCTTCTCTTGGCCGTCCGCCCTCCTACAGCCAACCCTACGCAAGTCCGCTTGACTCGACGTGGACACCGACTTCGGGTGCCTCAACCATATCAGCTCTTACCTCTGAAGCGTCAGCGCCTCATGCCTCTCTCCGCCCTCTAGATCTCGGTCCTCCGGGATATCAAGCAACTATGTACGATATTGCCCCCGTCCTTCTCCTTCTGCCACTTGCCCATTTCGCCTCTCTACTGGTCCCTCCCAATAGGCCCGTATTTACACTATCCAAACCCGCATGTCCCTCTCTCTGACGCGGCACGGACTCCTAGAACCCTGTTTGAAAACACCCCCAACGAGCGTACCGTCTACCTTGGTCCATGGGAAGTTGTCGGCTCCGAGCAGCGCCGCGTTCTTTGGCAGTGCAGCTACCAGAGCGAACTCCTAGAACATTTCCGTAGCTCATATCCCCTCCCTGTCGTCCATGCCCACACATCTTGAGTCTGACCACTTGTTAGTGCCGTCCGATGTTCCCGCCGACGTATTTCCACATACGCTCCACGCCCGCCACCGGCCATATACGGACCCCTGCGAGCTCGAGCTTTACGTCAGCTTTCGCGAGCCACATCGTGTGAGGTATACCACGGGAGAGGGCAGTGTGATTCACGATCATCTGATGGAGGTTAAGTACGAATTTACGACTGTCGAGAGTTCTTTGCGCTTCCAGGGGGACATCCGACGAAAGGACCTAATCGACTATTTTGACGTTGACGTGGTTTGGTCCGATTTGCATGGACGGACGGACGGTTTTGGCAATGTGAGGGGCATGGGCCTAGTCCAAAGGCTAAAGCTTTGGAGAGATCGTTACTCTACTTACCACTCGTTGACCGTATTTGCCAACCGCGCCGGCGGTCGCCAACATCGGGAATACGAGATACACAACTTTGAAGGCGAGCTGCGGAATCGTGACGACCGGCACCGCCAAGTGCGTCTCACAGTTCGTGGTAGTAGGCGCAGCAGTGCACCGGATAGTAGCTCGTCGCGTTCGCGGTTTACGTTTTCACACCGCATGCGCCCCAGAGTTCGTTCCGGTTCACAAGGTGGCGGATCCAACTCTGAGGCAATTTTATCATCGGGCACTCTTGATATTCGCTACCTAGGTATTCAGTTCAGTAAGCGTGAAGGTATGGCGGACCTCTACATTCCACATGGCAGAGGCCACTTGGTAGTCAAGTAATGCCTGCTCTGGCATCATTGTGTTCGGGATGCTGACGAGCCTGAAAAAGATTATCGCAGATTCCTCGAAAGCTGGGTTGTCGCACACAGTTCTGACAGCGAATTCCACGGCATCCCATTTCCACCGCATCACGTTGAACTACCATCCCCACATATTCTTCCTGGCGAGATGTTGGAGCTTCCATCACCGGACAACTCCAGGGCCCTGCAGCCAGTTCTCGAACCTCCGGATTCATACGAGTCAGATTCCACGCCGTAAACAGCAGTTTTGGTTACGATGATAATGCAGGATACGAGTTAAGTATCAAAGCGGACGGGAACCACATTTGTCAACCGATTCTTCCTCTCGCCAATGATACCCGCTGCATGATACACCTGATGTGGCCTTCGGGTTTTCATGATGCGTGGGAGATAGTGCAGAGGCCGAGCAAACAGTATCCGGGATCTGGCGACAGGTGAGTCTAGCCGCTTGGTGCCCACGGAGAAAGCGGTTAGAACAGTCAATCGCAAGTGGGCTGTCCGAATCATAACCGTGAGGAGGGGTGTGACAGTGGGTAGTGGTTCCATGCAACCACCATTTATAGGATATCGCCATGACCCGGAGTATTGAGCGCACTTGTCCAAAAGAAAGAAAAGATAGGAACAAGAGAAAAAGAAAAAGTGGTATGTCAGTCTATGCGGACATGGTTGAATCCGTTGCGCCAGGTCTAGGCAAGGTCAGAACGTGGGCAGGTTTGACAGGTTTGACAGGGTACCTTGTAACCCACCAGTGCAGGGAGGCGGGGCAAGGTACGGCGCGGGGTTCCGACGCTGTCAACATACCTTACCTGCTAATGACAGCGATGAGTGGGTCTTGCGGTCTGCGGCCTAAAGTGGCATTGTATTAACGTCACCATGCTTCAGTATCACCTCAATGGCAGACTGTCAGCACTCGGTCGACTCAGCGGGTTGCGTCAAGTGCACCACCCACTCTTGCCTCAAAACCATCCCACCGCCTACCATCCACTATTCGCACTCGTCATAAAATCACCTCAGATAATTTCAGCTTCCTTGACATAAACGCCAACGCGTCGGCCCGACATTCAACTACCTGGTTCCCAGGCTTGGATCGGAATAGACGACACTGCTGTCTTCAGGTATAAAGTCGAATTGGCAGAAGCCTCGAATGCTCCTAAGGCCAATTTCCACCTCGGAACAAGTCATTACACTGCGAGACAGGCACACACACACACACACACACACACACACACACACACACACACAGACAGACACATACAACCCCTTCCGCACGAGAAGCCACATCACAACCTATTTATTCCGTAATGAAGGTTATCCTTGCCATCAACGCAGGGTCCAGCTCTGTGAAGATTTCGGTCTATTCTGCCGAGCCCAAGCAATCACCCCATCAGATCGCAGAGACAGTCGTCAGTGGCCTGACAGCCCCACCGGCCCAAGTCTCATATACGCGCGGTGGTGTTGAGGTGAAGAAGTCTGAAGATCTTGAAGACAATGTGGCGACCCAAGACGACGCCTTCAGAGTCCTTCTCAAGACACTGATTGATGATCCGGAACTACCACAGATCAAACAAAAAGACGATGTTGCTCTGACATGCCATCGCATTGTCCATGGTGGTGATTACCCCTGTTCTCAGATCATCACCCAAGACACATACCATCACTTGGAGGAGCTCAGTGACCTTGCCCCGCTGCATAACGGCCCTGCTCTCAAAATCGTCAAGTCATGCGTTGAGCAGTTACCGGATGCTGTCAATGTTGCATGTTTCGACACACAGTTTCACTCAACCATTCCCGAGCATGTGCGGACCTATCCCATCAACCAACAAATTGCCAAGAAGAATCACCTAAGGAAGTATGGTTTTCACGGCATCAGTTACTCTTTCATAACCCGGTCCGTCTCCGGGTACCTCAAGAAAGACCCAAAGGAGCTGAATATTATCGCCCTTCACCTGGGAAGTGGTGCAAGCGCGTGCGCAATTCGAAATGGCCAGAGCTGGGACACCAGCATGGGGCTAACCCCTGTGGCTGGGTTACCAGGGGCCACAAGGAGCGGGAGTGTAGACCCTAGGTAAGGGCTTCCGTCGAGGTGCCATCTTATTCAAGGATAACTTGACTGACCACAAATGGCTGTGTAGCCTTGTATTCCACTATGCTAGTGATGTTGGGAAGCTGTCCCCAAACTCGACATCAGAACTGCATCTCACGGAGGCCGAGGAAATACTCAACAAGCAAAGTGGATGGAAGTCTTTGACAGGGACTACTAATTTTGGCGTCATAGCTGCCTCGGACGAGCCAACACACAAACTCGCTTTTGATATTTTCGTTGACAGGATATGCGGCTTCATCGGTACCTATTTCGTTGCTCTAAGTGGCCAGGTTGATGCTCTTGTTTTCGCTGGCGGTATTGGCGAGAAAAGTGGCAAGCTGCGAAAGCGAGTAGTTGAACAGTGCGCCTGTCTAGGGTTCACCATTGATGACGAGCGTAACAGCGAGAAAATTGAGTCCACTGTACAGGAGGTCAGCAAGCAAGAGTGTAAGTCCCGGACGTTGGTGTGCCGAACGGATGAACAGTTTGAAATGGCAAGACAATGCACTGAGAAGGACGAACTCTGGTCGTGACGGCAAGCCGTGGCGTTATCAGAGGCAAGCAGAGAGCCAGCTGTCGACTTGGGTGCAAAGTTAAAGAGGCATCGTTCCAGATAACACGGAAGCCATTGACGTAGGAGGGCCGGGCACACGGCAAGCTGGACTGAGACATTCACGAAGGCCAGGGGAGGCTGGTTTGTTGGTTAGACTAAAGAATATAGACGAAAACATGATGATGGGCTGATTTTAAAACATTCAACATACTTCCCACGCTTCTTCACCTCCCGCCCCTCCATTGACCATCGATCATCGCCAGCCTCTCTCGTTCCGTCAATCAAACCGTTTGCACCATAAGAACCGATAGGGACGACCAGCCTGTAGCAGACGAACAAGAGCATTCCAATTAGTAGCTGTGGTTTCCAGCCGTTCCTGAGCGACATCGAACCCATGCATTCCAGAGCATGGCGATCAATATCAATTTCTAATGCAAGACATCGAACAAGATGTTGACCCGGCCAAATCAATGTGATCTCGGCCCGAAAGAGTCGGCCAGCATCTCGATGCGGATGTTGTTATCCCGAGCTTACATACCTGACTTTGAAGCCGCCGGAGGGGTTCTCTGAGCCAACGAACACCCTTTAAAGAGAAAAACTAACTGGACTGCAGGAAGGGTCGAGCCCACTTTGAAGCTGCAGATATTAGAGGTAAATTGGGGGAGAGCGCACAACAATGTTCGAGACGACCATACATCATCACTGATCAATGAAAAATCGTAAATCTGGAAGATTTTTTTATTCATGTTTGAGATCCACTTCAACAGGCCTAACCTGTGTACGTACCATCTCGGTGAGGAGTACAACGATAAAATCGTATAAGGTATCACCCCTTTCGCTAAGAAGGCCGCGCCTTCTGTCCCATAGCATACAACTTTCCACACAAGGTTGTGAAAAGAGGATTCGAAGCTGTCTTGAACAGCTTTTAAAATCCCAAACGTCCTCTCGCCTTTTTCCAGGGCAAAACTGCAAAGTTGCCTTTGTGCAGGTGTATCCCATCCAATATGAGTGTGGTCCATCCTCCAAAAAAATAAAGAACCGCATGATGCGTCTGCCCTCGACTGCTCATGAATCGAGGATCCGGGTATGTGTACGAAGCCACAGAAAACGCCAACTGAGAATAGTGCCCCCCAAGATTCGGTTGTCCGTAAAGAGAATTAAAAAAGAAAAAAGAAAAAAGAAAACTCCCTCCCAAGTAAGCGCCGTCATTTTTGTTGCCTTGTTCCCACTGCGTGTATGTGCAGGTGCGCCATTCGTATGCTTTGCGACCTCTATCCCATGACCCAATATTGAAATATATGAAGAAAGAAGGATGACAGTGCCGGCAAAAGGTAAAGGTATATGAGGTGTGTATACCGCCACTAGTACTCAAACGCCCTCTCCCCTAGCACCTGTTCATTACTTCGTCAATCATGCAAAAAACAGCATAGACAAAGTCGAAAAATTGTAGGGTATCAAGCAGGTAGCATCCGACTCATTAATCTGAATGGTTTCCGGCCGGTGACACAGTGAACTGGTCATTAAGTCTTGAAGGTGATAAAGAGAACATGTGCCCAGCTGGCTGAGATGTATGCAGCCTAAGCACCTTCTTGACAAGCTACTGCCATAGCCAGGGCGTCCAAGCCGCTGCTAGGAGTCCTTACAGCACTTGGGCGGCTAAGGAGCGGAAGATTTAAGCCGCGCAAGTCCCATGTGCCCTTAGCAGTGACAGGAGAAGGGAGGGGTGCCTGACCAGGCGGGTAACCGCCATACGTTTCCGCATCCCACATGGGCTGATCCCTCGGAGCACGGCTGCTGATGGCAGTACGAGATGATGCGGAGGACGAGCGGCGGCCGGATGTTGAGAGCGCGCCAAGCGAAGATCGTGCAGCTGCCTTTGCTGATGCTGAGGACCGGGATTTATCTTTGTAGTGCGTCTCAAGATGCTGCTTCATGTTATCCGCTCTGGTGAACTTCTTCTGACAACCGTGGAAAGTACATTGGACTGCTTTCTCGGCCGTGTGGATTTTGGAATGCCTGGAGGCATGGCCCGAGGTGGTGAAAGTCTTCTCACATCCATGGCTGTCGCGGTAGCGGCAAGGATATCGCTTTCCGGGGCGTTCGGGCATAGGCGATGTTGCCGAGCTGTCTTCCTCATAAGAATTGGCGCGGCTGTTGTTGGCGTAAGCCGGACGTTTAGAGGGAATTTGGTCGTATTCATCAAACATGTGCTGACCAGAAGGGAAGCCGGTGGCTCGAACAGAGTCATATGAGGTGGGCGTGAGAGGTGACAAGGGGTCGCTGCTGGCGTTGGAATCGTACGAGTCTGATCGAAGGAGTTCGGGTGTATGAGGTGAGGAAGAGTTGCTACGTGATGCGGGATGGAAAGGTTGCGATATGACTTGGTTTGCAGTGCGGTAGCTCAGGCGTTGTGGCATGGGTTGAACGACGGGTTCGTCGTTTAACAGGGAGACCTGGCGGCCGGTAGCGTCTCGAGCATGCATCTTGGCCGGTAATCGATCGAGTGTAAGAACCGGCTATTGTGTGAGAGCCTTCCTAACCTCTATGGCTTAGGAAGGTGCGACAAGATGGAGAGATATATCAGGCAATATCGACGTGCTAACTCTGAGTTGCTAAATGGTCTCAATGTGTCGACAAATAAATGTCAGGGGAATAGGATGAGCAGTGGCTGTGGTGTTGTTGTTGTTGTTGGTGATTGAGGGTTAGACGGTGTTGAGAGAACAGAGTGACGGGGTAAACTGTGTGTAGAGTGATGAGGCGCAGGTAGAGTATTATACCATCCGCTTCTTGGAGAGAGAAAGCTCGGGAGGTCAGCGGGTTTTGGGGGAGGGGTGGGCCGAAGCGAGGTTCTAACAGAGCGTACGAGGGCCGGTCGGCATGGATAGGCGGATGGACTGGATGGATGCAAGCCGTGGTGAATGGAAAGGGTGGATAAGGGCGTGGGAGCTGTTTTGAGGAGGGGGGAATTGGGCATGGGGCATGGGAAAGCAGAATTGCGCACCTTCAGCGCTCACCGGGATGCCGCAAAAAGGGTACGTGGGCTAAAGTACCCGACCTGAGCTGTCCAAGGTAAGACACTAAAAAGCGACTGGGACAACCATGGAAGGACAGGGGTCAAGGAACATTGGAACCTCTGGAAAGGGGGTCCGGCCAAGGCGACCCCCTCTGCGCAACGCCCCCTCGCCCCTCGCCCCGCTGACCCCTCCCCTCATCCCCATTCACACCTCACTCTCACTTCACTCTCACGACACAGCGGGCCCTCTGTTAAAAGCACACCCAGTTCCAATTGCTGGCTCCCAGGGTAGCTCCCCGAGTACTCGCGGCGAGCGGCTACGTACCCCGGGGAGGGGAGGTGGGTCGGGGCCTCGACTTGGGACCTCTGATAAAATTTCCTCTTCTTTTCTTTCAAGTTTTGATTTATTCATTTATTTGTTAGTCCTTTCCTGGCGGCTAACATTGACACCCGACGTTAACATACAGCGGAACTATTGCATTCAAGAGAGGGCCGCATGAATATAGAGAAGTCGAATATGGGCATTGTGGCCTCCTCATAACCAGAAAGAATTTTCACGGCCAGTAGCCCCATCAAACCAAACATTTAGGTTACCAGTTACGAGTTGAGCATTCTATCGTCCTATGTTCCAGGTCCAACTTGGGAGCAAAGGTGGAGGAGGTACGTATCAACTACGACCTCATCATTACTATGTACATACATACTGATAGCACTAATACAGTTCCCGGGGCGGGGCCCCCCATCTCGGTGCTGTGTGCCTGGATGTTCCATTCAGTTCTGGCCCGACCTCACATCGATTTCGATGTGCCAATGCGATCCCATCTGGCTACTTTCTTGCTTTCTTGCTCGTTTGATTACTTGATTGCGGGCAGTCACTTCCTTCTTTTGGCCATTCCCCCCACCTATCTGAAGCGGTGGTAAACCCTATACCGTCTTCTTCCGTGTGCATAGTGCAGTCAAGCTTAAGCTCAGGAGCTGAAGCTCCGAGAGGAAGGTCAGCCACGGGCAGCAAGCGGCTGGGGAAGCCCTTACGCCTCCCACTGTCGTCGACCGAGCCGTCTTTGTTACGAGTTGTTTTATCCGCTTTACGTAGTACTCTGTAACCCACTCCATGGTGAGTTAATGGTTAAACAAGCTCCCGTGTCAGCGAGCCAGCATCGAGCCAATGCAGGCCAGGTCGTCAGTTTTTTTACACGTACTTCTGCGCAAGTCAGCCACACATTATCATGCCACACACAGCACCCTACTCTTTAGGTCCCTGAATTTAACCCTCACTTAACACTATTTCCAGGGTCTCTCAACGTTTTCCGGCTGTTTGGTACAGTCTCGACAGCTCCAAGAGATCTTCCACGAACATACCTCCCTCGACGGCATGCTTGTCGCATCAACAGCGGAGACCTGAAAGTGCCCCAGCGTATTTACTTCTATTGGGTGTCATCTGTTCTCGGTCGGCCCGCATGCTACCTGTCTCCGGCCTAGTAGTATATAGGGAGAGAGGTACAGCTTACAGGCATCGGGAAGGACATAGATAGATCGCGATCGGGGAAGGGGGGGGAGAAAAAAAAAAAAGAGAAGGTACCCAGGCGCCCGTCCACCTGACTCGGCCGTAGCGTCTGAACACAAAAGACCCTGCACGAACCAGAGTGGCCCGCGACCGTGACGTCAGTGGCAGATTGGGCCTGCGACGATATCAGAGTCCCGACCAAGCTGTCTTGGGCAAGGCAGGGTATAGCCTAGTTGTTAAACTAAAGATACCTCTCAAATGAGAGGTCACCCACCACAAATGGGGCATTGTGTTATGGTGGAAAACGCGCCTTTACCCAGGCTTAAGGTAAATGGAGCATCCACTACCCTCTCAAGGCGGCTACACAAGGCTATATTAGCTTGAATGTGTGCTTGCGCGGAGTTGCTGTAAGGGCTAGAGAAGGGGGAGATAACATCGCCAGTCATGGGATGCGACGGTTTCTGGACGAGGTGAAGAAGAGCAAACAACCTGGTAAAATATTTGGCTGGGGTAAAGGGAAGGGAGGAGGGTACCTGACAAACCCCCTACGTTGCCCGCACTCGAGTCTGGTACCTGACCCGACCAGGCAGGCATGGAGAAAGAGGATCGAAGGACCTTTGCCTTCACGCACACCCCTCCCCGGTTCAGTCTGCGTCCCTACGCACGCCCTGCAGGGCGCCACAATACCCTCGTCTGGATGGGAAAATTTCCTCCTACAAATGTCGTCATAAATAGGTCAGGCTGATGGGCAACCTTCCACCACCGCGCGTCCCTTGTCACTAAGCTACTTTCCCAAGCGCAGTTACAGTTGCAATTCACTAAACGGCGTCCGCTCCGGATACTGCGACTTTCCCTCTTGTTTAAGCTGTCCTCAGGCTGTTAGTGTTGTTTCAACCTATTGGCCGAATGACCTGCTATCGCTGGCCCTGCGCATGGAAGTATTCATCTTGCCGAGCCTTCCGCAACTCCAGTTCATTGCGACATCTCAAAAGGTTAACATTGTTTGTTCAGGTCTTACCGTATTAAAGTTCTTGTCCAAGTAGCGGTAAGCAGTTATGTTTGTCGAGTCCAAGCATAATCTCAAGGCATTGCACTATGTTATTCAATCAACGGAGTCGATAGTGATAAGGGATAAGCACGTAGCATGACTTGTAACTTTCTCCAGATGTGTTTCCTGACCGCTGCCGCACCAAGTTTGCTAAACTCAGCAGCGCAGAATAGAAGTCGGAGAACGTGCAGTGTGATGTGGGGATAAGGTTGTCGTAACTAATACTGTTCCTTTGGGTCATGCTGCCGTCATCAGAGGGCAGTTTTTCTCTACCCACTTTTGAATCTAATTCAGAGAATTTACAGCGCCTCCCAACTGGAAGTGACGGGCAAAGCATTAAGAATTTTAAGCATTAAGAATTCGTCGCACGTGCTTGAAGTCTAAGAAAATTCTCATCTAGTCTGCAATGGCCGGAGAAAGAATGAAAATGTGAAAAGCGTGCCAGGGTCCAGCAAGGGCATCATGCGATGTCTGGGGAGGCACTGCAAGCAACAGGCCTTGGGAATGGAATAAATGTTCAACAAGGGGAACGAAAAAAAAAAAAAAAAAAAGGGAAGGGTTGAGGGATTAGCAAGGCCAGCGAGGCAGGGAACTGGCAGGGACTAGCCGGAAAGACTCCCGATGAGGTGGAGAATGTAACATCTTGTGGCGTTGAAGGGTCATTCAACAGGCTTTGTTACTCACTTGACAAGCCGAGAAGAGAAAGAATCGACCGTGATCGAGATCTTTGTCTGTGGCTTGTGTAGCGTGCTGCAAGGCTGGCTGGAAGTAGGGAACAGGAAAAAAAAAAAAAAACAGGGGACGGAGGGATCAAGGCACCTTGCGTGTCCAATAGGCAGGTTCTCCGCATCAGGAACAAAATGGATCATGACCGCCCCATCCACTATGCTGTGATTGGAGTCGAAAATGTGCATCGAGATGGCCGGCACGTGTCTCGCTTACCGTGCGTGGTTAGGTAGAAGGTTGTCCTTGGGGCGCCCTACTATTTTGGCAGTACTATGTAACGATTACCGCCCGTCTGGTCATGGCAAAGGCAGGGTAGTCACTTGATGAAGGTTAAACTACGTGCATCAATCTCAAAGGGTCGTCCGTGCTGGAGCCAGCTGCGGCCATGGCTATGTACGGATGCATAACCAGCCTCAAATGGACAGCCTGTTTTGAGATTGTTTTCGTTGTCGATCAGTCGGCCTTGCGCACACCAAATAGTATAAACCTTTTCAGCCCCCCTTAAGTAAACGTGATGCAGGTGCTCTCACGGACGCGCGGAATAATCGACGAGGAGAAACGAGGAGTGCGGTTCCTCTTTCTTTTGAGTCTATGGAGGAAAATGCGAATTACATTCATCAGCTCGTTGAAACTTATCTTGATCTGTTTGGCCACTCGTACAGACACATTGCTCACATTTCGCTATACTGTGTCAAATCCAAGTCCCGTAACATGGTATTCTTCACAAATGCATCAACGAGTCGTCCATGTTTGAAGTTTGTTTATGAACGCTGTAATTAGCCAGTTAGCCAGTCGGTTACCCTCTCGCCTCTATCTGTATTTCTCACATATGCACAAGCTCAACAGCGGTGTAGCAGTGCAGATGTTGTTGCTAGTCGCTTCCGACGTAGCCCTCCCCTTCACTCGATGGTCGAGTCGGGTTTAGGCCAAATCCTATAGCTCCCCGATTCAAACTTGACGGGCTCCAGGCGCATCATGGGAGAAGAGGTGCAGCAAAGCGCTCGTGTTTTGCCAGTCTGAGTGCAAAGGGTATCATCTCTACAATGATTGACTTCGATGGTTCTATATTGCGGTCACGTTAGCTGAGGCTCTTGCTTCGAATTTAACCACATTCGTAACTAGACAACTGGCCGTGGTCAAAGCAGGTCAGTCGAGAAGGCGATGGGCAAATATTTATAATGAACAATTTGCC